AGAACGAGATTCCTGTTATTGATGGGATAAACTTTCCATATGGCTTGAACACATTTCACTCCAATTAAAGACTGAATGAAAAAGGCAATCAGCTTGTCCTCGTTCACCACAAAACTGTTTGACAATGAAGCCCAGCACTGAAGTAAACATAACACCGCGGCAAAAATGTTGTCTAATGACAATTTTTTTAAAAAACCACTCGCTGTTACTTGGGTGTATTTCAGAACCATCTTTTGAAGAAAAACAAACATTGCCAACAGCAGTGCGCATGCTATATATAGTGGTATTACGATAATGACATTGAAGTCACAGGATGTCGCTGCAGATGCAATAATGAAGCCTATCAGCGGGACTAAAACCAGCAGAGACAATCGGTTTTCACTGAAATTAAGAAGGGCTAAAACAACTAAAGCGACAGCCACAAAAATCACAGAGATACCCGCAAATATAGAGTTCAGATCAAACTTCGCCCACATCGACCGACAGAGAACTTTCGCACCAGACAAATAGTCACTATGAAATTTTTCGGCAGAAGATAATATAACACTGAGATGCTTTAGTTCTTCTCCAGAGGCTTTTCTGAGCATTTCCCCATGTCCCTCAAGGCTGTCAACCAAATCTTTAGCTTCAGAGACCAGTGCAGTTGCATTTTGTAAAATCTTCCCAAGCTCCTCTAACTTGCCTCTAGGAATATCTCCCGAGATCGAGGCATACTTTGTGAGATACTTGTGGACTTGCTTGGCATTCAGTTCAAAAGCTGTGTTTCTTTGAAGCAATTCCAGCACTTGCTGTGCAATTATATCATTTTCACTGTCTGCTTGATGAGAGTGAATGTCCGAGGTACTTCCATGGCAGAACAACTCAGGTATAATAGTACCCAGGTTTCCAAATGGAATGGGTATACCTAACAGCAGGGAGAGAGTTGGGACCAAGTCTATCTGGGAAACAGTTGCAGTTTTCTCCTGTGTTGGACAAAAATTACAAATTACAAAATTATTTCATGTATACTCATGTGTACAGAAGAAAATTGGAATCCACAACACAAATGGCATTAGGAATAAAATGTTAGTTTGAGGCAGGAAACCTCACAACATGGGAACATTTCAGAGAAGTTTTTAGCCCAGACAAACTGTCAAAAGGGCTACAGAGAGAAAAAGTATGCAATACCAATGACATTGAAAACTTCTTAACACTGAATTCAATAAATATGAAATGCCAGTTTAAGTTTGCTCTTTTTAACCCTTTAACCCCTAAGAACGACTAACTTTTAATGTCTTCTTACAACATCACCCCTGAATCAAACATGAAGGCCACAAGAATAAATAAAAGAAATGGTTATAAACTAAAGAAGTTCTTGATTTTTAAACAAACTCTTCTTGTCAGCACCTTTGGAAATGTATAAAGAACAGTATAGAGAATATGCATACTGATGTTAGGGTAAAATGGGTTAAAGAAATCAACCAAAATCTTCCACTGCCTATACTATTTAACAATTGGTTCATATGTCAGCGTGCGTTCATCAAGATATGAAGCACATGGGAAGTTTGGAGAGCATGAAAGATGTGTAAGAGTTGCTCGAGGTGTAGCTGAGAGCAACTCTAGCTTCTTGAGTGCTCTCCAAACTTCCCAAGTGCTTCATATCTTGATGAACGCACAGCTGACGCATGAACCAATTGTTTTATAAATTTTCAACCCGATGGAAAATTTTTTTTCTAGAGGGATTTGTTTGCTGACATCATGAGCGTGCACAATAGGAATATGAAGCATGCACGCGCAATTAAATTTGATTAGACAAATTTACTAGCTATGTTATATTTTTGATTAAAGAAAAAAAACACATAAGAGTTGACTAAAAAGTGACTAATGAGATTGTACAAAAGGTACTTGGATTTCAATAAGACTATAGTGAAAACAAAATTGAGAATGATTTATTTACATGCATTATGGACTGTATCATCCCTTTTCTTACCTTTTTCATGTTACATGTCAATATAGGTTTGGTTGAATAAACAAAAAGGGCTGCATCCACCTCATCATCACTGTCACCACCATGGTCACCAGTACGGGTCATACCATGGTCACCCATCACAAACAATACTGTTTTGTCATCAAGAGTCTCCATTACAGACCTGTATGGCATAACACAAAAAGTAGTATAAGAATACCTTATATCAATTTGAAATCTATCCAGCCTTTCATTGCATTGAAACAATTTGTATTTTTAGGGAGGCCAACTACTGAAGATCTATTATGTTGAATAAACAACCAAATTTAAAAAAATTATCATCTGGCACTATCAATAACAAAGTTAACTAGTAGAAAAAAATGCTAAATTGGATTTGGCAGTGGACATCCATGAAGTGGCTCTTCTCAAAGACTGTCTCTAATTTGAATTATAACTTGGAGTGCTGGTTTTGTGGAGGGTGGAGAACTGTAATTGGTCTAGAAGAATTTAATCCTTTGTGCAAGTGTGATGATAAGCTCAATCCACAACTGACAACTTAATTAATCAAATCTTGGGTACAATGGCAGAGAAATGAACCAAAAATTTGACAAATTTTGAATTGTGTAACTTATATTCACATCACAAAAGTTACAACAACAAGGCCCTGAAAATGTGAAATTTGGCAAATTTCCCTTTCTTTACTTTTGCACCATACTATGCATATAAATACATTGCATGGTGTATGTTACTCTAAATATCAGATTACAGATATCCGAGATAAAATCACTACACATAGAAAAGCAATGTTCTCCACAACTTTGAGCACATCAAGTAAGGCCACTTTCCAAACTGGCAAATCTGTCTGTTTAATTTTAAAGGATTTGAGGTGGTTGCTTTCATAAGCAATAAATGCTCCCTACCTCAGGACAGAATCCATCTGTGTGAGTTTAGCTGCCATTTCAGGATGATTGGGACCAAATTTGTGCCCACAGTGATCAACTCCCAGAAAGTGACCAATGAGAACATCCCAGTCATTTTCCTTTAATTCTGGAACCAAGTGTTCAATTACACCATTGTCCACAGTATGAAGATCCATGACATTAAATGATGGGAATGGAAAGGACTTATGAAATGAGTCAGGGAATAGACTACCCCAAGTGTCATCCCCCATGAAAGTTATGTTCTTCTCTAGAGATATCAGCTGTGAGATGATATTGTCTTCTGTGATATTTGAACTGGCAAAATTACTTCCTGCATCCACAAAAGTAGGTAAACTTCCTGTTGACATGAAAGTAAAGATAAGCTCAAAACTCATGACCCTTTTGTTTGAGAAAAGAATCATTAATTCCCAAATTTTTTTTTAAATTACTTTTTTTTGCCAACATATCAAAAGTATCATTTTAAAACTGCAAAATAATATAGATAAAGCTGGATGTGCAAGAAGTAAAGAACTGCATAAACATCCTTACTTCACAATTTGACTCTACATGTAATTATTCTCAATAACAACTCAATCTCACTGTCTGATATACTTTTATTACTATGTTAGTTCTTGGAATTTGATTTCAAATCTAATTTCTCCTTACAATATCACCACTGAATCACAAATTAATGCCAGGAGAATAAAGGAAATGATCACAAACTAAAGAAACCCTTGATTATTAGACAAATTCTCCTTGTCAACACCTTAGTATATGTACAGAGAACAGTATGGAGAATATGAACACTGATGTTAGGGACTGTAACGGTATAGTTGCAAAGACGCAGTCACCTTAAAGTCAGTTTCAGTCAAGAGGTCTGGGTTCAAGTGTTGTGTTCTTGAACAAAACACTTTCCTTTCACAGTGCCTCTCTCCATCCAGGAATATAAATGAATACTGGCAAACTGTTGGGGAAGCATGACGAAATGCTGAGGGGCCCATCCAGTGGGGAGTAGTAATACTCCTTGTCCCTTCATGCTACATTAAGAAACTGGAATAAGCCCTGTTTGCAGAAATTGGCTCGAATACAAACTTAAACTTTTATTCAAAGGACGTGTAATGCTATCCACTGGATAAATCTCTAACCGGTGGATAGCACAGTACATTTTGTTAACACTCATCCGCTGGATAGCTTTTAACCTTTTAATTCCCAAGATCTCATTAGTAATTCTGCTTACTCTCTCCCATACAGTTCTTGTGATGTTAGTTTGGAGAATTTGTTTTTGGATCAACTAATAATCCCCTAATTAATATTATTCTTTATTCTCATCACTTGTCTGCTTGATAATGTATTAATATTATAAGGAGAAATTCTGTCTTGGTCACTCATGGGTGTTAAAGGGTTAATCTGATGGATAGCGTTATCCCCCCTTTGAACAGCTGGACCCAGCAGGTAAGGAGAAATTGCAAATTGGTCACATTCTTTGAAGTTGTTAGTGTGGAAAAGCTGTATACATCATATCTATTGCTTTTTGGAACACTACACGAATCAGGTGCAAAGAATAACTTACCAGTAGTGAGCGCCTTTAATCGCTGCATAGTGGTGGTTGGTGGATCAGCCACAAATTTGAACAGAGCTCCATGTTGAGGAGAGCTCGCTAACACTTCATGGATGACTTTTAATTTATTCTGGTAAGGCAACGCATTGTCATCGTCCAGGCTTGAGTTGTACAGTGCAAAATCATAGCGTAGAGCATCAATTATTAGTATCACAGCTTTTTCGTGCGTCTTCTTCATCCAACAGCCTTCAGATTTCCGTGCATTCGACAGTTCTTGATCAGACGACAACAGAATGACTTCGGGAGCTTCTGAACAGTCACTCAGGTCATTGATGACCAGCCGATTTAAAAGAAAACCGCGAGTGAAAAGGAATATTCCAACACCATACAGAAATGAAATGAAACAAAACAAAACGAGAAGTTTGAAACCGTAAGCCATGCCGTGACTGTATTGATTCAAGATCGAGAAACACTTCACAACTTGTCCGCCATACTGCTTAGAGCGTGGCTGCTAAGCTATTTCCCAGTCCCTCCTACTCACTTCCGCTTCGTCTCGCGATAACGAGGCCAGATATTTTAAATATGGCGTCCGAACGAGACGTCGAACCTGACTCTCCCGTCATACCTTCTAATTCAATTGTTCCACAAACCATTTTAGAGGAGTTATGCAGGTAGGCTCAAAAAGATGTTATTATCCTGCTTTGATGTCCTGTTGTTACCATCAACGACTTTATTCTTTCTTTCAAAAGCCGTTTCTTAATCAACATACCGGAAGAAGAAAGGAAAGATGTCGTTCGGTTGTGCTTTCAGATTGAGACAGCGCATTGGTTTTACGTCGACTTCTACCGACAGGAGCGACCAGATCTCCCAACCTGTGGTCTTAAGGATTTTACGAGAATAAATATCCTTTTGTTAACTGTTTTTGTCACAATTAATGTTATTTTTGAACTTGATATTTGTATTTCTTCCAAGGAGCTTTCGATATCCAGTTTTTTTGGGGGGTTATGAGTCATCGCTGCCTTTTTCGATTTCGAAACAAGATCTAGACAGTGCTCCACTATTGAATATCCAACAAATATGTCCCACAGGTCTCGCCTGATCATTTGAAAATTCGTATAAACAGTTCGCAGTGGCAGACACTGTCCTCTTTACTGGAAAGAGCCAGATTTAATACAGGTAGTTTGTACTGTTTTATCATAACAAGCTTATTGTGAACTAATTTTCCAACTTGTACCTTAACATGGTTACTTTTTGAACAGTTTCCATTTCTCAATAAAACTGGGGAAAATATTGACAAAATTTTCGAGAACTGGAAGAAGTACAAGTACAGTGTTCCTGTCTATGGAGCAATATTGTTGAATCAAAGCCTGGACAAGGTAACATTTATTTTTGTGAATTGTAAATTATAAAAATTGCCACTGTAACTCACTCTGCCTGAAGTCCTTTCTTGTTTCCTGATGATTTTCTTTTTCATATTCATCATACTTAAGTATCATGATTTTATTTAACAAGTGAACAAAAGTGGCATTCCACACATTACAGTTTACACTTATTATAAGACAAGACAAAGAAACAATTTAATCATAATGACTTTAAATAATATGCTACTACCAACCCTGATTTGAGTAATAAACTCAGTTTAATAGTTACTTGTAAGAAAATTTTATGGAACAAAAACTTTTTCTTAATGTTAGATGGAGTTAACTTAATTTTAAAATTGAAACTTAAGATTACTGTGAAGTGCCTGTAGCATCACTAAGTTCACTTTTTTCTTTTTCTCCAAGTGTGTGTTAGTGCAGTCATTCTCGTCAAAAAGTTGGGGTTTTCCTAAAGGAAAGGTTAATAAGGATGAATCAGGATTTGATTGTGCTGTTAGAGAGGTGAGTAAACCTGTCAAGCATGATGTTCATTGGCCATCAGTAATTCATACCAAAGCATTGAGTAATCCATTTCTTTATGATAATCTCTGAACAATGTTTCCACAGGTATTAGAAGAGACTGGATTTGAGATGAGATTTTATGCAGACCCAGACACTTATTTTGAACACAACTTCCAGGATCATCAGGTGCAAAGTCATATGAAAAGCTTTTAGATGTTATTTTAGTAATTGTGACTGTATGCAAGATGAAGCAAGTCAATGCATGCAGTAAAACACACAATGGATCAGTATCTTTCCTCTCTAATGAATTGTAGAAAACCATGTTCTGTAGAACTACAGTCTGCCTACTGTCTCTATCTTACCATTCAACTGTAAGTGCATTAATTAGTCAATCTGTCGGTGATTTATTCAGTTGGGCAGTGAGTCAGCTAGTCATTCAGAAGGCAGACAGATAGTAAGTCAGTGTGTCACTCAGACAAAGTTAGACGATGAGGCATCAAATCAGACAGTTAATCAGACAATCAATTATGTTATCATTTAGTCACACTGTGGCCTCTTTTCAAACTTTACAGATTAGATTGTATGTTGTCCCTGGAGTCCCTGAGAAAACAGTGTTCCAGCCACTCACAAGAGGAGAGATTAAGGTGAAAATATATTAACCTCATTTAAAGTTTTTTACATACCCTGTGTTCAAGACTGACATGCAAGTTTGCAGTTCTATGCAGCAGTCTGAGGAAACCTCTGCAATGTGTTCCCTAGTGAATCTTCTTTAAATTATGACTTAACTGTGTTGTGATTTATGCTTACAATGTTCAAGGAGCTCAGTGAATACATGTAAGTCTTTTATTTCCTTTGCTTTAGAACATACAGTGGTTTTACATAGACAATCTTCCCGCTCACAAGAAAGATACCGTTTGCCGAGAAAACATGGGACTAAATCCAAGTGCTTTCTACATGGTTATTCCGTTTGTAAAGTAAGGCATGATAAACAATGGATTTTTCCTCCTTACAGTTACTAGTTGAAATTATAACTCGATCAACCCGGGAAAAAAATTGTATTCGTATTCTGTCAAGTTCTCTTGTTTTAAATGTCTTGACTTGGATCCGTTTAAAGTTGATACCAGGAAAAAGAAAGCCAGGAACCCATTTCCTGAAAACAGACCCGGAAGGCAGATTTTTGTTTGCCATGTTTCTTTCATTTTTGAGATAAACATGTCAGGAAAAGAAACAGGATGGACTGGTGTTTGAGCGAAGACCAGCATTGTTATTCCGTGGTATTAGATCTAGGAATATTACATTGGGCCGTAAAGTTATTGGGGCTTCAGGGAAACGGGTCCCTAATCATACTTACCTCCTTTCAGTTGTTCTTTGTTTGATTAAAGCGCGAAAGGTGAATCGTGAAGGTCAACACACCCCAGGAGACTTTCCTTTTCCTTTCAGGCTCCCACAGAAATAATGAGCGCTTAATGGCTCGTAAGGACAAGGCTCTCAGTCAATGGAAACGAGCAGAAAAGTAGGCACGCATAAAATGGGTGACAACCCATAAGCCCCTTTCGCTTTATTTTTCACTCTCCTCCATCGACTGAGGGCCTTAAACAGGCTTTCTAATGGGGGTTAGCAATAGTATAATAAACCGTGGTGGGATACACAGTGGAATAAAGGGGTGTTTCGGGAATTTTTAAAGGGGAAGATACCTTATTAACACGTGTATTTGCTAGGAAATCCGCAGGTGCTAATCTTAAGTATTGTTAATTGAGGATTTCAAATTATTCCCACAGGAACCTGCGGAAATGGATATCGGCGCGACTTAAAGAAGCAAATAAACCCAATCCTGAGCCGGTTGCTTCGGAAACGTCGAGGAATGCTCAACTTCAGAACCTACTCGCTAAAGAAGAGCAACGCTTAGAGCAAGAACAGAAACGCGCTGCTGTGGAAAGAAGAAGAAAGCAACAACAGGAGAAATTCCAATTGCAACACGATCTAAATCACCCCCTGCGATATCATCACATGCAACAGAGAGGAAGTACACCGAAAGGTATTGAAACGTTGGAACCATTGTATCTCGATTGTCACTCGAGTGTTGCGTCACCTCAATGCACATATCACGCAATGTGTTTCGGAAATCGATTTGCATGACATGCAATTTAGAGGTTATGCGAATTTTTCTTAGTCTGCTAGCCTGTCTATTCTTGGTCTACCGAGCGCCAACGAAAAAAAGAAAAGGCACTAGTCTCCCTAGCGGCCGTTCTTTGGAATGTCACGCAACGCTTGGTGGAGTGTTGCGTGACATTCCAAAGAACAGCCTAGAAGGAGACGATACTTAGTCTTGATCAAAATTACTACTATCCAGTTAAAGTATTTCTTATGTACACATGCACAGACTGTTTTTCACTTTGCATCTAGCCCATAACATCCACAGATGTATATTTCATGTAAAGCGTAAAAGTTCCGTAACCTTGAAAACGTTGATGTGTTATGACATCTCATACTGTTTAAGTTCCTGTTAAGTCCTACTGTCAAGTCCAATGCAAAAGACAATATTTCATTCTCTTCAGATTATCAAGCTTTGCTAGAAGAAAATTTAGCTCACCGTTCTTCTCCAGTTGCGAGAGAAAAGGAGGGTACGCCGGTCTTCAAGATATTACAGCGGCCAACTGACGAGTCATACACTGAGGAACCTTTTAATCCCATACAAAAACTTCTCTCTGGAAGCTTGGGTTTTGGTCCCGTCACAGCACATCAACCCTTTCCTCCTTTGGGCGCTGCCACTCCTGAGAGGGGCGCTTACCCCCCATACCACCACATGCACGGTGTTATAGGTGTCCACAGAGAACATTTATCTCCTGGGACCCCTCTCATGTCATCGCGCTCAAAGCAGCCGGAAACGTCCCCTTCAGAACACAGCTGGGAAGATAAAGAGTTTCAGTTCACATCCCCGGCCTTTTTGAATTTTACGTTTGACACCAAATCGATTTTAGCCTGTTTACCAACGTAGCTTACAGGAGATTCGTTTCACATCTGACGTAAAAATAATTCTGATCGTGCCGATGATGCTTTACTAGGATTTGTATTTTAGTCTTGCCGAATGCCTTAACGTTATGCAGATATGCATCTTTTTTTTTTAGTTTTTAATTTTATCAACGTTCAAGAAATCTTAGAGTTATTTCGAAGTGCCCCATATTCAACGTGAACGGTAGCACACCGATCTAAGGTCACAGATCAGTCGTGGGGAAGGGGGGGGGCCTCTATTTTTAGAACAATTCTTAACAAGTGGCGGGAATCCATTTGTAAAGGAGAACGAACAACAGGTAATAAACAATAAATGGAACAAACGGGTCGAAGAAAGAAAATTTTTTATCGCTTTCGTCTTTTATGTTTTATGTTGCTACATCCACTCAAAACAACAGTTAGAATTATATATTTGTGACTAATACCCCATTCACACCAGCAAAACATGTTTTGTTAAACTGGTTTTCATTGAATGAAAATTATAAACAGAGAACTGAAAAACTTGATTTTCCATTGGATTCAAGTACTTGCTAACTTGCATTTCCAATGTGCTACATTCAAGTAAAAAATATTCGGTTAAATAGTTTCTATGAAGAAAAAAAAATTAAACTGTGTTTAACAAAACAACTTTTAAACATGTTTAAGCTTTGGTGTGAATGGGGCATAAGTTTCTTTTTTTAATCATTTGAGATAAATATTCTCAATAAATTCATGGAAGGACGGGAAGAAAGGGGATTTTAACGATTGATGCATGAATACAGCTCAGAAAAACTATCCCAACAACAAACTAGAACAGTCCTCATTTGAGTTCGAAAAACTGAAACCAAACTGACTACAACTGCCAATCGGAGTGAAGTTTGACATTATCATTAGCCAATTAAAACTCTCAGTAAAAACAAGCAAACTATAATAAACGCGAGAAAACGCGAGTGTCCAAATCAGTATCGACGTTAGTATTGAATCTGATTGGTTGAGGTGGCGCGAGGATTCTGGACCAATCATAGAGCGTAGTTAAGCAAAACCAAATTAATCGTGGATTTCTTTCAACACTCAGTTGAAAAACAGCTCTATTAAGGCAAAACTGTATACGAATTGCGCTTCACTGGGAGTCACTTTCTACATCGTCATCCGGAACTACCTCAACTGTGGCCTCATCCATTTCCTGAAAAGTTTTGACATTGTTATCTCGTCTTTGAATGGACCTCGTCTCGTCAAATCGACTGTTTGTCTTACTGTTTCTCTGTGACTGATCACCCAAACTATCCAGACGGTCAATCCGTACGTCACGTTCGTTTTCTTTGAGCTTTTTGGCCTCGATTTCTAGAATGGTTGGCTGGGACAACTTTGCTCTTATAGATTTTAGATCCACATCGTCCGGGAGAGTGCGACGCCAGCAGAATGTCCGTTGGAAACAAGAAATCTGTGTTTTCCTGTTGCAAGAGTGAGCGCCCTTGATAAGAAGCTCACGACCGGCTAGTTTCAACGAAAGTTCACTCGGATTGAATCCATTGACGTCCAAGACTAGTTTGAAAACGTCCTCGTCATTTCGTTTCACGAGTGGGTACGAAACTGGTCTATGACTGGCACCAATTGTTCTGTGTATTCTTGGAAAATAAGGATCTTGGTTGTGGAAAAAGGTCATTTCCAACGGATCGTCTTCGAATGGATCCCAGTTGACAAAGTCAAGAAAGTTATTTCTGTGCCACAATCTGTGATAACGAAAGATATTCACACGCATCACGGTATTTTACAAGGAATTCGATGTCCCGGGAACGGGAAGGAGAGTTCAGAAGTCCCAGGACAACAAGGTGTGAGGAAGAGTTTGAGAAGTCCCTTCTAGATAATAAGAGTTTGAGATTATGGTTGCACAACAATATGCGCTAAGAGAATATTATTTATTGCGACATTCCCTAGTTAGTAAATTTTGAAGACCTTGTGGAAACTTGGTTTTTCAATTTTTCCACCGTAAGCTGTCAAACTCTTAAAAATAACTCGATGGGATCTGGTTGTGGGATGTAACTGCCAAACATCTCGTCAAGGTCAACAATTAAAACCAGTCAATTAAAATCTGAGTGTCCCCAATTGCTTTACCAATTCAGTTGCATAGATAATTATGACTGAGGGTTTCTTAGATACGGTCAGGCAATCCCGATTAAAGCAATTTGGCAACGAATCTACAGATCTGGTCGGACAGCTAAACAATAAATGATAGGTATTCTCATAAACCTGCCATGAGATTTACCATTGGACGGTGTCGTGGAGAAAAAAAAAAAAAAACTTAAATACTACACTCACCCAAAATCATCGAAGGGTTGGCTCATTAACCATGAACCTTCACTTCTACCACTTATTACCACGAGTACAAAGAATAGGAGAAGACTCTTCATCCTGAACACTGTTCTTGAAATTGAAGGGCTCTTAACTGACATCTGACTGAAGAGACAAATCGAACTTTGAAGAAGAGGTTTTGTTGGTGGACTTATATTACGTCTTAAGACCACGTCGGAAGAAATGTGGTTCTTTCACATTATGCCACGTACATGCTACACCCCCTTGTTCCTCGAAACTTTGATGATCATTTTAGGAACTGAATCACGCAAATTGCATCATCTCTAAAATTCAATATCGTCATCGATCTAGAAAGGATTGTGCTGAACATCATGCGCCGTTTGTAAGTTTTCAGACCGGTTCTCTAGCGATAGAGGTAGAAAGAGTGCTTTCACTTTCTTCTAATAAAACTGGTTCTCGACTAATTGTTGAGGATAAGCTTCCTGGTGGGGGAAAATACGAAGTGGTTAAAAGTTGCATCAGTTTGCCGCCATATTGCGCGTGAACGCATATCCGGCGGAAGTGGGACAATACATATCGCAAAGCCCTGGGTACGAAATCTTCGAAGATATCAATGCGCATGTCTACACGTCAGAAAATCCAAGATGGCGTTCACATTCTACAGTTTACTCGAAGCCTGTCTTTTAGTGGTAAATGCTGTTGCGGTGCTTCACGAGGAGCGATTTCTGGCGAAAAGTAAGTTACATGGGTATATTTTTGTCATTTTTCAGAGAAAGGTTTGTTTGATTTACGGTGAACAATTAGTTTACTGATTATCAGCTTATAAATGACTTCGGAATACTCAGAATAGATCCTATTGAATATCTCAGGGTATCTCTGTCTTCAGTTTCAATGTACTTTCAATCTAGAGATATGGTAATTCATTGGTTCTTACCTCGAAATGCGCGGTTACCTGCCAAGAAAACACGCAGTTTATGCAATTCACTAAGTCAGCGTTCGCTATTAAAGTTACGCTTTGAATTAGTACTTTTAAGGATCAAATTGGAACATTTAACGTTGTAGAACCTTGGTATACCAACAGGGTTATGTACAGGATCAAGTTTTATTTGCTGCGTACAGCTGGCCACCTCTTGAGTGTACACTGCATAGTGGTGTAGAGAGGTGACAGGTGTTGGGGATATTTGGTGAATTTTATATTTTCTCTGTTCCAGTTGGATGGGGTACAGACCAGCTCTCAGGATTTGGAGACGAAAGAGGAACAAAACACCAAGTCATTAATCTCATACATTCAGTCAGGACTGTTATGAGAAGTAAGTTGAAGGGTTTAAGTTGGTATAACATGGCTAACATTGTAAAGTATTCTCCACCTTCCAGTAGCTTGACAGCTGATTAACTGGGTTTTTAAAGAGAAATGTAGTACTAGGAAAATTGTGCAAAGTGACTTTTAATTATTCTCCATATGAGTAGGAAATAGCTTAGGCCATCAAAATTTAAAACTAGAATTTTAAATTTCAAAATGCTTCTTAGATCTTTGATTCTTAATGAACAAACTGGCCTTGAATTGGTGCCTCTCTGTCAATTAAATCTGACGTACAAATCAAACTAGCAGTGACAACACAATATTTTTCAGTAAGTATACTTACATCTTAGAAAATAAATATGTATAAATTAATGAAAAGGAATGAATGTTAGTAAGTGATGATTCAAATTCTCACCCTTGTAAAAGTTATTTCTTTTCTTCTCATTTTTCAGTACCTCTTATTTTGCTTAACTCACTTACAATACTTTTATTACTACTGATGGGATGATCTTACATGGCACAACATGTCTTGAAATACTTGGACTTCGGAGTTGTTGAAGAAATCAGTGGGGCATTGAATCAGAGTATTTTCGAAAGAAAAGAAAACTTCTCCAAGTGAATTCACTTTTCTGAGGATAAGGACTAATTGAATTGTCTACCTTGTTTTATGGAACCTAATATCAACCAGTATAGAGTAGGTAACTGCAAAGCGATGGAGTTTTCAAAAATTATTTTTTCCAAGTACCTTGATAAGAACATTACTATACTATCTTGTGCTCTTATGATATTAAATTGCTAGTCAGAATGTTCACATATTTATGGCAGCATTAATTCAATGCAGTCTGATATCTAATAGCTTTTTTTAAAATAATTAAAAAAATGTATTATGGCATGTATATTGTACATTTTGGCAGATTACTAGAAGTAAAAAGTGTTCTTTACACTACCAACTGTTACATTTGACTTATTGCTTGAACAGTAGTTGTCTGATGCCTATTTCAAAGTTTCCACTCCAGCAGAGGGGGGTAAGGGCTTACATTGTACTTCTGACCTACTTTGAGAGGGACTTATTTATCAAGGAGGGGAGGGGGGCATGCAGGCATCCTAATAGGGTGAGTTAGCATTAAAAGATCCAGATTGTTTACATTTGATTAGGAGTTAGAATGAATAGTATGAGTGTGGGAAAGGGGTAGGGGGAGGAACATTAGCAGCCCTTTCCCCTCCTTCTACTAACTCTCTTGTTTTTATATCACTCACCCTCTCCCCCCCCTCCTCCCATCCCTCTCCCCCTCACAGCAAATTTCTTACTTCATCCCACTTTCCACTGCTGTAAAAATAAAAGATGGAACCTATGATTTTCACCAATTAAAGACAGAGCATTCCCTTGGCAAAATCATACTTGCTCTGCAGGCTAGGGATGTACCAAGAGTTTTTTTTTTCTTTTTTCATGTGAACATGATCTGTGCTGTTTGACCATACAGGATAGATATGCTGCTTGCTAAACCAATTGGCAATGACTTTTTAATATTCTCCAATTTTTGAAAGAAGTGTCTTGAATGGATAGAAATATTGAAAGCGTTCTCGATCACAATTAATCGAGTTCTATCCTGGCGCGGTGCCTCGACAGGTGATGGTTCGAGTTAAACGATTGAAAGGGTATGTCATGTTTGGACGTAAGAATGAAGCGTAGCAATACAGGGAACACTGATTTTTCCCCCAACATTGCTCTAAGCTGCAAAGATCTTCAGGACCATCAATCGTATCATTATTTAAGTCATTAGTCAAAATTCCTACTTTGCTGTAGATGACCCACAAGTTTATCGCGATTTTAAGTCTTGCTGACTGACCTGTGACACAAGCTATCGCATTTCGCGTTTCGTGAAATCCTATCCCTGAAAATGATCGACAAACAAACCTTTTTGAATAAGGGAGGGTCGGAAATCGAAGGTCTCCTTAAAAGGCGCGAACTGCCGAGAGTATTACTTATCACTAGCGTCAAGCCCACAATAAGTAACGAAACCGTTATTTGTCTATCGGATGGGATTTCAGTAAACTGATCACATCTACCAACGGTCACTCAGCAAGAGCGAGTCGCACTAAAACTGTACGGTTCATTTGATTTGAAATGAAATCAAATTTGATAATTTGATGATTCTTAACACAAACTTGTTATGCGGAATGAAATCGGAAAGCCTCGACGCGATGTAGTCAACCCATTTTCCCTGGCCGGCTCTCCACGGGTGACTTTGTTACTGCACTCGACTTAGTCCCTCGCAACATCTTATATTCCGTAAACTCTTTCGGAAAATTAACGAAACATGAAGTCAACAGATGAACACTAGCTGACAGCATAGAAAGAGTGGACGAGTGGACGTATAGCATGGTGCATTTTCAAGAGTTAAAAAGGTATTCAACTTTTTCTGCGTGGTGTTTGGTGTTAAAGTTCAAAATACGTAATGAAAATATGACATAGAGCGATATCTTCTTATTGACTGATAAAGGTTTATTTAGTCTTAATAGATTGGTTGTGTTGTCAAAAGGAACTGGTATAAAAGATAATAAAAATATAAACTTATAAGAGTGCTATGATACTTTTGTAAACTAAACAAGCGTGAAGTGTTTTTGGGGATTTGAAGTAAGAGGGGGCGGGCTTTTTAAATTTCCTCAGTGAGACAAGCGTTTTCGTGACTCGTTGCTTTTGAAATCTTCGTAGGAATTAGGGTAAAGTTACCAAGATCTCCCGCCTAGAGGAACTGAATAACATCCAAACAAAGTCAACGTTCAAGGTTGGATTCAAGTGCTCAAACTCATAATCCCAGATCAACATGTTAGTTCAGTGTAGAGCGGTGCTTTATTTCTTTGTCATAGGCGAAATCTGCGGAGGAACTGTTATTAAGCGCGAAGAGGGTAAGTTCACAAAAAAGATTCATATTTGTTCTCTCAGGTGAACTCAGTCATTTTTTTTTTGTCAGGCGACTAACTTTTCTTTGCTACTGGTGTTAACCATGTAGGTGGAACTTAAACTTAAAGAGTTATATTACTCATGTGAAAAACTTCACTCAAAAACACCTTATTTACTATTTCCCCAATTATTAGGTGAAAGCTTCCCATGGGTAACGATTGAGGATGTTTATACTTGTGGGAAAATATCGATAACCAGTCCATAAAGCAGGTTATTTTTATCCTGTTTTACCATAAACAATGTAGGTTAAAGACAAATTTAAGACACCGAGGAAAATGCCGTGTCACTTGTTTCGAGAACAAGACCACACTTTTCAAAAAAGCTATAAAGGAAGAATGAAAAATACCCTGTGAACATGGAAACGGTTTTTCTCTCTTTCCCTTCTGAAAATCGTTAAAGTATTTTAACGTAATCCAGATCTGAGGAATCGTGTTCTTCTTGTAAAGCTTTGTAAAAATGGTTGTCTGTTTTTTTCGACTGGAAGGTGTAACTTATGATACGCCATGGCTAACAACAAAATTTCGATCTTAAGCGACTGCAATGATTATTTTGATGTACAGCACGAGGCACCTTCTCTACGATCGTTAGACTTCCGTATTTCATCGTTATTTCCATGTGTTAAAGTGACGAAAAAATAATAAGTGAACACTCTCACTAGATTGCCTCGTTTTGTCTCAAAATATATCTTGCCTTCGTCGGCGTCCTCCTGTTGCAAAAGTTACTATGTTATATTTCTTCTTATATCACAGGTTGGGAGAATTATTTTGATAGCGAAGATCCAAACTGGCTGCCAGAGGATTATGAAACTCTGTCTGCCTTTGATGAGATTTGGAAAGTAAATGAAGGTCGGTGGCCATATATGTTATTTTAGACCTCAAGCGTTATGATACGATCCTCCTTACTAATTAAGTTACTGAACTTAGTTAAATGAAAACGTGCTTGTTCATGATCGATATTAAGAGTACCTCTCAGGATCAAAGATAATATAAAAACCGTACTCCAAATAATTTAAATATTAAGTTAATCGCAATGATGGTGAATTTTTTGTTTCAGTATAGATGATGAGCATTTCCTTTCACAAACACTTTTTCGAGGAACTTTACTTCCGAAAAAAACTGTCAAAAATGGCATTCTTGTTCTCCTTTAAGAAAGTAGTCGTTTTAGTGTTGGCTTGAAAACTTACTTAATAGCTAACAACTAGAAGAATATACCCTTCGCTTTTTAAGTTCTTTATTTGGGGTCCGTATTGTGGTGCCCCTACGGTCAAGTACCGGGGTCCATCAAACAAATTGACCAATCGGGGTCTGTATGAAACGGAAATTGACCGATCGCATTTACGGGAAACGCACATTGATTTCCATGTAATTCAATTGAGAACCAAAGAAAAGAAATGTAACAAACAAGTGAATGGAATTCGTCGTTCATTTCCTGTATTCGCATTAGCTAGTTTTGAGTTGACGACCTTGGTGAAAGTCACACTATAATCTCCACTATCCTTCTTTGATGTTTTTGTGCCACATATTCTGAGATTTTAATTCAAATCTGATGAGGTAGATGTGATGAGGTAACTCTTCTAACTTGAAGCTGACTTAATCAGTATCGCAATCAACAAGAGGAATATTGCTTTATATTTAAGCTGAGGACGTCACTGACTTACTAGAAGGTGATATCAAAACTGATCTTGATTCAAAAAATGCCACCGACGAGGAAAAGATTAACGATGCAGTACGAAGCCGACAGTATACATGGAGGACGAAGATCATTCCATACGAAATCTCTCAAGAGCTTGGTAAGATTCAACATTTGTGAAGGAAAATTATACAATTTTGAAACTGAATACTACGAGCTCTGTGATTAGTCGTCTATTTCGTACTGATGCACAACTGACTTCATGGTAAGAGCATATATTTTTGGAAATTATTACATTTTTATGTCATTTGTCATCTGTAACTGGACTGAGATTCTAAGAAGAACGGAATTTTATAATTTTCCTAAGGGAAAGTATCGCAACAGCAAAAGCTCCTGTTTGCAACTAATATAGCTCTAACATGTTTTGGATATTTAAAAGTCTTGCTAATGTGTAACCTGCAGATAAAAGTAAAGCTTAAATAATTTATAATTATTAATTAAATAATTAAATAAACATGCATGATCTCCTTATTTTTGCTAACCTCAAGTGTCATCTGGTTACATGGCAAATATTCGAGCTGCAGTTGCTGAGTTTAATAAGTACACTTGCATCAAATGGAAACCAAGAGGAAAAGAGAAATATTGGGTCAGATTCATCAAGGGTAAAGGGTAAATAATTACAACTTCTTAAAAAAATAAAGATTGGATGAACTTCTATATTACTTTACGAGGATTTAAGTAATTGTAAATGTTAGGAACACGGGCTTCGTAAGCCCCTTTTAAGAAATCGCTTTATCATATTCTTGTTGGTAAAAGAGATTTAGAGATAGCTCTCGAGTCATAAGGCCCGTCCTGACGGAGCGAACTCCGTTTTCCGTAGCATGAAGCAACTAGAATTTTTGTTATCCATTCATCACTGATTTAGCCTGAGTGACCCTGATCTTTGGTCAGTACTCATTTATACTCGTGATTCGAGAAGAGGCACTTTGTGAACGTAAAGTGTCTTGCCCAAAAACATAGCACAACGATTCGGCCAGCGCCCGTTACGCGACATCACCATTTCCAGTCCAGCTCGCCATCACTAACCCCATACTTTGTTGGTGCGTGTGTGTGTATGTCATTGTTGACTATTGGATACATTGTCAAAATCTTTAATTATCAGATCTTTTCTTGTGTCTGCTCAGGTGTTGGTCACCGGTTGGGTACAGGCGAAAATCACCTCAGTTGATTTCCCTTGGAGTTGGTTGCAACCAAAAAGGCATAATCTGCCACGAAATGATGCATACTCTTGGGTTCTACCACGAACAAGGTCGACCGGACCGAGACAAATACGTGGCAATTTACTGGGAGAATATTCAACCTGGTCAGTGAACTGTTTTGTTTCATATCGCAATACCTTTTCTCCTTAAAAGTTTGGTTGTACTTCACACTGACATCTTTTCGACGAGTGAGCTGTGGTAACGACGTCTTAAAATTTTTCCACGGATCTTTATGAGCAATTTGTGTCAGTCCTCTCCATCCTTGCTCCTTGTTTCTCCTTCCTCTTCTGTGGTTTCTATCCAACCAAACTAATATTTTGTTGTCATTTACAATCTGATTCAATTTTCACCATGATTAGCCATCTTTGTTCCTTCTTGTATCATTATTGCCTCTTTTGTGTTTTTCTATCTTCTCGAACCAATATTTTTTTTTATCTCTTTGGAGCAGGAAGTGCATAAGAAAAAAGACCCGATTAAGCTGTTTCAACTTCTTTAGCGTGTTCATGTACTTGTCATTCTTAGGAAAGGAACACAACTTTAAAAAGCAAAGTGAGGAAGACCTTGATCCTTTGAACGCACCGTACGATACGGGCAGTATCATGCATTATGGCAGGTACACATTCAACAAAAATGGCAGACCAACAATCGAGGTTATCGGTAATCCCTATAAAGTAATTGGACAGCGGTTTGGATTCAGTAAAACAGATATTGAACAGTTAAACGCTCTATATGACTGCTCCAATGATGGTAAGTTTTTAAGACTCTCACTTGCACACATACATCTTACATCAAGGGCAGATCCAGGATTTTTCTCCGGAAGGGGTGCTCTACCAGGAATGACATTACTGACATCTCAGACGAATAGAGGGGTTAATGCACGAAGCGTCAGTGCCAATCTATCATTTTGACGGCGTTTGACATAAATTCTTCAAACTCGTCTTATGTTTACTTCAACGCCAATAAACCACATGTTTTTTTCCTTTTTATTTTGCAATAGTACTAGTTACATAGGGGATTCATTTCAGGTAGGAAGAGGGGGGGTGTGCATCCCCTGCACCCTCCCCTTGATCTACCCCTGTACATGCATTATTTACTTTCAAACTAACGGTAACCCATTTAATTAATTCTTATCAAATGGAACATAGCGACTATTTCTAGTTTTCGTTAAGCGTTGCGCTAGAAACTCTTTACAGAGCTAATTTACATTATCAACTTAGTTGATAAAGGCCGAATTGTCATGTTATACTCGCCCACTGACGCAGCACCAGTTTCTTAAGAAACTTACTCTCTTTATCAGTTACTTGATTAGTTCTGAAAAGCCATTCTATCTTCTTCAAGTTCTATAGATTCACCCTTTAGCCAAAGCAGTCTTCTACTCTCATATGTTTGCTTTGTAATGTGTTGCCGATAACTGAAAGAAATTACCCCATATCAAAGGACTCTTTGATCATCTATGAGAAGTCAACAGTTACAAAATTTGAACTGAAAATTTCTCATTCAACTGTCTTATGTTCACACAGCAACAGGCGGCTGGAGTTCGTGGACAAGTTTTGGTCCCTGTTATAAGCTTAATTCTAAATGCCTTCATGATCGCCAGAGATACTGTTCAAACAAAAATAGAGATAAGTGTCCTGGTGCAAACATGTATGGTGTACAGACACAGACAAAGCCATGTCCTCATAGCTGTTCCTGTAAGTACGATTATTATTATAGATAACCAACTTCAAATTTTGCTCCCCTTGACATCCCCTATGGCATCTATCAGTACTCAGTCCAAAACATTCAAGCATCGCTCGAGATGCTTGTAACACCTTGCGAGAAAGACCACATACTTTGAGTCTACTTTTTGCTCAAAAACTCCCGTTAACCATAATACTTATTGATCAAGAGAATGACAGGTGAACTTCAACTCTCTTAGTGCCAGTTGACGGCCATTGGGGTCGTTGGTCGTCATGGTCACCTTGCAGTGTAACATGCGGGTATGGCACCCACACTAGAACAAGAAAATGTAATGATCCACCTCCAAAGAATGGTGGAGAAGAATGTGGTGGAGACAGGAAAGATGTTGGCAAGTGTCTAAGGACAGTTTGTGATCTTGGTAAGTTAATGTCATTCATCTCACTGAAACCATCGAAAATGCGTACAATAGGTTAAACTGTTCATGTGACGCGCTGGATATTAGGTTGGTTGGGTTCTTCTCACAAGTGAACTAAGTCAGACAACCAAATACATTTTCTCAATCATGACATTCTATGATTCTTTGTTTGTTTGTTTTGGTTATAATAACTTTGGTCTTCATGAGTTTCAGACGACTTACAAGTAATTTTCTTCTTGTTCACTGTCAGGTCCATTTGATGTTTCATTTGAATCAGAAGGTATGCATGGCTGGAAATTGTGCGAATCGCACAAAGAGAAGAATCGACCAAATTGGTATTTCAGTATGGGAATAACCGGATCACCTTTCACAGGACCTGTTAGAGATCACACTACGGGCTCAGGTACCTCTCAAGATTTTAAATATGAAAGCGTTCTAAGTATGGCGAGATCATAGTTTTATCTAATTTTTATTCAATTTTTTCTGAATTTTTTCTTCTCTTGGAGTTCACCTATTTAAAATATATCTTCTTCATGCACCAGCTAGAAAATGATAACACTCTCAGCACGTACCTCTTACAAAAAAGTACCTAAGATTGACCATTTTTGAACTGCAGTTTCTACCTCTACGCCGATTTATTCGGAGCATCAACATCCTCCCCCGGTTAACCCATGGGAATTTGAATATCGTCCGTGCCCCGGTGCCTAGGTGGGGTGGGGAATTCAACCAGCAGAATACAAAAGGAGTTTAATAGCAAAGAGTACGCTTTTGTAAGCAAATGGCTAAGAGGAAAGTTCTCACTTAATAGAATAGTGCTTACGAGCGAGAAACTCAACAGAAGCGCCTAAAACTTAAACGTTACTTTACTCACACAGAAAAATCCGTTTAATAAAGAAATTGTGCTTGAGTAGGAATTTGAACGCCAGAATGCTCAGGGAGACGGGAATTTGATCAAACCGATCTTCAACAGTTCACTTGCTTGAGGGGTTGCCCGGAAGTTCGAATTGATCGACGCAAGGTTTCAATAATTCTATCATTTTCTCTTTCTTCAGTCTCCTCCCCCGTTTTTCTTTCATCTGTGAAAGTATAGGGCCACACTAGCAGGCGCACCTCTGTCGTGCGCTGGAGCTCCGCCATCAAACTTTTCAAATGATATTCACTCTTGCTGACCTTTCTCGTGTACAGGAAGATACTTATTTTTTGAAGCATCAGCCCCGGCCGAGAATGGAGACGTCGCCTGCTTTCACAGCCCTAAGATTCCTCCAACATCTTGTCGACGATTGACGTTTTGGTATCATATGTACGGAGCTCAGATGGGAACACTGAGGGTCCTAAAGAAAACAGCGGATGGAACAGCAACAACTCTGTGGAAGAGATCCTTCATGCAGGGAACACACTGGATGTTCGCTAACGTAGTAATTTCTTGCAAAGAAAAATTTCAGGTATAAAACCAAAGCGGAAGACACTATTTTAATCTAATATAACTCCATTCAAAAGCTCCCCAAATTTTCCTTGTTAGTAGGCACCTCGAGAACTTTTGAGACATGAGAAAAAATGAGACATTGGAGATAGAGTGACACTTAAATACGTTATTCTTTGATTCGCTGCTAGGCGATTTCTTAGTTGCTTTTAAGGAGAAGAAGGCATACTATAGTTACTTGAAATTCACGAGATTCGTTGCTTACGCCCGGCAAATAATCGTTAATTTGCTACCTATTATTGTGAAATGCGTGACCGATTGATACACGATTTGAATGCCATTCTAGCACCAACCTTTATCGTTAATAAACGAGTATGCCTCCCGTTTAGTTAGGAAATAAAAAGTCTCAATAAGTCTGGAGTTGCGCGCAAATTTAAACACCATCTTAAACCCTACTGATTGAGAGCAATTCCTGGCCGAAAAAATGCATGAGGTAACGTAATTGTACACTGTGTTGGTAAGGAAGAAAAAAAAAGGCAATTTCTTTAAGAACGCATTTTTTTTACTTTTAGATTTATTTCGAGGGGATTCGTGGTTCAGGTTTTAAAGGAGACATTGGTATAGACGACGTGAGGATTAAAGACTGCAGTGGTTAGCCAATCAAAGCTAAACGTCAATCCCGCACTATGTGCCGAATCGCCTGGCAAGTGGATCACGGAGAAAACATTATTATCTCCAACATCCCCTCTTAATCTTTCAATGACAACTGTGGTTGAATTGTCTTCCGAGGCTTATAATATTTTCATCAGAGCTGGTCTCTGCGGTTCGAAGAACAAGTATTTTAAACTAGTGCTAGCAAGAGCCATCTTAATGTAAAACCCAATTTTTTAAAAATAGTTTAAAGCAACGTGTGGAAACTTATACGGAGAATCAATTATATCTTTTAAGTTTAAAGGATAAGGTCACTTCGGTTTGCTACATAGCCTTCAAAGACACCTGCGAATATACAAAAGGCTACTTAGTGAATTGCCATAGCGCTGTTTAAGAGAAATTGGCTTTGAACCTGGCAATTCTATTGAGCACCTTATGGTCTTCCGATATCGGGTACTATAATGTTCAGATGATCATTCGTGATCATTCGAATAAAGATGGACGGGATTCAATTCATCGTTAATACCATCTGCTTCTCTTGTAGGCAAGACGTGATTAAATGAAATAGATGAGTCTACATTCCTTCCTCTGACATTCCCAATCGCAACTCTCTTGTCATGCGTTTGTGGGCGCCCGCGAACACTTTCACTACTGTAAAAACATGGCTATAACGTCTTAACATCCACCTTTCACTCTGCAAAAATATCCAATTCTTCCGTCTTCAGCGTCAGCGGTAACTCTTGACTACTTCCAGGTTTCTCAACAGAAATGTCATTAATTTCGTTGAAGTTTGACGATGATTCCTTTTCTGGTCGAGTGGTGTCGGCAGCCACGAATTTCACTGTACCGGAAGTTGCCGATTTTGGCTGTTCGAACCTCTCTCTTGTTTTAGCCCGGATGTAACTTTTGCTATCGACATCATCAATGCTCCTTTTAACACCCGAACCAAGACCTCGGAGACTATCACGGACTTCGACTGTTACCTGAAGAAAAATAGAAAAAAGGAAAGTTTTGCGTGAGAAAAGTGTGAGTGTCAGAGCTCGATAAATTGTCGATTTGGAGAATAACCGATAAGGAGACGGGGCCAAATTAACATCAGTTCTATTTTGTATATTTTCATTACTCAAAATCGGCTAAAGTAATATTGTAACACAAGCTCCTTAGCCCAGAGCTGTTAAAACTGACTCCTGTGTCCTTATCCAAAAAAAATTCGTAAATCCTTACAGGTTCAAGGCGACCTGCTCCCTCTCGTCCTAGGCCCTCTCCTTCTTTCCAGCCCATCTTTTCCAACATTTTGCGTCCAACATTTTCTTCTTTGATTGGTCTGAAAACATGAAAAAATTAGGGTACAAGGTATTTGAAAATGAAGATATCCGGATATAAACAGATTTTGCGAAGCAACTTTCACCAAAAGCCTAGAAAGAAGAAAAGGAAAACAAGAAACAAAACCAAACCAAGCCAAGGCAAATCAAACTGGTGATGTCAGCGGCAAACGATTGCTTTATGTCGGCTTTCCTCACGGTGGAAAATAAAAAGCAATGCAATAAGAGGGCGAACAGAGAACAAACAGACCACCCAGTTTACTCCTCATAACCAACACGTGAAATAAAGTGCAAAAGCTGACACTGTTTTTCATTAGCAGTTCCCCTTGATGTTCAATCAGCAGAATACACTCACACTACATCAAAACACATTTTACCGGTGAACGGATGCTGGGAGATCGTCAGCAGTCGCAACAGGAACGTCACTTCCCACTTTGGTGCGTCTAACATCCAAGTAAAAACAAAATCACCATCAAGTGGAACATCATAAAAATTGCTGAGTGTACTTTTAACTGTTAAGTACACGTATCAGATCTGGGCTGAAGGATGAAGACCATTTGGCAACGATAAAATGAAACCAGAACTCAGCTAAAAGTTATTAAAGCCAACCTGACTTCTGCACGATTTTTGTATTTTCCTGCAAGAGTTCCATCGGTAGGTTGTTCACAGTAAGTTGAATCCTGAAAGAGAAAATACATTTTAAAAGCTAGATTTCATAATGAACCAAGAGGTCTTGATGAGAGTACGCTAACATGGTCGGCCATAACGAGAGATACACGGGAATTACCATTCTTTAGGACTGGTTTTCAACGCCGAACTGAAGGAGATCAGCTTTCTTTGAGGGGAAAGATGAAGCCATTAAAATTTGCCTCGCTCCCAATGTATGGCTTCGTAGCTGAGTTGATAATGGCACCAACTAGTATTAGGGAGGCACGGGCTCGAATCCTATCGACGCCTGAATTTTTTCAGGCTTCTTTTCTGCAACTGCTTAAACCGCAGTCCACTTCCGACGACCATTTATTTGCATTTGTTTTGTAATGTTGAGAAGGTGGCATGAGATTTGTAAACCAATTACTGAGCGTAATGAATCAAATCCAAAACATTCGTAGATTGCTGTCGACACTTGCTTGAAAGTTTGCCCCGAAATGTGAACTAGGTGAAAAATTCTCTCTAGAGCTTACAAAAGAAATAAAGCCCACCTCTAACGCGTAAGCTCTCTTGATTCTCTTCAGTTCTGATTTCCTCTGTTCTTGAACTGAAAGTGAATTTAACGATCTATCTCCGGGAACAACTTTTGTAATGGTAACTGTAACAAGAAAAGGAAGCAAAGTCAAAGAAACTGACAGACCACTTTAATAAGTGGACAAAATAGGTAAGTTTCTAAAGAAACTGTGGCGCTGCGTCGGTGGGAGAGTATAACAAGGTAATTTGTTATTATAAACTGAGTTGATACCGTAAATTGGCTATGAAACTCTAAACGGTGGCCAATTTACGATATCAACTCAGCTGATAATACCAAATACACTGACATAAGTAATTGAAAAATTAGCGTAATCTGTTTCTACCTTACTAAGCCTTCTACACATGACAAAAGTACGAAGGTTTTTTTTTTACTTTCCTATCCCTTAATAACAACTTTAAAGCCAATAAAACCAAATTTTGATGGTGCATGTAGTGCGCAAGAGTTTACCACACCTCTAAGCGTTTGAAATCATGGATGTGAATTGGTCACGAAGATGGCTACAAACAACGATCTCCATGATTATTAAGACAACTAATGTATTATGCATTTTTAAAGTCTTTTACGGAATTGGAAGGAAGCTTTCTAAATTGTTGATGAATTTTCGAAGTCCAAACAACATTCTTTATTTGGAAATCGACAGAATTGCTTGATTAAAAAGAACACCATCATCAACATTAACCATTCTAATTTACAAAACCTATAGACGATGAGGACCATACAAGTACTCGTACTTCACACTGTGTTTCTGAACGTTAACGTTTAAATTTGTAGGGAATGACAACTTTAAGGTATCTTTACACGCAAATCCTAATGGACGATAAAAATAACACCTTAAAGATGTGAATCCTTATCGCCCATCAGGCTTCAGCTGTATTTCAGATGACTGCCACATGAAAACCGCGTCATTGACCAAGCTAATCAATTTTAATGAGGCGCCCAGCCAGGACAAGAAAATTCTTTGCCCAAAATATTCATATTGACTTGAATAAATTATATTAATTCTATACGGCATACATCTGCATTGAAAATAAATACATAAGAGAACGAATATTTTAAGTACTAAGCGAACTTTATCGCAAATGTTCATCACCTGAATCAATTTCATGGTCTAATATTAATTCTTCCCGTCTTCCCCACTCAAATTGACGAATCTGTTCCCTAAATCACTAAAAAGGGTCCATAAACTACAAGCTGCAAACCTTATTTTAATTCCTGGCTAAGCCTATCTACTCTTTGCATATGTTAAAAAAGAAAAAAAAAATTAAGTAAAAAATTTCAGAGTCAATCGGTTGGCCACACATCGTCTTTTATTATCGGAAAGTTACATTGTCTCTGCCTTTTCAACAAAAACAAATCTTTCTCGTGGACTGAAAGTTCCTTAAAACCCGATAAATGTAAATGTTAACAGTAAACATAACATATTGCACCTGTCGTGTGTTTACGTGTGCAATGAATAATTCATATTTGCACATTTCTAGACAAAGGCCTTATGCTGCAGGGAAAAATATCATTGGTCGAGATCTCTCCAACGCTCAACCTGTGTTTTGTCTTCACAGCAGTAACTTTTCGTTTTCCTTAGCAACAAATTGTTTAAATGCCTCAGTCATTTAGCATACCCTAGCTGTTTTGAATAAGTGATTCAGGATTTCACATGCGGTGAGTCACTCGAGAAACGAAAATTTATTTCTCTTCCGAATGATTCTTAGCATAAGGACTAGCTTATTTGGAATGGGTAACAGCATTAACAACTTATCAATATAAGGTGCCTTTACCAAGGATCTATGAAGCATCAGTTATATTAAGGACGCAGACAGAATAACAAAGAACGAGGCAACTCAGGTGAAATTGTACTCCATAATAACATCTCGCTTCAATTTTGGTTAAAAGAATACTTTACCTTCATATTTGACAGTTATTTAGCTTCTGAGTAAAATATCAAGCGCTGTTATTAAATAAATTTACGGGAAATGATTTAAAACGATATTAACTTGATTTATTTTAACTCGAGATTTCTGATATGACAGGATTCTTGAAAATTTGACCTGTCAAACTTTCGACGTATTAAAGCCGGAAGAAAGGGCATTTCAAACCATATGTAGGTTCGATTCTTATCTCACTATTTTTGTTTGCTCTGCAGTCTCAGCAGCTATGTCAACAAAGTATCCAGTTCAGGTGGACTGCATAAGACAAGTGCCACCCACGGCGCTCGAAACGGTAGAAGAAATCCCGGCGGTTGAGCCTGTACATCCAGAAAAAACAGCAGATAGTAGTGATGATGAATACGACACAGACTTAGAAAACGATTTCATAGAGGAAGATCCTCAGGAAAATAACCAAGGAAGGGAAAATTATCTGACAGCTTGTAAAAATCTTGGCCTGATCCCTTGCACTCCGTTTCTCAAGCAAATCGGTAAGGCAGAGATGAATCTGAAGCATTACAATCTTGGGTCGCTTGGAGCCGAAGCAGTGGCGGTAGCGCTGATGCAAAATACAAAAGTGCTGTCGGTGAATATTGCTGATAATTGCATCGGTGCAGACGGGGCTATCTACATGGCCAAGATGCTAACCGAGAACCCGTATATTACAGAACTGGACGTCTCGCAGAATGATCTGCGCACGCAAGGGGCGTATGCTATGTCAGAAATGCTAAGAGAGAACTCCGAACTCCTTGAGCTTAACCTCTCGAATAACGGTTTCCAGGAAAAAGACGCTGAACCTATAGTGGAAGCTATGAAGCAGAATTACACTCTGAAATCATTGAATCTGAGTCATAATCGCTTCTGTGAAATGGGTGGACGACTGCTAGGCCCAGCAATTGACGCCAATGTTGGTCTAGAGTATCTCGATTTGAGTTGGAATCACTTCAGAAGGCAAGGAGCGATTGCCGTTGCTTATGGATTGAGAAACAACTGCGCTTTAAAATTTCTGGACTTGTCATGGAATGGCTTCGCAGACGACGGCGCGAAAGCAATCGGCGAAGCACTGAGCGAGAACAACACTCTGACTGAGCTTGATATTTCTAGTAACCGGATATCTGTCGCTGGAGCAAAGAGTCTGGCAAACGGGCTGGCTAAAAATTCAACCCTGCAGATCTTACGCATCGGACAGAACCCGTTCCAGAGTGAGGGTGCTTATGAGATCTTGAGCGCCGTTGCGAAAAATAAAGAGAGCGCCATTGAAGAATTGTACTTCGACGACATTCCTGTGAATGCCGAGTTTGAGGACTTACTGGAGGAAGTGTTGGATGAGAGACCGAATCTGAGTGTTCAGTGTGGAACGGCCATGAAAGGGAAGGACAGGGTTAAGAGAATGAAGAAAAAAGTGGTGAGTAAGCAAAAAGCGCTTTGCGAGGCGAAGAGGAAATGAGCTGGGATAATCAGACTGATTTCACTTGAAGGGGAGAACTCAATTTGGCTAGAACCAGTTTTGTCAGTTCACACAACTGACCCCTATCATTTACGGACAATACGGCAAAAATAGCTACTTCTGACTTACGATGAGCAGTCGAAGATAACAAATTATTCATTCTTAAAATTGCAGATGAATCGAGAAATTTTTCATAGGTACGGAAGAGGAAAATTAATTTAAAGACGGCGGTTTTTTGTCAACTGACAGCAGAAAAAAAGGAAAAGCTGGTTGCGGAATTTTCACATTACAGTCGGAAAGGCGGGAAAATGTTTGAGAGAAAAACCTGCCGTTTACCACTAAGTTGCTATCCAAGTTGAGATAGGTGAACAATTTTCCCAGAAATTATAGTAATCAAATTTTTCTCCTCTTTTTGCAGGACGTTCTTAATTTGCTCTTGGAGTACATCGAGCTCAGAGGTCTTCGGGTGGTAGACTTTTTCCGCCAGTTAGACAAGGACAACAGTAAAAAGATCTCTAGAGCAGAATTCATGAACGGAGTAAAGAAAGCTGGAATACCAATGACTAGAAAGCAGCTGAAGAAGCTCGTTCGAATTCTAGATACAGACAATGATGGGAATATAGACTACGGAGAAATGATCGCCATTAAAAAGGACGAAGTGTTTGACTTCTACCACAAAAAGAAGACTTACAAGAAAGACGATCCACTATTACAGTCCTTTAAAGCCGCCCAACTAAAGAAGCCCTAAACAAACGGAGGCTGTTATAGTACAAAGCAGCAACTTTTATGCCTGATTGGTTGAGATGGTGGGGCGAGATATCTGGACCAATTACAGAGCAAAGTAAAGCAAACCCGGTGCAATCACTGATTTCTTGTGACACTCAGTTGAAAATTGCCCAATTTCGAAAAGTTACTTGGCAAACGTACCTACCTACCTGGTGCTAAAAGTCAACTCTCAAACGGCAACGGAATGTACAGAGTAACCAAATTTTCAATTTTTCACCAGCACTGGCTGCCTGGCATTTTTAACTCTTAGGTTATTTTGGGCAGCCAGCGCCCCTATCATTGTCTGTACTATTATTATAAATTTTTCTTTCTTGTATATTTTGGGGTGAAAAAAATAAAGTTGTTGTTGTTGTTGTAGCACTCTATCACACAGTTTCTCCTTGCTTGGTTGAGCAAACTGATGATATAACACACATACATGTACAAGAAGAGGGACGCTTTGTAAGCTCCATCAGACTGGCTCAGGGGATAAACCAACCAATCTACTTGTATCATCCAACATAATCAACTTACAATACTCAACCAATCATGTGCACTCAGTCTGTAATAACCTAAGAAACAGTTTGAACTAGATGCCAATTGCTAATATTCTGTTTCACCTTTTTCATACAAGTACAGTAAGTATCCATGAAAAACTCATATTTTCACAAAAACCTTAGAAACAATAAAATTGTCAACATTATTAAAACAAAAAACTTCATAACTGTCTACGTTTGGTTCATATGCTGCACAAAACCTACAAACAGTAACAAACAACAACAGTACCATCGTCATCCACAGCAGTTGAGGTGCCTTGATGTGCCAGGGCCTGTACCTGGCCAGGCTCACAGGAGTCACATGTTTGTGTTCCTGGGTGGATATGCAAATGAAATGTGGTGGTTCCCAGGGTCAGCTCGTCACCGTGAGTAATGACCTGCAGCTGGCTCTTTTGTTTGCTCTGATGATTACATAATAAAATCACAAAATGTCCACATTATACATTAATCACTGCCATTATTGTCTGTTTATCAATTTAAGGTCTTCGAGAATCAGTAAAGAGTTTGATTCACAATGATCAGTTTGAACCAGAGTGGGTTGGTGTTTATAATTTTGATGATTACAGTGTACCTCTGAAAGTCTCGATCCATTAAGGAATGTTCCATTTCTGCTTCCAACATCACAGATGAAGTACTGTCTCCTTTCTTTGTCAAACTCAATGTTACACTGCAGCTGAACAAATCATGAAAAATGTGAATGTATCAACAAAACAATGATGCTCTCAGCAATTAGATGTTTGCTTAGAACTAACCACAAATGAGTGCTGCATACCTTACTGACTTCAAAATCAGGGAGTCGTATAACATGTGACATATCTTTTTCTCTGCAAGAGAAAACCGCATTAAATTTCTTTTAAAGTACACTCAGTAAGAAGGCAAAGGTTTTTTTTAATACTGCAAAGAGAATTAATGATAAATCTCCTAAATCCAAATGTTGTATGAAATTTTTATTGTGGTCCAGCATTCACTTAGGTGTTGGTTATTTTTGTTCTGTATCATAATAGAAGGAAAAAAAATTAGGAGATATTATTATGTATTTAACAAAACAATTGTTTTAATTACTATGGTACTATGGTCACCCATTAATAGCCATTGACACATACCTGCCAATTGTTCCTCCAGTGCAAGTTACAATAAAGAGACTTCCGACTTTCATTTTCAAAGACTTGATTACAATGGCTCTGATGCAAGGAAACTGCACCTCTGTAACTGCAAAAAAAAAAACAACAAAAAAAAAACAATTAATTTACCAAGTTCACAATAAATGAACACAGCACACACAAATAAAAAATAACTTTTGATGGTTTTAACATATTATCTAGATGGTCTCCAAAATTACACTGTATGGTGTGAACATCATGACCATTTAAAATTTTTGCATAGCAAGGGCATGGCTACATATACATATGGGTGCACAATAAAAACCCGCAATATTTTAGAATGCAGAAAGCAACATTGTATGCACAGTTGGGTCATAAACCCATTAAACAGGTTCAACTGGTCACTCAGTTATGAGCAAACCAAGTTGAGATGTTTACTACTTGTAGTTCTATAAGAACAAAATTTCAGGCAAAACTTTTTAACCCACGAAAATTTGTCCAGTCCCAGATGAATGTAACCTATATGCAACCACCTCCCATAAAACATCATTGCACCTTATAGAAACTTTCCTAAAAACAGCCCTTCATGTATACTACAGAATTTATAATTAAAGAGCCACTAACTCTCTGAATCCTTGTCATTTTTTTCCTCGTCATCGCTGGTTTCTTCGCCACTCTCCCTTTCATCCTCGTCATTTTTTATTTCTGTTGATGCTGCTTCTTCAAGATTACAGGACAAATCAACTTTGGAGTGAAACTTGTAAGTAGCACTTTGTTCATCATAATAGTAGTATGTTCCTGTAGTGTTTTCATAGTATAAACGGCTATTCTGAAAGCAATTAAAGGAAACTCATCATTTTAATTTTAGAGTAACAGTTTCATGGATGTCACAAATATAATGAATTATGACACATTCAGGACATTTAGTGAAGATCTATCAGTGGAAGATAACAAAGATGTACAACATTACAGCTGTAGTTAAACTGAAATCTATAAAACTTAAGAATATGGATCTGTGACATTTTCTTGCTTCATTTTTATTTCCTTTTATGATGATATTGTAAATTTATGTAAGAAAATATACCTATACAATGTACATATACAAAAAATTGAACTGCAGCTTGCTGTCACTACCTTACACAATAAATAAAAGCCTTTTGTGTGAATATTTCATTGACACATCTATCATCTTTGATAGAGAGTCTGCTGTTAAAACTTATAGCTATGCAATAGACAGCCTTTGCAGTTCCCTTCAATCAAATTTGAGTATAAGGTCTGCTTTTAGATAATCAAGACATTAAAAGCTTCAAAACTTACTGGGTCATAATAGTAACCTGTGTTCCAGTCATAGTATAATCCTGTCCTTTCATCATAAACAAATCCACCAAGAGACATGGCATCAGCAGCTGCTTGTTCTAATGACTCTTTGAGGTCCTGCAGAAATTTTAACATAACTGGATAAATAAAAGAAGCATTGCTTTCACATATAGTAACTGTAGCCTCATTCACTCTTTAATGTATCCATCACATTTTCCCACAAAAATATGGGTGGTACATGTAAATGGTAAATATGGATGGTACATGTAAATGCATGTTAGCAGCAGTGCTGTACTTTTCAGCAATTCTTCATTGAATATTAAAAGCCCAATTGAGAGCAATTTTTTTACCTTGCTTCCATGACCACCTGATAGCCAGCTTTTCTTCTTGTTACTGCCAATTGAAGCCTCTACATATAAAATATTTCAAAAGTTGCAATAAGAGGTACAGTTCTGATTCCTCAGAGTATGGTATATTCCAGCCCTATACATGTACCTCAGGGAGGTTAACTTTGTCTCAGAAAACCATTAACTTACATCTCCACCCATTAATCACCAAGAAAAGAAACATTTTTGTGTCTCACATTATTGACACTTCAATGTGGAATGCAGTATTTTGACTATTGATGACGTGTTGATCTAGTTGTCAGTATTATTATTGGCTGAAGAAGACTTGCAGTATGTAGTTGAAACAATGCAATCTACATTGGGAGTAACTCCGTTGTTAGAAAAGTAACTGTACTTAAGTGCCAGAGTATCACCACAGTGACTAACCGAAACTTCATCTGCAAAGAAAAGGTACACACAGATATGTATATCAATTACTAAGAAACAAGCAAACAAGTCGCAGAAAACCTTGTGTCGTGCTCTCAGCCTGTAGAGGATCATTGCTTTTATTTCTTCCCTCTAAAGTCTTCTTTCTCTCTTCTTGCAGCTTTTTTCCTAAATCTCTTACTTCAGTTTTGAGATTTTCCACACTCCTTTGTGCGCTATCACGTTCAAATTCAGCCTTCCGAAGTTTCTTACTAGCTGCCTCTAGCTCGCGTTTCAACTCGGTTATTTGACCGTTCAATTCGACGATCTTATCATCTTTCAGAGATGCCGCGTCAAGATCTTTAGCCGAACCTTCCAATTTCCCGTTCTCATTCTCCATTCGCCGTCATGAGCCGCAAGATCTACAAAGAACACAGAATACATATGTTGGTGTTTTCCTCCAACTCCACAAAGAGCTTCGAATTCTCTGTTTATATCTTGCCACATTGCGTGCAAAACCTCTATTGGCGCTAAAAGATTTCTCAATCTGTTGTAAACGTTTGAAACTTTTACTCTAGTAAAAACCAATGCTATATCCAACAGCAGAATGCTTCAGGATCTACAGCTGATGACACACTTCGCGGCGGCCATCGCGGCCATTTTAAAATGATATCTCGAGCCAGACTTCTGAGAGTGACGGTTGGCTGAGAACGAGGCTTAAGCGCTGAGAACGAGGCTGAAATAGCAGGTGCAGAAATACACTAAGGGTATAATTCACGTTTCTAAGGCAAACATTGGCGGTGAGGCGTCTTTTATTTTCTAGCAGTATTCCTCAGAGAAAAGAAACAAGGATTCGCTTGGGCCTGTCATTTCCCCAAACTGACCTTCTACTCGCAGCGGTTCCTTCGAAAGAGTGATTCAACCAAAGTCTCCACAACATGTTCATAACAGTGAAATTTGCAGGTTTGGTGAAATTTTCAGGCACATTGACTAATAAATATCGACTTGCTTGCGAAAATACGGTTAACATATTGCGCTACTGAAAAGAACCACACGAAAAATTCTTGAGCACCGAGGGGATCATCATTTCGAGGTGATGCATTAGACGCAATTGAGAATTTTTTCAAAAATGGCTAAAGGAAAAATGCTTTATTGTGCTCCACAGGCGGGTGAATAACCTTAAAGGTCTTTAATTGAACAATGAATTTTTTTTCTTGAAGTACTTAAGGACTTTTTTCAAGGATTTTATGGGGAATCTTTACCGTTATAATGTGACCAAAAGGTTTCCCAACTCTGTCTTTTTAATCAGGACTGAATAAAATTATATTGGAAATACAACCGTCCGATATGGAAATTAAGTCATTTCCTCGACCGTAAATAGATTTTCTATTTACTAGGAAGATGCCCGATGTGTTTACCTTTCGGCTTAATCATAATGTGTTGAAATTGTCAGCGAAATTACACAAATCATTTCCTGTTCACAATTTCATGTTAAAAATCTTTGTTCACGCACCAGAAAATTTATTGATTATCCGAGGGCTTATTGGAAGATCAGTAAGTCAATTCCCACGTTTTATCCATACATATGTAGATTCTATTTATTCTCAAATTGTTTGACTGATTCAATTTTTTTTCAGATGACAAAACCGAACTTTTCAACCCGAATTGTAGAAATTGCCTACTGCTGAGTAATATCAAAGAAAGATGTGACTGTGAAGATGACGGTGAAAAGAGAGTTTTTTTTTTCTCACACTTTAGCATGGATGTAAAACTTTGAAATTTTTTTTGACCCCATCCGAAATTCATGTCAATATTTAGACATAATAAAATTCAGAACTTAGCAACTTCGTCGGCAGTTCACAAGAATTATTGGCAGAAAATTGCCAAAATACGTGGAACCTAGATATAGTGCCTTCGGCGGGATTCCTTGTAAAAGATAACACTCAACATGATATTGAATGGAAAACACCGTTTGCCGCTTCTGCGGTTTTTGCGTGCGTTAATGACAATTGTGTTTCTTCGTCGCTGAATCCATTCAGGAAGGAGTGGGTGAACACACCTTAAAGGAAACTGACTCATAAAAAGGCGTCAATTGTTTTTTTTTATTTAAACGATGATCCAATTCGTGGGAGGATCACAGGGGCTAGATCAAGAGAAGATTTCGATACTAGAATAGGATCGCGCTTGAAAATTAAAACATTTCTAAAAAAATTTTCGAATGAAACGTTCGAAGATGATATATGATACTGGAAAAGGAAATGAAAAAAATCTAAAGAATCAAGACGAATACCTACAGAGTTACTCTTGAAGAAAGGTTAATTTGCATATGGCACTTGGCTACCTGTTACTTTCACGATCGTTCGCCATATTGCCTGCCGGTATTCTTTACCCACCAATAAATCTTTAAAACTTGAGTGGGTTTTGCTCTACCGTGATTGGTCCAGAAAACACGCGCTACTCTCTCAACCAATCACATGCAAAACTATAACAAATCACAACTTGGTCGCCCGCGTTTTCCCGCGCTTTAGGCGGTTTGCTTGTTTTTATTTTGAATTCTCATTAGCTCTTTGGGATATTTTCCTTTCTTCTGATTGGCTTTTTTAATTATAATTGGGTCTGGGTTTTACGACACTCATTCGAAAAGTTCATTTATTTGAAGTTATTCAAGTATGTTCTTCGTCCATTCGTAAGTTTAAGATTAATTTAATACCAGGGTTAGACATTGTACGGGAGAACTTACCACTTGACTGCACGACAAAATTTTCCTTCAGATTTTATCGACCTCTCTGATGAAAGTGGATCGCTAAAGAATCTTCAAAGTCACCCAATGGATTATGGGACAAAATACTTGAATGAAAGAGAGATTCTTATTCTTGTGAAAGGGGAGAGTAAGTTTTGCAATTATGTGTTTTTTACCTTACAACCTCGCTTATTCTTTCCTCTTAGCCTCTAGTCATAGTTTCTAACCTAATTATTATTCCCTCCTGTTTTGCAATAGAAACAGACGGAGAAAATATGACGTTTGTACCGTTACTGGAAGGAATGGAGACAAATAAGGCATTTCTCGGTAAGTGGTTTAAAATCTGATGTTAGGAGGCTTCTCAATTGATCATCGCAAAACCAAAAGGAAACAAGCCAACACAGCCAATCAGAACAAAGTGAATACATGCAAATTAAACGTCCTCTTGTATTGAAAACGCCGGAAAACGTGCGGACCGAGGTGCACTTGATTTGAGTTTGTATCGAGTTTATAAGAAACCTGCAGCTATCGTAGATATTGATAAAATTGCAAAATTCTGCCTTCATTTGTTTTCAATTTGCAACTTGATTGCAAATATTCCCCATGTTTTTTTTTAGAGCGGCTTAATCCACCACCACCAAAACCAGAGAAAATCCGCTCAACAGCAAGGGATTCCCCGAGCAGACTTCAGGTTGAAGGGGCACGTGGAAAGAGAGCGTCACTCGCACCCAGGCCGAAACAAAACCAATTGGCACCTCCGGTGAGCTCCTCAAGGGCCCTTTCCCCGGGAAGGAGAGGCAGCAGAATGAGGAGCCAAAGTGTACAGCTAGCGCAAGCCCCATTAAGTTCTTCGCTTAATTCAGCAAGACGTGCTCGGTAACCTATATATGGTATTTTTATCATTATAGCTTTCTTTCGATGCAAGGATTACAAAAAGAGGTATTTTTTGGCATTAAAGTGATCCATGTTAGTTTGTGAGTGATAGTCGAGTCTCAACGTTAACTCCGGCAGATAATTATGGTGTGAGCACAAAGTAAGGTTCCACATACTACCATAGGAAGTGGAGAAAGAGCTTTCCTTTGCTAGATATTCGCCAGGATTGCTCCAAGAATTTTCTCGCCGAAACTTCTCCTTACTCCACACAGAAAGGTCTGTCCTGATATCGTATAAAGAACTGTGTAAATTGTTCATCCTTGTCCAACACGGACATGTCAGTTTTTTTTCAACAAGGAGGCTCGTCGAACAAAAACTCATATTGGTTTTCCATCTACACCACGCCAAGAAAAACATTTCAACCAAATTTTACAGAGTTTAAAAGAAAATACTCATTACCGAAAGAAACTCAAGGTTTTCAAAATATTTCGTCGTTCTTTAATAAATAGAGGCTTGAAAATAAATAACCACTTTATAGCTATTTTCCTTCCATTGCATTTAAAATCTATTGTACTTGTATTTACGATTTGTAAACTATGTCTTCTAGTGTGTCTCTTCAATCGCACTTCTGATCTTTTATCGAAATTCTTCTTCTTTCTTGTTATAGACCCGAGCTAAATCAAGAAGATTTAGATTACATCCATTTTAATATATGTGGTGATCCTTGCATTCTGATAAGCTCTTATTGGTGCGATTTATTCACGAATCGCACGCACCACGTTTTGCTCTAAATCGCATCTTTCCCTCAGCGAACGAGGAAGCTTTACCAAGATACAACAACTAATCAGATCTCGAGGTTTGTTCAAAGAAACCAAACAAATTGCAACAAAATGAAAAACAGCTTTTGCAACTTTCTACGAACCAGCCCACTACTGGATCAGTACGATATTTTTACGGACTAAAATCCTATATCTGACCAACTGAATTTTGCGATTTCAAAATGGATGTAATAAAGTAGTAATTGAACTTTGTGTCGGGGAATTTTGTTCTGAAATCATACAAGTAATTTAACATCAAACTTGTGCTGCGCACTCGTTTGATTTTGAAATTACGCATATGATTTCAGGCCAAATTGTACTGCACTTAGTTCAGTTACTATTATAAATACTTTCCTGTTCCTGAACCCCATTAACATTCGGAATCTGGTCCCAGGGTATTTCTTCCTCGTCTAGTTGTTGCAGCGTCAGGCCTGGTGTCTAAATCACTATCGCAACATTTACATAGCTGACAAGCGAACTGGCCTATCGTAGACTTGAGAACAACTCTTCTTATTTGGCGATTAAAAAACCCATACAGCATAGGATTGACAGCTGTCATGCAAACAAACAAAAATGTCACAAAGAAATCTAACCCGTTGGAAGCGGTCTTCTGAGAAGCACCCGACCAAATACCGACGATGTAATACGGTGCCAAGTTAATGACAAAAGTTAAAAGCAGAACAAGAGCATTCTGCACCGTTTTCTGCTCATAAATGGAACTCTGGCGCGTTAGACTTCGCGTTATAACTTCTCTTCGCCTTCTCATTTCTTCCCTTTGGAGGGCATTGTCTCTCCTTGAGGGAGATAGCTCGAAGGAATACGACCTCGATGTGGCCGGTGAAGAGACATTTCCTCTTTCCGAAGTTGAAGGAGAGGAATTACTACCTTGTGAATTGTTCCTCGATAAGCAACATGCCAGTTTCTGACACAGAGTTTGCGAACGTTGATAGGTAAAACTACCCTGATCACTCAGTCCACGAAGTGTATTGTAGTCCGTCTTTTTTCTTTGACGTTTTGTCTTCAAATAAATAGCACGATAGATAAAGAAAAGAATCCCGAGCGGCACAAAAAAACTAATCACCACGAGATATACAGAATACACCAGGTCCGGTCCGCCATCTTGCCAATCGACTGAGCAAAATGCTTTGCCAGGAATATATCTGTATGAATTCCAACCAAACAAGGGTGGAACGGCGGTCACTAACGACGTGAACCACACAAATGCTACCATTGTTTTTGCTCGACGAACACTTATTGTGTCAGATAGAGGCTTGACGATGAGATAATAACGATGAATTGCAATAAGTACTATGGAAAAATTGGACGCCATTGATACCAGATTTATCAGCATACCTGATATTTGACACCATGCGATATCGAATGGCCAATGATCCACTATTAACGATGCCATGGTGTAAGGAGTGTGCAGGAGGGCTAAACTAAGGTTGGCAACTGCTAACGAGAAAGGGAACAGATTTGAAGAGGTCTTTAAACGGTAGGGCTGTAGCATGGCGTAACATATGGTGCTGTTTGCCACCAAAGCTATCACAAACAAGATGCCAAGGAAGAAGACCTCGGCGACCTTCTCTGGTTGGGAGCGGCTGGTTGGTGAAGCCAGAAGGCCAGTCATTCTTTTAACCCTGGGTATGCAGACAAACTGCTTTCATCCATAAGCTGAAAAAGACAAAACCTTTAGATGAGCCTGATAATGTAAATTGGCCAAAGTAAGAAGTTTTTAAAGCTAACGTCCGAAAGTTTTTCGGTCAGAGCGAATGACGAAGATCTAACGTCCGAAAGTCAGCTTAAGAAACTCCAACCCACGGTGGCCAATTTACAGTATCAACTCAGGTGATATCTACCACCAACGCAGCACCACATTTTCTTTAGAAACTTGACCCCTGTAGATGAGCATGTTTCGTTTTTCTTTTTTTCCTTTTTCATCGGAGTTTTGTGTCATTCTGATTAATTTATTCGCCCATATTTTTAGCTACGCACATTCTTGACGAGTTTCGTGATGCTTTCTAAACATGTTACTTTTAGACTAAAAGGATTGAAATACCGAAAGAAAGGACAGAAAGGAGTGGAATTCCTTTCATATAATTCCTTTTTGACAAAGATTTTCTCATAATCATAAAATACAATTATTCTCAACTTATCTATCCGTTTATCCACCAGATTTGCCGTTGTCAACTCACTTTTCGTTTCGACTCAACTAAGGCTGGATGCGCTCATTGCGAGCTAACGCTTGTCGTGAATACTGAGTACATGTAATGAAATATCGCTAAGTTGCATAGAAACAAACAGCTTAGCCAAATGCGGAGCTCCGAAGACAGGCCACTGCTTATAGAATGTAAACTACAGGAGTTGAATTGTTTTTGACGGTAAATTCAGCCAATGTAAACAAGCCAAACTCGCGAAGGACGAAGTTGACTAAACACTGCGGATAATTTATGCTCGCTCTTAAAACCAGCCTGAGAGTTCAAGTGCTGAGCAAACAATGCGCTGGCATATTATCGTTTTCAAGATAAAAGGCTTAAGATGAAATGGAGCTAATGAAAAAATTCCGTTGCTATCAAAATGAAAGAGTTCGCAATCATAATTCTCTTAGGCAGTCCCTAATTTATCACAGTCCCGAAAGTTTTTTTTTTCAGTTATTTTTTTCCTTCCCGATCGACCTCAGCTTTCGTTTCCCAAGAGTTCAAGGCGAAGCGATTTTCTCAAACAATATACTACATGAGTTGTTAACATCCCTGCAACTTGTGTGGCTGTGCTATCGGCTCTTTAATGGTGTCACTCTCAAAGTTAAAAAAGAATTAAAAAGAGTAATTAAAAATATTATATTTTAAGACATCAGATATGAATTATTCATTTGTCTTTGTCGATCGAGTGAAGACAAAAGAATGAGTCTTGCGTTACCCTAAATTAAAGTCTTTGAAATAGATTTTCTTTAAAGCCGATTAAATTAAAACCAGGCAATATGTTACAAATATTTTAAACACATCGACCGAGTTCTTGGTCGAATTTTTGTTGAGTTTAGTTACCTAATTAAACGCTGACTCATTGCTTCAAATAGTTTTTGGCAGTTTGTGAATTAATTAAAATACAACAGGACGATTTCTTAGAAAAATTAACTCAAAAATTCTTTTCAAACATCGTTAAAGAACAATTCCGAATACTAAATGATGTACATGAGTTTTGGCGGCTTTGAGATTTCAGCAACAATGTCGGCCGATCTTAGTGTTTACATTAGCTTGTCTAACCTAAGAGTTTGTAAACTATTCATAGTTCATATTCAACTCAATTGCAACTACAATTATCAAGCGCCAACTATCTCCGGCAAAAATTGCAATGATTAAAGGAACTTCAAACTATGAGAATTTGACTATTCTGCTTACCTCTCGAGTGTCAGCCTTGACTGTCGGCGCGGTGGAACTTCTGCTACGGAAAACCGCGTTTAATTTTGTGTTAACTGACACAATAACTCAAACATGGGTCGTCCTCGATTCTATCTGGAGATCTCACCTTTCTTTCTTCGATTCTGCAAAAGGTCAAGACATCTTTGTCACCCTAAAAACTATTCCGTGATCGAGGGTTCGTACAAAATTTACAGAATTGCGCCTGAAGTGTCTCGCAGTCCTCTAACCGCAATAAACCGTGACCACAAAATATTAGCCGACGAGTTTACAGATCGTTTGTTTGCATTTGAAAGGCAATTAAGTACTGAGAACAAAGGATTGAAGTATGGTTCAGACAGCTCTGACCATTAGTTAATAATAGCCGTAAATAATTTACCTGGTGTTGTTTACAAGTTAAGTTGAACTGACTATTTTAGGTTGTCGGCAGTCTCAAGAGTTGATCAGTCCTAAATTTAACCGCCCCAAAAGCGCTCAAATATCGTGAAACAAACCAGCTGACTCAATGAAATTTAAATTACTAAGATTTCGGTTTTTTTTGCGTTGTCAAAAATATTGTTTGGATAACCGGTTTGGGGTTTTTGAGAGATGTCATCGAAAGCAATTTACCGCATGGCATTGCGGTATTTCCAATTGTGGACTCGCCTTTCTTGTTCAGGGTAACTTTCAATAAGTAACTCGGAATTACAAAGATACCTTTTTGAGCTTCTGAACTGACAACCGGTACCACTGGACCCTGGCTGAAATTTAAATTGTCAATCGTATCATCCGTATCGACAACTCTTACTGGTCGATGAAGACTCTGGTCAACGAGAAAAGACAATGCATACTTATTTCCTCTGAATTAATTTTACTTCCATTTCTATCATGAGGTAATCATGGGTTTTCGCAGTCTTATTTCTTTTTCTTTCCTTTTACTTAATCTACAGACTTTTGACCAGCTTTTCATTAATTTTTTGACTGACAGTGTCATGTGATCACCAGCTGCAAAGAGCTTGTTGGGGATGGGCAGATTATTGTTAGAAAGCAGGCCAACTCATTGTTTCCTTTTTAACTAGTCATGCTGTTTAATCCAGTCACGTAATGAAGGCAACCTGTCGCAACACGTTGATACATCTTTAGGGAGCGCGCTGGGTGCCAAAACCAAACAACAACTGCTAGTGAGACCTTCAAGAATGAAAGAATTGGGTACTTTGTAGGTCTTGGAGCCATTTCAATTTGGGTTCGTGCACTCGAAACTGTTCAAAACGACAAGGAAAACAACAAAAGAGGCTTATAAAACGAAGGAAATCGATGTGAGTTGCGTAAAAACGCGAGCGTCCAAGTTTTATCGGTTTTACCTATACAATCCCGGATTACTCTAATAGCTCAGTTAAAAACCACTCACGCTTCATCACGAAACTCTTTAGCCTTGTGAACTGATTTTGTTTGAAATTCAATCCTCAACATAATGGCATGCTTTTATTATGTCGCAAAGGTTTAGGCACTCCCTTCACCTTAGAGCGACGTTCGCGCCATCTTTTCACATTAATCAAGAGTTTCATGAGGCAAATTTCTTCAGCGATTCTACCCTGATAACACAAAGAGCAACAGTAGCCAAGCGACCCATTCGCGCAAATTAGTCGCACCAAGTGTTAAATTAGTAAAGAATCCCCTGTTAATTTCATCTTGTTAATAAAGTAGGTACGAACTATCATGAAAATTAAAAATATCATAGGAAATTTCAGTACTCTTGCCAAAAGGTGTCTTTTATCCCGGATTACTTCTTTGTTTAGTTCTGATGAACGTCCTTCAATAATGACCTTTATTTAGCTTGCGCCTGAAAAATTTGATTCAAATGTAGCGCATAAAGTCAGCGTGAACGGGTTCATGGCAGTTCTGCTTTATGCTCGATTTCTTGATGAAATTGCGTGAGCAACGCGGGATAGACTAATTGTTAATTCATGAAAAGTCCCGTGCGCGAGTTGGTGAAGAAGCCGCAGTGAAATGTGATCTTGAAGAGACTGGGTTCCATCTCATGTGTGAATCCGCTGGAGAACCCTCGACTTGCCGAAAATCTCTTGCAGCAGAAGCAGACGATTTGTCTTTTTGCGTGTCCCCGTCACCTCCCTTCTGTGTTTGGTCGCCGCCTGCGCTCGCACTATCTGTTGAAGAATCGGTTAACCCACCGGAAGGGGGTGGGGGGTCATTCTTAGGCTTCCCTGTGACCTGGCCATAAACCGCCAAAGCCTGTAAAGCAACAGAAGAGATGAGATGTAACGACTACTTTTTTTCCCCTAGACGAATGCTCTAATTCATTCCCAGAATAGCATTTCCCAAATTTCACTTTCCAACAGAAATCGTTTTGACAAATTGACAACTGCCAGTAACAGGATGCTGAGCCCGGAATCAATCCATTCTTTAACAAAACCTTTATCATGATAGGGCAACATTGTAACGTCTCTAAGTCAGTAACGACGATGATTCAACAATTTATAGACGGAAGTAAGCGTGTTTCGTCTCAATGCCCTACGGCTAAACACAGCAAGATAGCGACACTACGTTTCTCTAACAGCCGCCAGAACTCAAACATGGTATTAAATGAGCACTGTTTGATTCTTGAGCTGCGTAGGTAAAGGAGCTTAATAAAGCTGTGTAAGGCAAGTTAAAGAAAAATAATCAACATACGAACAAACAAACAGACAGTTATACAGACGCTTAAACTGAACAGACAGTTAAGGATCCTAATAGATTTACACAGAGAGCACACGTCACTTGGGCAAATAGGCCTTTATCATTGGAGCCTAGGCTCGAGCGTTTCTTCGTTTCAAATCTCCCCGCGGACGGAAAACCCGCGCCACGCGACACTTACAATGGGTACCTGCTCGCAAGCTACTCAAAAAAACCATAAGTTTTGACCCAAAGATGTGCTGTCTTTGTAACAGTTGTCTATGAACAACACTAGTAAAATGGCTCTCACCTGTGCCACCATTGAACCCGCGTCTCCCACATTAGCTGGTAACACCACCGTGTTGTTTGTTTTAGCCAGATTAGAGAATGCGTTTACGTACTGTTCAGCGACATTGAGCGTAGCTGCTCTCTCACCTAACTAGAATAAGATCAGTGAATTGGTTAAAAAATGTTTCCCATTGCAATCTGTTAATAGACGAGATAACGCGGAAAAGGTTCCATTGCTAACGTTCACTCCTAAGTAATGCTGCCTAGAGACTACCGAAAAAAACACAAGAACTGCAAACGTACATGTTCTTAGATGCGTGATGTAAAAAACAAATGACCCATCAGTAGATTACGCTACGTCTACGAATATATTACCCTTTACATCCCAGCATCAGTATGCATATTCTCCATACTGTTCTCTATACATTTCCTAAGGTGCTGACAGGGAGAATTTGTTTAATAATTCACAACTTCTTTAGTAGGTGATCATTTCCTTTATTCTCGTGACCTGAATGTGTGCTTCAGGGGTGATATTGTGAGGAGAAATTAGATGCTGGTCACTATTAGGGGTAAAAGGATTGAGTGGACAATTATGGAGGTCTCTCCTTTGAACCTCGGAGGAGGAGAAGCATTTTATTCCTTGTTTTCCCGGCAGTTTTCTTGTTTACATACATCCTATTGGAAGTATCATACCTCATCACAAAAAATAAACACGGCTCTTTTAAGCAAACACACTCGAACACACCTGCCGTTGAAGGGCCAAAGAGACTTTTTCAATTCCTTCCGCGCGAGCTGTCGCCTTTGCAACAATTGCATTCGCTTCACCTGTATGGTAAAGGTTACATAGGTCAAATTAAACTTATTATCCTTTTCTCGTGTAAACGTTTTCTGTACAAGCACAATCGTTTCATTACAGCGCGCACACGTTTTCCGTGGGCGTAAACAGTTGCGAACGGTTTCCATTCTCGCCCTAACGTCATCTTTACACCCGCCTCTGTTTTCTACTCACGCTAAAAGATTTTCTTCGCGCGCGCAGCTGTTTGCACATTACGCGCAAAGCTACTATGTTGATTTAAACATGCGCCACCTTTGGTGATTCAGAGAAATGTAGAAAGCAGTAAGTTACCAGTAGCAATGTTTATCTGTTCCATCTTCCTTGCTTCAGATGCTAAAATCTGACTTTGTTTTTTTCCTTCTGCGACATTGATGGCGGCTTCTCTTTCACCTAAAAGCCAACAAAACGGTACAAATAAATTCTGAAAAAGCAATTGACACAGTTAATGATTATCAAGGACTTTATGCTGCTAATAAAGGCAAGAGGGAAAGCGTTAGAAATACGTGTTATCTTTTTTTTTTCTTACCTTCTGATTTCAACACTGCAGCACGTTTCATCCTCTCAGCTTCCACCTGAGCCGATAGAATACAGAAATTACTTAAAATGTCTTTATTAGCTAGCAACCGTTTACACACAACGCTGGCAAATATAGAGAGGGGTGGCAAGGGGCCATTTTTCTCAAATTTTTCGCGAGCGAAACTGAAACCAATCGCGCCTTGATCACTTAAATTTTCCCGCGCATCAGGCAATAGTTGCTTTCCACGTTGGCGCCTTGTGATTTTCCTTTGTTCTAATTTCTTTGGGTTTGGTTTCACGACACTTAATCAAAAAGCATTCTAAAAGGAAACTGTTAACAGTAAGGAAGACTTCCGATTCAAACGAACCAACGAAGGCTACCTGCAATGTTCATTATAATAACATCGCAAAAAACGATTTTTTATGTCCATGTGTGCTGTTTATTTGGCGTAATTTCAGTTTGCTTCGTCTCAATGCATTATTGCAGAAAACATCAAGATAGCGACAAACGTTTTGTTTTAACTTTTGCAGCAAAGTAATCCACAAACAGCAGAGAGCAACGTGAACTGTTTGTTGCAGTAGCTGCTGTTTTAGCAAGATATTATTACATTGGGCTAAGCGTGGCATTCAAAATTGATTGATACTTGCAGTTTTCCATTGTGTTTTGATATTTTTCATAGTCATTGACTGGCTACACTTTTTGAGGATGAAGAGGAAGATTGAAATGATTGACCTTGAGGGTTTGGGTAATCTGAGTGCTTCTTATACTATCTAATATTTTCATTACTTGTACCATTTAAGTCTTGGTGTCAACTGAAGAAATTTGCCATACCTGCATTTGCATAGCCTCAACTACTGTGTTTGGAAGCTGAATATCCCCTGAAAAAAAGAAATCATTGCATGTCCTCAAAAGCCTCACATCTATCATATTTTTTGAACATTGACATTAACCTTTTTATTCCTTCAACTGATAATTTCTCCCAATAAGGTGGTAACAATAAAAGAAATGATGGCAAACTCAAGAAGCCATTGATTATTAGAAAAATTCTCCATGTAAATACCATAGGTAATGTATTAAGAAGAGTATGGAGAACTTAAATATTGATAACTGGGTGTTAAGGGTTAAGTCAAAGAACACAAGTGACAACACTTCATGACATGGGAGTATGTCTGCTCCACCTTGCTAAGATGTTGGTCCTTTGCAAGGACCATTCAGCACTTTTCAGGTTTAACTGACAGAACACTGGCAACCATTTGTATTCCTAAGTCAAGAGAGGTTCTGTGGGAGTTCAGAACCTTATGTGAGAGCACAACACAAAGGGCACATCATGCAGATCTAAATCTTGATCTTGAGACCAGAAATCCAGCTGCTGAAACAAGCTAACCATACCCCAACCTTTTTTTGATATACAATAAACAGTATTGTTACACTTACGGATTTCATATCTCAAGCATCTTATTCCCCAAACTTCAGCAGCATGGTTGATGGCCTCTAATAGGGGAAAGATGTCATTCAAGTTCAGAATTTGAAAAAAAACTAATAAAAGTACACACACCTTACAATATATAAGTAATCATCACTGTTAAACAGTATTTTTTCCCTTTCTTTCAGTCCAATTAATTGGCAATAAATGTACCATGTGCTTACTCAACTGACAGTTTACCAACAAATTCATGAGAGACAGGCAAGTGTCTCTTCACTGTTTCTTTCTTGTTGCATGTTTGGCCATAGCGTATAAATCTAGATAAACGATTACAAGATATTTTTGCACCAACAATGTAGTGACTAGCGATTATCACATACTGGTAACTGAGGCACTATACAGCAACTTATTTAGTGGAAGGCTGAATCAACATTTTAACATGTTCAGTTGCTGACTGCTGTTTTCTTTTAGCAAATTTTCCTCTTTTCGAGATTACAGCATCACCTAAGAAGACACTAGATCTCACCTACTATGTTGTGATTCAGTCTTTCTCGTTCTTGAAAGACATGATCTAAACTTATTTTACCTGCAATGTAAGAGTAATGAGACTCAGGAACATTTCAAAGAATTTCAGACTAGATGTACATGTACAAATCTTAGCTTAATACTTAGGTGACATGATATTTACCCAATTCAGACCTCATGGTCGTCTGAGCCAACTGCGTCACAGCATACTCTGGGTCTTCCACTCCATATGAAGCCTAGTATTTGACAAAAAATACAAAACTCAAGATCATAAGGTTCTAATAAATATTATCAATGATTTAAAGCTCAGTTTTGAGTACTAAAAATATCAGTTTGCTTCGTCTCAGTGTATTATCATAGAATGCACCAAGATAGCAACAAAAATTTTTAATTTTGCAGCCAAAATAATCCACAAACAGTACAAGCAAATTAAACTGTTTGCTGCAGTAGCTGCATTGAAAGTTATTACCAAGAAAGCCAATTTTTCTTTTTAATAAATATATTTAATTTGCTGGACACTAGTTCTGTTTATTCTCTTACATTCACTTTCCATTGGAAAAGTTCCTTACCAGTTAGCAAAACTCAACATTTGTTTTTTAATATTCAAAATACAGAGGACATTACCTAACTGCTAACAGCTGGTCAGTTTTTATCTTGGACTAAATTTCCAAGCTATCATGTTCCATAGTTGAGCCAACATCTTCCGTTAAATTTTGAGTAAGAGGAAATTTGTAGCAACAAAACTACTCTAACTTGTTAAAAGAGTTTTGGGTGCAAAGTTTTTGTGTTCTATTCTCTACATATTAAGTAGTTATGTCAGTAATAATGGCAGATCAGTCATACCAACTGACAGTACAATCTTATGGTTTTTGTGGAAAAACAGAGGAAATGTTCACAGTCTGGAAGAAAAATCATGTAAAACCAACCTTGAATGGATCAACCACTCGCAGATACAACACACCATCAAGATGAAGAGTGACGTTATCTATGATGAACAACCACAATGTTCAGAGTGATGAGTTACCTTCAGTTAGTAATTTATAAAGTTAACAAGAAAGTACCCACAAAAATTAAAATAGAATGAGGAAAGGAAAACACTAAATTAAATCAAATCAATTTAAACTTGTAATAACTGTAAGATTTTGGCCCACTTGCAATACAATCAAGTTATCAGATGCTATTACATTTAGTTATCAGACAACTATTTAACTCCAAAATACAAACAAATAAACACAACAAAGCAGAAAGTATCTAAAAAAAGTTTTATCACCGGACTACAACTGTAATATTACAATTAGTTCTTGTTTCCTAAGGTGCATCTACATACTTAAGAGCAACTTAAGTTCTTACCAAGTGTGATGGCAGACTGTGAAGGAATTTCAATGGCGATTTCCTTTAGGCTTTGCACATATTTAATATCATCAATAACTGGAAGGAGAATAGCAAGACCCTGGAGAGAAAGTTAATTGACAATACAAGATTGTATTATAATTCTGTGGGAATGGCATTAAAAGGGGAGTTTTTCTTGAAAGCTCAATACCTTTTTCTCGCATAATAAGTTTGTACTTACTGGTTCCAAGATTCTGTTAAATTTACCAAATCTTTCAATTATCCAAGCCTCTTGCTGAGGAACAAATTTAACCACCTAAAATAAGAAACATCATTCAATGAAAGCATATGCATAAAAAGCCACAATCAATAAGATGATTGAAATATTTTGGTTAAAACGTCTCCTTGATATCTCTCTCTTTAAAAGAGTTACAGTGCAGAGTTACAAATTACCCTGTTTTGATAAACAAACATGGTGCAGCAATTTTGTTGGCAGAGTGAACCAGATTTTGCCAAACATTAGGGAAATAACTTGCAGATGGGATATTAAAAGAGAAAAATGTGGCATGATGCATCCCAAGAACTTGTGATGGTTTGAGAGTGAGATTAGATTGAGGTTATAATAAAGTTTAGTCACATATGTGACAAAGAAGTCATTTTCTTTTGTTCTAAGTGGTGAAATCTCAATGGCACACTGCAAGTCTTCTCCAGGCTATGACACTGATTGGATTAGCTTATCCAGTGAGCTCATAGCCTAAAAGACTGGCAGTTAATAATGGAAATTTTGTGGTCCATATTGAGGGTGACTACATCATGAGACAATCAATTATTCTTTATTATCAGTTAATCTGCCTCAGATGACTACATCTGTTTTATAAAATCAATTGAGGTTGTTGGTGGTTCATGATCTTTGTCTTAAGCATATTCCTCTACTGTATGCATTTATTCAGCAGAACATAATAATAACTGTTGTAGCAATTTCACTTACAGTGTTGACAGGAAGTTTTTTCTTTGTCCTGCTGTAGCCATATGCCATGGTTCTGATGGCAAACTTTGACTGGAAATTCTGCAATTTATAATAGATTACAGAGGGGGGCATTGGGGCCTATTAGAAACTGCAAAACCATAGAAAAATCATCCAAAACGAAAAAACTTAAAAAAATCTTATCAAAACTGGAAACCACATGCAAAATTGTCAAAACCAATACATTTTCACACCCCAGTTATTAAAACCCTGATCGATCTGATACAATAGTGATAAGTGGAGCATACAAAGTAAACTACACTAATTTCATTACAGGATTTATGAATGCCATGGACTTGGCATTTGTATCTTCTAGTATCTAGTCAGCAAATTTCAAGGACCTAGACTGTGGTCTCTGCGGACTCAGCAGCTGGTAATAGAGCCAAGCTAAATTAAGGAAATTCACACTAAAGTCCTCAATAGGATTGAAATTTTGCAGTCGCAAAAAGCTTTAGCTCTGGAAAGTTTCATCAAAAATCCCTAATCTAACATTTCCATTTGCAAACTAAGACCTGAAAGTTTGGAGATTCTATTGGAATGTTGAATCAATCAGTTACGTGTGGCCTGTAACTTAGTCACCAAGTTGTTTTGTTGAGGAATATTTTTGACTTGAATGAAGTTGATAAAGTTAAACTTCTGGAAAATCAAGTTTTTCAGTTCTCTGTTTATAATTTTCATTCAATGAAAACCAGTTTAACAAAACATGTTTTGCTGGTGTGAATGGGGTATTAGTCACCAATTTTGAGGTGGTGTTGATAAAGAAACTCTGGCAATGTTCTGTGCCTAGCTGTACCCTACATGTAGCCGTAGGAAAATCCACAAACTGCAAAGATCACCAAAACTGAAAAACCAAAGTTTTTGGCACAAAAACCGAAAAAACGATCTAAAAAAATAGCCAAAACCGCAATACTGAAAATCCCCCCTCATAATATAAAATAATTAAATCTTTATACAGTAGTAATGCATAAAATGCAAATGAGGAAATTGTGTTGTGCATTAGATTCAAATGGACATGGAACATTTTCATTCTCTAGAAGGGCTGGGAAGAATTTTACAAGAAATTTTGAGTGCAAGAGTGGAGGATAAAATGATCTCAAAACTTCAAACCAGCTAGATGCGTTTATTTTCTAATTTTTGTTTCCTGTTCTTTTAACTTTGTTTGAAATTGGAGTTATATGGAAGTATTCTACATACAAACATACGAGACCTAGACTGCAGATGAGCTTTATTTTCACAACTTATAAATTCGAAGTTGCATGCACATGGGTATATGTTGCTACAATATACACATGTATGGCATTTTTAATCATTCTCCGATCAACTAAGAACGATCACAAATCTGTTAAACGAGATCAAGGGACCACGGACTTCAAAAATTTGAAATCTAGAGTAGAAGAAAGGGAAGGAGTGAAAAAGTGCACTGAATTCAAATGTAAACTTTGTTATGTCACACAAATTAACAAATGGTCAGATCATGAGAGGAAGAGGTAGAAGCTGATAGGGCGAGAAACGTTTACCTGAGAAGAAGCACCTGTGATTCTCTGTAGAACCCTTGAAGACAGCATGGTTAAATCTGTTACAAATTATTGCAGTTTTTCCTCCTTCTTAGCAGCTACTAGATTTGCAACAATTCCTAGAAATTTCATTGTACGGAAATAGAATGGTGAGTGAAGAGCACGTGTTACAGTAGGGTCAGAGAATGCTCTCCATCGGAAGAGGCGTAACGCATACAGGCCGCTGACAGAACTACCAGCTCAAATGTATCCTTCTTTCCCAGTTTCTTGTCGGTCAAATCCAAAATGGCGGTTCTTGCACGTGTGTGAGTGATGCCGAAACTCTCTTTTTAAAGCTTAAAACTGGGAATCCGAAAGATGCCTTCAGAAAATATTATTTCGCGTTTCTGGGAACTTGCGTCAAATGACGAAACTACCCGTCTGAAAGCAGCTTCACAGCTGTTAGATTCTTTACACGAAGCTCAAATGCACCACGAAGAAAAAGTCGAGGTAAAAAAACTGTATGTACTCACTTGTGAGGACACTTTATCGTGGTAGATGTAAGACTCATGCTTGCGTAATATTTCGCGTCGGAGATATGAATTTTCCAGAAGGAAGAAGGTCTAAAAATCCACCTTAAGTTACGCTACCCAGCTGTTGTATTTTATGCACGTAACTCACGAGAACTGTCTTTGTTTACAATGTTAGGTAGAGGATAATGCCAACGACGATGACAAGAATTTTTGTTGTGACGAGCTGGAATACAGTGTAAAACGGCTTGTAAAAGGTTTAGCTTCTTCGAGGAAGGGAGCTAGGCAAGGATTTGCAACAGTGTTGACAGAAGTCCTCTCCAAGTTTGTTTCTCTGTCCCCCGAAAGAGTGCTCAAATTAATTGGTGAAAATTTAGAGGTCACTGGTAGCGCCATATCCACGGTACAGATTATTTAAAGAGATTGAGATGGGTTGTTTCATACTTTTAACTAATTTTCTTGATATTTCTTTTTTACCTTGTTTCATTTCATATCAAGATGCTGTTCCCATTTACATGTATGAACTTACATAACTTGTTGTTTTTCGCTTCAGGAAGAAAAAGACCGTTACATAGGGCAGTTATTTGGCATGGTGTCTGTGTTGAGGTCTCAATGTGATCATGATAAAATCTCTGTAAGTGTTATCTGTACCAGAATAGTTTTTAGTTCTAATAGTTGGCCTATTTTAAATTTACTAATGGTTGTTTTAAAATGCTGGTGATTTCATTCACAAGAGGGAGGGAAATTTCAAACTCAGCAGTCTTTGAATTGTCACCCAAAGGAATTGTTTTGATTGCAATTTTTCTTTGCTTTTAGACCCTTGACTCAAACTGGCTGAGCCCACTCATTTCCAGAGTTATTGAATTAAGCAAAAAGAAGAGTTATTTACAAGAGCTCTGTGCCAAGGTCATTGTAGACATATTTCCTTTGGTGAGTAACACCTGTGTAACCTTTTGTGATAAAACAGAAATCAGTCACTGTAGTGTCATATCTTTAAGAATGCGTTCATCATGGGAAAAGAACGGCACAATTGCATGACTATATGTTAATTATGAATATTAATGTTGTGAAATTTTGTTAGGTGAGGTGAATATTGACTAACGTGTGTTGTTATTTGTGACCATATAACCAGAATATTGATAGACTTTACAGTCACTTCATGTTTATTTTAATATCAGTTGCAGTATATGTAATTAATCATTTGATGTTGAGCTACAGGTGTATGTGATTGATGATTATTTGCTCACAGTAAATATCATACTATATACGTGTTTGAGTGGTCCATTATGTGTAGATGTGGTAGACTTGATCATGTAATTACATTTTATGTTTTAGTTGAAACTGAGTGTAAGGGACTCAATCTGATTTAAAATTATTTTGAAATGTATTTTCCTTTTTTTCCAAGCACATTATCATAGGTGTAAAGCAAAGAAAAAATAAATCAAAACTAGTTTGAAACAATTTCACCTGAAATTATGATCAACTGCAAAATATGTCAAGAAGTGGGGTTCAAGAAAGATTCTTGGTTTAGAATTTTCAATTTGAAATCATTTTCTTCTGTGTGAGAGTATAACAATGATTTCAAGATAAAGGGGAATAAAAATATGAAACCTAAACAAAATCTGAACCATGACATACTCTGCATACATGAAACAGTGATTAATGATTTGGTTCCAGGTGTCTGAGGATGTTTTTAAAAATTGCGTGTATCCATCTGTGAAGGAGATCTTTGAAAGTGGCTGGACACAGGCTACACCTGAGACACTTCTTATTTCCCTAGCACTTCAGAGATTCTGGGAGGTATGTATTGAAATGGCATTAATTGTAAAATGCACCTTTATTTGATAGCAAATGATATAGCTGACTCTTAATCGTTAACAAACGCTTGTCAACTTTTAAAATCTCAAGGCTGGTTTTTATTTGGGTGAATATCCCAAAGACATTTTACTTTATCTCCTAGAGGTCATGTTGTGTATGTTCCTTGAGTCAATTGCATGTGCAAATATTTTGTCAATGCATTGTTACATTATAAATGATAAAACTGAATGTAAGAAACAAGAAAACAGGGAATCATTTTAATTATTTGTTTAACTGTTAATATCCTTTCCTTGCCTCAGGAGCATTTGGATAAGAAAGTGATAAAGGTTACATGGAAAAGTCCACTCATAGCTGACACGCAAAATTACAAGCAGATGTACACTGTCTTACAGGTACGTGCTCTTGTCAAAATCATCATGTTATGACCTATTCCTGTTCTATGTCAGAATAATCTCCTCTTAGTTAATTGAATTTGACAACTACTGCAATTATCAAAGATATCTTTTCTCAGAAAAATGATGTACACAATACTGCTCACAAGTAAGTTGATGGTGTCAAGTCAAAACTCAACCCTCAATCCACAAAACCATCAAAGATCGAGAATTGAGGGTTGAGGCTGGAGAACATTATGGTGCTCCAGACTTTTAGGATCCAAATTTTTATTTTATAATACAATTTGCTACCATTCATGATTACCATGCAAAGATGATTGCTATGTATTCATAAGCATTGTAACATGCATATACATGTACATTTATTAAACTAATTTATATTAATCAGTTGCTTGCCATTTTGTCCGTGACTTGTTTTAGGATTCCATCTCATCCCATCCAAGAGTCCATTGTGTTTGGGATGAAATTTTCCTTGCAGTATGTAAGAATTCACCTGGTGACTTTGAGATGTTTTGGAATACGGTTGTTGAAGGTAGAACATGATTTATCACCACATTCATTTATACAATAGTTAATATGAATTTCGGGTTCTTGTTTCTTGTATTTTTACAATAATCTGTTTGAAATTAATACGAGATGATTTCAGCCACAGCATTTACAGTCACTGTGTATTGCTAAGTAAACATTTAGTATAAGAAAATGATTTTAAGATCAAACAAAGTCATTCAGAGTTGCCAAATTCTTTTGTTACATGTGTATTATTCACAGTCATTTCTGTTCATTTTTAATCATAAGATTTCACTGTTTCTGTACAGATGGCTTGTTTCAGTCCACACATGATAGAAAGTTTCTGGGTTTTCAGCTAGTCAAGAAAATACTGCCTCAACTCAGTGAAAAGGAGGTGAGAAGTTACCATATTTTATTGACTCCTGATGAAAAAGAAACTCACAAGACTGAAAACCACACCAGTTGCTTCATGTGTAATATTTAAAACTGTGTAGTTGACTCTATATAACATGTGAAGGCAGACTGGGGGTGAATGTGTTGGATTCAGGGTTGAGTCTATTTTAAAACCTGGCTAGAGCAATTGTTTTGTTTTGATTCCTTGCAGGGATTACACAGTAATCTCATATTGCTAATTCTCTTTGATGGGGAGGGTAATAGGAATTAGGCTGCAAAATGTCTGAGGAAGCTAAGCTGAAAAAGTATTGGAAAGTTGGACTGGTATCTTGTCAAGGGAATGATGTTTCCTGCTCTGTGCTTCCACGGCTGGGATAAATTCTTAGCCATGCAAATGAAACTTGAAAATTTAACCCTTTTCAAGAATCTCCTAACTTTGCAATTTTGTAAACCTTGTCTGAGTGTACTTTTATTCAGGTGTCAGTTGTGTTTGGTGCTCACATGATGAGGAGCTTTATAAACAGTCTGTCATCATCACAAAGTTATCTCCATGAGGCAGCAAAACAGTTGGTGAATAAAAAACTTGCATGTATATAAAAACTATGTAAATCTACAGTGTACTACACAATTAAGAAACTTAAAGGTTGTCAGTGTTGGATGATCTGCAAGATCTGTTTGCTATGATACAAAGTTACTGAAGGCATTGTAAGTTACAGTATATTGTACAGGCATTGTAAGTTACAGTATAAATATGAAAAGAAGGCTGTTCATTTTGTAAGCAAATGCTCCTTGGGCGACTTTAGACCCCCATCAATGAAAAAAATCTTAAGTACAAGATTATAAATGTAAAAAAAGCCTATTTGGGTGACATTAGTCCCCCCCCCCCTTGAAGAAAGCCTTTTTGAGTTATTCATTCAGGATTATTTTAAGGTCTTAATAATTATCAATAAAATCCAATTTCATGAATGTGGGTGACCTGAGTCTACCCCATCCTCACAGGTAAAGGAAGAGAGGGATAGAAAAGGACACCCATCTGTTGTCTGTATTACTCTACAGTGTATCTCGAGGACAGATGTAGTCAATATTGCATGTGCATTAAATTTTATAATCCTCAAAAATATGCTGGACTTTGGTCAGATTTTAAATTAAAGTTGCAGGATGATATTGTGGAGAAATAATTACTCCTCAGCCACCCTAAAAAAACCACAGGTAAATTATTTATCTGTGGTTTTTTTAGGGTGGCTGAGCATTTTATTGTGAATCAGAACTGTTTGAGTACAAATCCAGCCCCTATACATATTATTTATTATTTCACAATGGGGAAAATGAGATGAGATGTTACCTTTTTTGCATACTGTCTTGTAGCTTACTGCACAATTCTGAATTCTGTTTGTCTTACTGTAGGCTTCAAGTCTTCCTGCTTTAGTGAACCAAAACAAAGATCCTGGAGTTCCAGTGGTGGTATTAAAACAGCTTTTAGGAAGGTACAGTGCTGTAATTTTAGCAAGTAAAATAATTAAACAGGGAAGTTAGCCTTGAAAGAAACCTTGAGCTGTGTCTTGGACAAAAAGATTTACCCTCACAGCATGTTTACACTGTGCCTCTGAATGTCATGATTATAAAAAAATGGATACCAGAAGTTGAAGAGTGAGGAAAACTTGGGATAGGTACCTGGCACTATCTGATGTAGAGTAACATCCCCCTTCATGTGGAGATGCAATACTCCAAGTTACTTTTAGGAGTGGAAACTGGGATTAAGTCTGACAATAAAGGGGCACTCTGCTCGTAAGATCTGTTTACAGAAACCCTTCAGTTAACTACTAATCCAAATCGCGTGGGTTTTTCTTTTAGACATGGCATTATGCATTTTGACAAGCTGACTAAAACAAGAACTGTGGACAGTTTACTTGGAACAGTGAGTTTTAACTTTAATAGACTTTATTAATAGGATATTCTGCTATACTAAGCAGATTGTTTTGCTTTTCTTTAATTTTCAGCTTGAGATGGAAGTGGCTGTTGCCATGGGGATCAGTTTTGAATGTTGATCATGATGTATTGGTTGTTCATCTGTGCTAAGTTTTTTTTTTTTTAATTTTTTCTACAGCTTCAAGGATCAGGACCACAGATGTTTGTAGCATGGCTGCTTGATATTTTTGAGAAAGGAAAGTTTGAAGATTCTACAGAATCAGAGTAAGGATCAGTGAAAATTATTCATGAATTTATATATACTTGACACTATGTACAATAATACTGTAATGAGCATGTTAGTAGCCAGTGAAAATCCTGGCCAGCGGAGTTGCTGCAGAACACTGACCAGCCACCTTTACACAACAGCCTCTTGCCCCCTCCCAAAAAAAAGAGCTCATGCATACATGTGCACTTACACCTTCCCATAACAGTCATCTCTCAACAAGGGCCATTTTCCTATGTCCTCAATGAGGCCACTGTGGAGAAGTTTCCCTGTCTCTGTGTGTGTTTCTTTGTTTGTTTATGCATACATGTATGTGAGCATCAGCTGTCTGTCAGTGTGTCTGTTTGTCAGTCAAACTTTCCTTGAATCTTTGTGTGTGCCTGTCTATCTTGGATAATCAATGTGCAATCCCTAGCTTGTATAGCTGTGAAGTTTTCATTCACTCTGTATCATCTTTGTGTTCTAAATTATTTGGCCACTATGTAACATTTGCTTTCTTTCTAGGTCCTTAACAAAGAGTGAAGAGTCAAGTAGGATTGCAGTTTTAAACCAAGTTAGTGTTGTCGATAATTCCCCTCTTGATCTGTCTCTATATCTGGTTATTTAAAGTTTGCACCATGTATTTACAGTGTAAAATATAATGTTTTATTATTATTATCTAATCATTATTATTGTCATTGCTATACAAGACTTTAACTAGACATACGAGACTACAATGCCCTATATCACGTTTAACTTAATTAGTTGAAGAAAAAAGTGTAAAACATAACTTCTCTTTTGTCTTACTTTTGTACTGTAATCAGCTTTATCAGTTGGTCAAGAAGAAGTCAGGTGCACATGAGGGGAACTGGTTACAAGATGTGCTTTTCTTCTTCCTTAAGCATGCATATTTCCAAACAGTTGGAAAGAATAAAAAAGTTAGTATATTTATTTTGATATTCACAGTGAATTATGACTTATTCATGTACACGTAGAGTATTTGTATCTGTTAAGAAATGCTCGTAATGCTTTTTGAAACGAGTAAAACTTGCTTGAAACTCACATTTCAGCAAAAGATAGTCTCTTTCAGATGCATTTTTCTCTCAAGGAGATTATCAATGATTGTTGATGTGATAAAACTCATTGTAAATTTCATTGTTTTTTAATTTACATGTAAACTTTGAAGTTATTGGTCAGGTACTGTTATATTTTTAGATGCTGAAATTGAAAACAGCTAAATTGCTTACATGCATGTTTGTCTTTGTACTACATATAACAGGAAACTTTGCCAGCTTCAGTGAGGCAGATTTGTGAACAGAGATTTGTTAGTGCACTAAAAGACTTATCATCTAGCAGAGAGATGAAATCGTTCGAGCTCAATGATATTGTGCAACATGCCAAGGTACTGACTATTGAATTTGAAAGTGTTCTTTGCAGTAATGACACCACACAAGCAGTAGTGAAAATTAAGGCCTGAAAAAAATAAATTCAGGCCTGTACAGGGTTTGAACCCATGACCTCTGCCATACCGGTGCAGCACTCTACCAACTGAGCTAACAAGCCAACTGGGAGCTGGTCATTATGTCGGTTATCACTTAGCTTGAGTAGTGTTCATTTCTGCCAAGATCGCTTTCAAATTCACTTCTTAAACCGCAGCTCACATATATGATTTTCATATAATTAAAGTCATGTACTGACTAATATTCTGTACAGATTAGTTATACCTTTAAGACTCTTCATGGCTTACAGTTAACTGCGTCGTACATTTGTGTGAGTTTTTTTGTTAAAGTTTAGATATCAATGTAACTGCCACAGCACTCATGACAGGCGTTATCATATCATTCAATGTATTTATTGTCAATTTGATGAACCCTTTCAAATTCTCCTGACATCTTTCACTAAAAATACCTCCCCAAAGCAGGTGGTGGTAACCTTTTATCGCATTTAAATTCTTGAGGTTGTTGTATCTACTACTGATCTCTCGACCGTAAATTGTTCTTTGGTCTTTAAGATACCGTTGAAAAACTCACATTTGGTCGTTTCTTTCTCAAAGCATTCGATTCAATTTAGGCTAATTGTTTACCTTCTCTGTGCATCTGTTTCGGACAGGAACTATTGGAGCACGGTGAATACAAAGTGGCCTCTGATTTGTGGACGGAAAAGGTATACGTCTGGTTTATGAATTCTCGTCCAAATTGTCCTCGCACTCGAGTGTATTGCTCTAAATCATTTATTATGTTTGTATGCATGAGATAACACACCCACCGGCTGTTGCGCTGCTACACGATGGCACTCCCCTGAAAAAAAGAGCGCCTGATACAAGTTAGGCATACAGTACTCCCGATCAGTTTATGCTTTAGATAACGGGGTGAAGTAGGTATAGCGGTGACTCTGTTTTTCTAGATAAGGTTCCACAAAACTATGGTTAAACAAAAATATCTTCTCTTTATTCATGCAAGAAATAGCTTCTGTGTTTTCAATCTTTAGTTAATGCTCCAATTACGATGGCGTCGCCTTTTTTCCGATGAACGCATTCTTTCGACAAATGCAAGTTGTGAAGGATGCTAAATTCGTTTTTTCTTACAAATTAAGTTTTCAAGGAAACTGTGGGGCTACGTCGGTGGGAAAGTATAACAAGACAATCTGGTATTATCAACTGAGTTGATGACGATAATTGGCCACTGTTAAGGGTTTTCTTTCAAAGCTAATTTTTTAAATTTTCTTACAGGCAGAAAAAGCTTTCAAGAAAGCAGTACATAGTATTGAAAAGATTCGCAAAAAGGTACCTAATTGCTTTTTTGACTCAGTATTTTGTTTTGCTTTGCTTTGTTTCGATTTTCTAGTTTTGTTAGAAGGCGTCCATTAGGAATGACATAGTACACATAGATACGTTTTTATGTTGTCTCGCGCAGAGAAGGAAAAGTGGAGAGTCTCGACATGAGGATGAGGTTTTTGAACTGCTGTTTACGCACATGGCTTTGAATTTATTTACTGAACCAGAACAAGCCATGGACATTTTAAAGGTACATTTCTGAATCTACGCTAAACCACCCATGCATCTAAAGAAATTCTGTTTATACATGTAGCACTAATTTAAGAACTGTATATTTTTTTGATGGTTTTGAAACTCACATATTTCTTACAGTATCCGGACACTTTTGGGAAGGTTAAATGTCTCAGATTTTTTGGTGTTATTATAGGAGCTAAAAGCTTGCTACGAAAGACAGAAGACCAAACACGAGGAGAAGAGTGATGGTGAATATTGTGTTTGTTTTGTGACTGCTATTGCATGTTAAATACTTTGTGGACTGTGCTAGCATAATAGATGTTTTGGCGAGAATAGTTTTGACTTCTTTTGAACTTCGCTAACTCAACAACAGTATGAAAGCCCAACGATCTTACTGTATGCGTTAAAATTGAGATACTTTCTTTAGTGGTTATGCATAGAGGGGTTTTCCCTTCACATACACCTGAAAAAACATCATCTTGAACAATAGTCTACGACTGGATTTAGCAATATTTGATTTGACTTTTGATAATGCTCGATGCTGGAAGAAAGTTGAGTATACACCCTGCACATGAAGATACAATTCACTAGCATGAAATAATAGTTAGCACATGAAATAAACATCTCGCTATTCACTTTATATTAAGTTGAGAAAAGAAAACTAGAATTGCCATCTCTCACAAATGTCATCCGTACTCACAATGCCACGTATACATTTCTGCTGACCTTATGTTTGTTTTTGCAGAGGAGCCACATTGGGTAGAGGTTCTGACTGAAGTGTTACTCAGTCTGTTGACCAAAACCTCAAGTCTGTTCCGCCATGTTGTTGATCAAGTCTTTGTCCTACTTGCTCCCCATTTGACTCAGAATGCTCTAAACATGATTTTAGAGGTACAGTAGGACTTTCTAAGTCTTCATTGAGTACTTCGTATTGAGGATTCGTCGTCATCATCATCTATTTGCCTCTTTTGACAATAAAAAGAAAAAAACATAAATTTAAAGCATTACAATAATAAGGCGAGGACACCTCAAGAAACCACCAGGCTTCCGGGAGAAAACAATATATCTATCGTGATTCATCGTGAGGTGAATTACCTCTCTCTTTGTTTGATAGCCCAGCTCAAAATTTACCATCTTTCTTGATCAGTTCGTAGGACACGTGTCACGTATGAATCTAGTTATGACCTAGCTCCTCATGGAGTTCTCTGTAGCTCAGGGGTAAAGCGTCGGAGCGCGGAATCCGAAGGTTTGGGTTCCGATTTCTCCTGGGAAGGACTCAGAATATTTCTTTGTCTCACGCTCTTGTTAGGACGATAAACATCTTTAGTTGTTTCAGTATTTATTTTTCTTGAGGAGACCTTATGAAAATAATCCCCTTGTATCACAAGCGTGAAACGTTGAACTGATCTCAATATGATCGTTGCTCAAATGTAAGTATTTTGTTACTGTTGTTGCTTTAGAGCCTGGATACTAGAAAAGGAATTAATGGTGAAAGTTTAGAGATTGTCGATGAATCAGGTGAGTACATATTAAATTATGAAACTTATTATTTCATAATTTTATTCTTGCGTTGTATTTTCTTCCCCTTTTCGGCCTCTCCTTTTAGGTAAACGCGTGGCAATGCTGACAACTGAAATAATTTTGGCGTGCTGATCCAACTTAATTATTTATCTGTATGGCAAAAGTTCCAAAAGTAACTAACGAGCAGAAGCTGTTTCAATTTTGGTCAGTGTAGTAAATTATTTATTTTAGAACTACTATATATACTTGTATTTTATTTTCCAGATATCGAAGAGGATGATGAAGAAATGGAGGACGATGAAGAAAAAGAAAAGGTGACATGACCAAATATGAAATTACTTAATTTTCACACTTTATAAGAATTTGATGGCGGCTTGAAGATATATCAAGAAAGACAATATTCAAGCAAAAGAAAAAAGTACGGCAATTATAAAGCACTTTTCCATTTAGTGTCGTAAAGCTAACACCAAGGTAATCACGTCAGCCAATCAGAAGAAACGAAAATACCTTTAAGAGCCAATGAGAACTCAAAGTAAAAATAAACAATTTGCCTAAAGCGCGGGAAAACGCGGGCGACCAAGTCGTGATTGGTTTTAAATTATCATTCAATTGGTTGAGAAAGTGGCGCGAGTTTCCTGGACCAATCACAGAGCGAAGTAAAGGAAAACCAATGCAACCTCAGATTACTTCGACTTTCAATTGAAAATTGCTTTAAAAGCAAATACGACGATGATAACATGAACGACGAGAAAGTGTGGTGTTTTATCTTGTGTTGAAATTTACTGCGCTGTTTTAGGAAGAATCAAATGGCGTAAACGGTAAAGGTGAAAGTGGCGATGACGATGATGACGAGGATGTTAGCAGCTCAGATGAGGAAGAGGAAAATGTTGGTGCAGTGGACGAAGCTTTTAGAGCTGAAGTACAAGCTGCCCTCGGCCCAGCCATGGTGGACGTGGACAAGGAGGTTTGTTATGACAGAATCGCGAGAAAGAATGCTGTATTGATAGTGTGTAAACAGTCCTTGTTTATGTAACATTTTCTCGCCAACTGGCTCCCAATACTCGCATAGGGTGAACTCGTGCTTTAGTCACCAGCTCAGAAGTTGGCGGATTGAATTTCGACACTCAGATCCTTTGGATTTAATCGCGAGAAGGAGTAAAAGAAATTAGATACTTTTTCACCTTTAACTGTATTACGTGCAATAGTTTTCCCCGCAGTAGTGTTTCGCTGGAAACAGGATTCTGAGGTTTTGACTCCGAGGCTACTATTGATACAAACTGATATTTTCGGAATGTTGTCGCTGTATTTCAGTACCGCAGAAAATTTAGAGAATTTTCCCCGGTAGCTTCACAATCTTATCGGAGTGCTGATGTATCGGCTCTAACTGGTAAAAATTTCCCAAAAAAGTTACCAGCGAGTATTAGATTACAATAAAACCTTGTTTTTATATTATTGAGCAAGTTCGGACGACAGATGATCCAGTAACGGGAGTAAAACAAAAAAAACATAAGATTACGTAAGGAAGAAGAGATGGAAAGCATTCAGCGGGTACTCTTCTACTGACCTCGTTTTAGCTAAATTTCGGTCAAGATCTACAGTATTTCGACCTCAGGCATGCATGTATATCTCCGTGATAAAAAGGGACCTAAAGAAAACTTCCGATGTGATCCACACGGAGAGTATCCCTGTATACACGTAGTTGCCTAAGATGGAAATGGTAATTTTTCTTTGTAGGGAAGTAGCAGTGATGAAGACTTAGACGATGAAGCGATGATGAGACTCGATGGCGCTCTCGCCGCTGTTTTCAAATCTCAGTTGCAGGCCAAAAGGGACATAAACAAAAAGAAAGGTGACGTTTTGTGTCCAAGTCGCTTACTGCTTGGTGGGCCATGCCATTTAAAATGTTTTAAATGCTCGCGCGTTTATCCCTTAACCCATAGTTTGATTAAAGAGTCTTCTTAATGTCTATTAAATCATTATGAGAAGTTGCCTATTCTTTTTAAGGGCCGTACCTTTTATAATTTTGGTAAATACTACTAGCTTTTGCCATACATAGGTCACTTACCTCCTCATCTTAATACTTAACCGGCCTTAATGAGAGACGGGGGAAAGAAAGAATTAGTCCGGTCAGGTCACAAGACTAAGTCACTTCTGTCGATTGAACTAATCATTTCGCGGAGAACAAGATTCTAGCGGAGTCGAAAGCTCAGAGTTTTGTTCCTTTAGAGTGTTACAGGAACAAATTAAGTTAACCCTTAATTTACACCAAATATTTTAGCGTGGAAGAGGTGAGTTTCGTGGCTTACTCCTCTCTTATAGTTATTGGGCACCTAATCTCGCTTCTATTTTTATTTTTGGATTTTGAGCAGATGGCAGGAAGATCATTCTCCATTTTAAACTGAGGTAAAGTTCGGTCTTCAGAGATCCGTTTTCTTTTACATTGTACTGAATCTTTCTTTAGGTTTATCAGGTTTGGATAAACTTGTTTATTTCGTTTTATACTCTTTTCAAGGGTGCTAGATATTATAGAGATACTCATCAAGAAACAAGCCTCCAATCCACTGATACTCGTAAGTAGAACTTAAAACTTTCCCTCTACTGGAATTCCATTTTTTCCCCGAATAAGTGTACCATATTAAGACAATTTTAAAGTGACATTAAGAGTATTTTTCAAGCAGTTTTAAGAGTTTGAAAAAATTCCGAACTTCCTATGTGTTACGTACACCCCAAACATCTTGTCAATTTGAAGCTCTTTGTGTAATACTGAACGTCAAGTTTCTTGAAGGTTTCCTTATTGCACGGATAGCTATCGTGGTGCTCATCCATAATACGAAGGAAGCGAGTGGCCTCAATTTCCGCAGATTTTGTAACTAGATCTCTTGAGTGTATTTTTCTGTGGCTAAACATTCAGGAAAATTCATCAACTATTCACATCCCTCTTTTTCTATTTAATTCACGATTAATTCTTGTAACGTGTGCATGATGGTTTTCTTAGGATATTTTAGCTCATAATCTTCCTTTCGGAGACGGGACGTTTTACTAAGTTATCTGTGTGGAACGCATGAAATCACGTTGATGTTTTACGATGTATTTCCTTGTAGGAGTTGATTATTCCTCTGTTGAATGTGACTTGGTCTGCACTGAACTCTAAGGATTTCCATACATTAGGCGAAAAGGCTCAAGCAATCTTTCAAAACAAGTTATGCACGGCAAAAGAGGTAAATATTTAGGTGATAGCAGAAACTCACAGAAGGTTAAAATCATTACAGGTACATTTTTCAAACATGTAGGATCTTAATGTAACATGTTTGTAAGTTTGTAAAGAAGGAAATTTTTTTTTTACCCATTTAATAAATATAATTCTCGGACGAGCAGGAATTTTTGATCACGACGTTCTAAACTTTTTCCTATATTCTTACGGAATAGCTATGGAAATTAGGAAAAGCTCTCGAAAACTTATGCTATTTTTATTTGAATTGGGTTATTTTGCCAGCCGACTAAAGATGCGATCAGAGAAAGTGATGAAAAAAAGAAAGAAAGAAAAAAAAAAAATCAGAGAAACAAGAAATTCCAGTTTGCCTGAAACTACACTGGGTCATCTTTGCGAAGTAGCGTTACTAGTTTGATATTAGAAAAAGATAAATAATCATGAACGACATGGTAGTTCATTTCAGTTTTCTAATGTACTCGTGATTTTTCTGTGGTTCAAAGCTACTTCCCATATGTAACACTGCAGATGCCGAAATCATTTGATGCATTTTTGTGTTATAGCTTCCACCGGTCTCGGCTATCAACGCCAAAGACGTTCACAAAAAGCTTGAACATCTGATTCAGAAAGCAATGATGGGTGAGGCATTTACAATTTACTCCATTTATATTTAACATTTTTGCCGCTTTTGTGCTTCCTGACCTTTTTTCCAGACATTTTATTAAGAATACAGCCCTAAGTTGTTACGTTTTCCATTCTCGTCACTTGTTTAGAATGTACTGAAACCAAAATGAAATAGTTAACCTAAATGGGGACTTGTATGGGCTTACTGTATGAATTTTAATGATTTTATCTTTATAGCTCCCTCGATGGCGATTGTCTCACTGATAACGCGTGGTTGTTTATATTTGGTAAGAAGTGTCTATCGATGTTTTTTACAACTTTTATTTATCTATTTATGAATGGAAAGTTAAGAGAACAATATACGACATAAGCACACATTTCGAAGTCTTGCCTTTTACGATCCTATGTTCAATTGTTTTTGTTTAGGTTCGTGTATTGAGAGGCTCGCAGACGAAGCAGTCTGTCGCAGTTGGAATGAAGAAAAAAGAGGAAAGTTGTCACGAGGAAACGGCGAAAGTAAGTAAAAGAAATGAGAAGTCATGTAGTGTTCCTGTTGTTGTTTTACTGCTCCATTCAGCCTAAGCTTCTTGAAGATTAAAAAGGTATGTTTGTATGTGTTGGAGACCGTAAAATCGTTTCCTTCCATATCATTTTAAAGCCTACCATTCTGTGACACAAAAGTTTTCAATAGTTTCCGAATAACTCCAGGGTTGCATTGGTTTTGCTTTACTTCGTTTTATAATTGGTCCAAAACGACTTGCGCCACTCTCTCAAACGATCAAATGCAAAACTTAACCATTCACGACTTGATCACCGGCGTTTTCGCGCGCTTTTGACAGGTGGCTCTTCATTGGCTCTCAGGGGTATTTTTCTTTCTTCAAGTTGCCGTTGTGATTACCCCGATACCCAATCGGAAAGCGCTCTTAATTAAACAAGGGGTTTGTATCGCGGTCGAGTAGAGCAAGTGTTGTTTTGAGGTACTCTTTACCATTTCCTCCCTACAGCTGTGCTTGTTGAACACTAAAAGGGTGACAGCGGCATTTAAGAAAGCTCTGGAAGACTTCATGTTAAAGAGGTGCGTAGTGTATACGCATTGGTAATTTTAGGGGTCTGACTTCGTTAACGAGGACTCATAGGGGGTAACTTCTGTTTTCCAGCGCATGTAGTTCCAAACTTCGCCAGTGAAGCTTCACTCTTATTTTTAAGTACTCTTTTGTCTAGATCTCTTAAGTTGTACTACGAAAACAACGATAATCTTTGTTTGACACTAAACGGGTCAGATTTGCTTCTGAGCTTATTTAACTATAGTTTCCAATTTACATTCTGCGTTTTCATTCTGTAGGAGTACACACCTTCATCCAGTGCTGTTCACAGAACTGATAAAGCGATTCCCGGTGAGATGCAAGAATTAGCCTCAAAACTAGGATTTATAAACTTCCTATGCTTTACGGCAGACACCAATCTAGAAAACTTGAGAAAAGGCAGACATCTTTCACTCCAAGATTTTCTTTGCTTTTTTGCTTTTTTTCTTGACGCCGCCAAATGACCTGTGCCGTAATGTCTGGAAAGCAAAGTTTGAAGAATTGAACTAACTGGTAGCTAACTAGTACTGTTTTTATTGTTAAGAATGATTGAATCACTCTAAATGCAGACCTTACTTTGTCCATGGTTGTAGAATGGGTTGGAATACTGCATTTTGCACTATTATTTTTTGTAACTCTTTCATCAGAAATACTAAGAATCTTCTGTTTCCTACTCGATTTCAGCATCTTGGATGGAATTTAGCTGCAGATTTAGTTGAGTACCTTGAAACTGCAGTTAACAATTTCAGAAAGGTAGATACCTAATAATATCAAATATAAACTGTTGTATTCCTTGTGTTTAGCCTTTGTTGCTTATTATCCAGATCGTACAACTAAGCGGTAAATAACTAGTTTTGTAAAATGCCTCATTTGAACTAATATTTATCTCAGAACGAGCTTGCTTTATCGATATTGCCTTTTAATGCTTTACGTTTCAGAGTCAAGCATGTTTGATGCTCTTACAGTTGATGTCGCAAAAGGTTAGTAGAGAGAAAATCACGGGTGATATTTGTTGACTCATTTGTCGTTTGTTGCTACTTTTCTTTTCCTTGCCTTATTTTTCTTCGTTTATTTTTTCCTTTTTAGACTCCAGACCATTCCACTCTTATAAGAAATATCGCTCCCTCTATACAAACGACTTTGAACTCAGTAAGTACCTGTCATTTTTCATCGTCTGTGAAGCTAACAAGAATATGGAAAAAGTTCAAGGAATAGCAAATACGATAAAAACAAGAATAGTATACATTTCAAAAGGAAAACAACTTTCCCAAAGCAAAATTTCAAACAAACTTGCATCGTATAGTCTGATCGTCCAGTGGAGAGTTGTTGTGGGAAGAACTGTTGTCGTTAACTTTGACTGACTTTTCGACAACCCGAGCGGAGGTTATCATCTTAGTCAAGGGACTCATTGTAGCTTGAATTTGATGATGAATTTCTTTACGGCTTTCGAAACTTTTGTTACTACTACCTGATAACAATCCTGCTCAGGACTATAATCAATCGGACAATCAGACTACATAATCACATGTTTTTCCCCGGTTCAAACCATTTACTGGTAGAAACTACCAAGAAAACTTTTTGCTTTTTGTGCTGTTTTAAAGTATTAACTCTGAGTGGTTCCAAGTTTGATCGCCGGTGATCTTACTCAGAGTGAATTGTCACATTGTATGAAGAAGCGCAGTTTATTTAATAGTGGAGGTGGCAGCATGCATAACACTATTAGTTGGCGTTATTTTATGTCAACTGTCGAAAACTACTTTATTCTCTTTCCAAGGTAATGACCAAGGTCGCTGAATCCGATTCAGATGTGAAGATAAGACATCTTCGAGAAATTCTTAAACTCACCACAAAGTTCATCAATGAAGTAAAAAATACGGAAGAGGTAGGATGTTCATGGTGTTTTGGCAAAGTGAAAGCTGGATAAATTCAATGTTGGAGTTTTCTTGATTTGTGAAGCGATTGTGAAAATAGTTTCCTCTTTCCTCTTTGTTTACCTGGATCGGGGATCTTGATTTTTCGAGCAACTGCGTGTCATGCGAAACTCTTTGTAACTTGAAGGAGAATACAGAATATTCGTTCAGTAAACTAGATAAACGATAATAAAGAATCAAAATGGAAGAAAGATGGCTTGGGGGATGGAGAAGGTTGACTTTCACATGTAGCTCGTTGTGTAGTTCTCATATTGTGATTAGAGGTAAATTGTATCTCGTTTCTTTTAGGCTGCAGCAGTATTACGGATAGATCAGCTCAAGGAAGGAGTGACGCGAATCCAGGGGAGTGCGTTAGCTAAAAAGTCCCCAGACGTTAAGGGTGTTTGTAACGCAATCCTCTCCAACTTGTCACGGTAAGTTACCGGTGTAATGTTTGAATGATGAATGATGACAATAATTAAAGGTTACACAGATAGCTATCAGATAAAAATTGCCATTATAAACATGCGCAATCGACCTTTCTAGTATTAAACTTAGTCTTGATAGATTCTCTTAACATCTCATCGCTTTATTTATTGAGAGGTAAAATTAGAAAATTTAAATTATGTTGACTTTCAGGTCGTCTTCTGAAAAAGAAACAAAAATGAATAACTCGAGAAGAAAACGAGAAGCAAATGGGCACATAAAAGACGAAACAAAAACCACCGGTGTTGGGGCTGAATCTAGTCCGATAGGAAAAGAAGGGAAGAAGAAACGAAAGAAGAAAAAAATTTAAGGGTAGATAGAAAATTCAAGCTGCAATAAATTGTCAATAAACTACACTTCATTTTTACCATTGAAAAAAGAAAACAGTAAAGAATGTTTGAACCAGAATGGTTAGCATTGTTGAAGGTGTCACCTACCCACACCCCCCCCCCCACCACACCCCCCCTCTCCTCCTTCACTACCATTAGATGATCGTCGCGAATTTTTCGTGAGTTTCCGAACATGGTCTTCAAACGCACAGAAGCTACTAAACGCGACAAACTTTGCCAAACAACGACTATTATTCTAATCTATTCTCGTTTATTTCAGTAGTTTTACAACTTATACAGAATAACTAACAATACATAATTTCAGGTTTAAATAGGACACAAATATTCGCAAAATGAAAAAGATGCGGTTGGAAGTGGCAGTCAAGATATGACTTCTTTAACAAATTTGGAACAAAAAAAATTGGTAAAGTTAAATAAATTGCCAAATGAGTAAGACAATCAGTAGAGAATATATTAATAAAAGGATGATGAGAGGGAATGGAGGAAATATGGCGCTCTGAAAGTCTTATCCTGTTAGCTTATCGTCTTCAATTCCATCCTTTAATGTTCAGTTGCTGGAAAGCAAAATAGTTTCTTTACCATTCTTATAACACTTTCCCGAATCTCCCGATATCGCCAGCAGTAAACCAAAGGGTTTAATGAAGAGTTCAGAAGAATCAAGAAAAACGAAACATGGTTCGCGAGTATAAATGACATATTGAGACTATCTGTTGTCAAAATGGCTAAAGTACACAAATAGGGGAAATAACAAACGAAGTAAACTATATAGACGTATAAAGTATTCAGGGCCGACTTTCCTTCTCGGAGAAAGGCTATTGAATTAACTTCTGACCTTCCTCTCTGAGCCTGCAATTGAGCCTGATGATACCTCACAACTTTATAAATGCGTATGTACGCCGCTGTTGTTACGACAAATCCAACAAAACCTACAACGATGACAACAAGAGTATTTTTTTCAGGAAGGACGACAAATATAGAAGCCGTGACAGTACTAGCCAACCATGACGCGGCCAAAGCCAAAACAATCTTTCTTGAAGTTACTAGCTCCTGATATCGGAGATGGAGAGAAATGGCGAGAAGTCTATCCACTGCAATGCCGGATATTGTCAAAAACGACGCAGAAGTTAGGAAAAGTAACAAGAAAAAACGTGCGTTTGAAATCGTTGGACAGAGGAAACTGATGTCATAATTTCCATATTCCGCCATCTTTAACATAACTGCGTTAATTACACCGAACATTAATTGAGCCAGCAAACCAACAGCGAGATCAGAGACAGCGAGACTCAAGAATAACTTTCTTAAATTGGCTGGAATCGACGATGATTTCCACAAGGCACGGATAACAAGGAGATTCCCAAGAACTCCCACAAGTGGAAATATTAAGTTTAAAACACAAAAAACCAACATGAATGTCTCATTATGACGAATGAGCTTTCTGTATTCTTCCACTTTCTGAATGCAGAACTCGGCAGCCATGATGATAGTGAATACGAAACGAAAATTTCGTAAAAAGAAAACAAACAAACAAATTTAATATATACTTCTGGGCTCCGTACATAAGCTACTCTTGTCCTACAGCAAGTGATTAAAAAATTTAATATCATGCAGTATTTGTTTCCATCCACTGGGTGACAATGACAATCGTACACATGTGTCCAGCGTGCAGGTGGGAGGAAGAACGTCTGTTATGCTTAGAGGAAGTTCACAACTGTAAATGATCGGTCATGGAAAACACAAATATTTGAGATATGGATCGGGACATCAATGACCATTTTCTTGCCCTGAACTCTATTTTTATTTTTATGATAATTTCACTTTCGACTGCATCAAACCAGCGTTTTACTAACTTGGCAGGTTATCAAATCCAAAACTATATGTTTTAGTTTCGCAGAGAATCAAACAAATTTAAGCCACTGGAGATCTTAGTTCAACAAATGTCCTAGATGTATCATTTCTGACTGTCATTGGGTTCATGGTCGTGAGTGTGTTGTAAGGACACTGGTAAATAAAACTCAAAGCTGTCTTGAAAACTTGAACAGTTCTGAATTCATTACCTAATACAGCAATTTTAACACGCTATAGTATGCAAATTTTGGCGATGACATAAATATCGCATGTATCAATTAAAGTTATACTTCCCTTCAATATGTAGATCACGAACAGCCTTCCTTTTTGGCAAAGTCTGACGCGCGAGAAAGAAAACATCAGCGAAAAAAACTCCGGGACTTTTCGTATTTCACACTTCCAGAAATCCGCGGAGAAGGATGGAAAATAACTGGCTTCGAGTAGCTGCCAAATTCGAACAAGATGGAGTAGTTTTTATCAATTCAGAAGCGATCATGCAAAGTTTGTTATCACGATAGCCGATGTGACGCTGGCCACAATTATACGTCGTATACAACTTATTACAACGTATTAAACTTATAAATAAGATAGACAAGACCATAGCTGTGGCGTAACAGATAATTTCATTCTTTTTTGGGCGTTTCCCCGATCCGTTCGCATTTTTCAATTTAGTTCCTTTCGGTTTTATATTAGCATCGTTTTAAAAAGCTTTTATTTACCTTTTTCTCATACATTTAATGCAAGAAGATCAAGTTTTTTGTTTTTAATCGGATGTGATTAGTCATGTGCACAACATTTAGTGAATAATAAATTGTTGTGGCAGAATGGCTGTGGAATCTTTTGGTTTGGTTTCATCTTACTTTACAAGTTTCCTTGCTCTTAAACTTCCCTTTACGAAAAAATATCTACCACTGTAAACTTTCTTTTTCCCTCAAATGTTGCTGATTTTCTCTATAAGGTGGCTTTCCGGTTCTACTAGCATGTTATTAAAGCACGAGCTGATTATTGTCGTATGTTGTAGCGTTAAAACATTCATGAAAAGTTTGTTATAACTTTTCCAGAGATACTTTCATTTGGAGAATCCGTCAGATATTGTACGATAACTTAACAAACTGTGATGATAGTGTCAAAATTTTGCCAAAATCGCCATGAATACCAAAACAGGGCTTTGTTCATTTATTGCGAGGAAGTAGAGAAATGCTTCCTTAATTTGGTCTTAATCAATACCCTTATGCTAATGGTACATTTTTTAATTGTACAATATACACGAAGTTAAAGGAGAAGACTAACTGCAGTCTTTTTTATTGATATACAGTTTTTATTACCTATCTAAAACTATCCTAACCTTGTACCGTGAGAAGTCTGGGTAGGAGAGTACTCTGCGGTTATCAGAGTCGGCATTTGAGAAAATTATCAGGCTCCGGCAATGAGACAAATTACGGACTCGACGATTGTAACGAATAATTTAAGGACTCGAGCATTAATATAAAGCACAGTGATAAGTCGAAATCCATTTAGATAGTAAATACAGACATGGGAAATAATATCAGGCTCTGAAAATAATATCAGACACGGGAAATAGCAGACAATGAGGAGGTCTGAAAAAGGCAAACAATAACGGACCCTGTTAATTGATTTCCGACACGAAAATTAATTTTTCGATAGGGAAAATACCCAGACTGAATTTTGAACGGTATGTTACGGCATACAGACTGAATTTTGAACGGTATGTTACGCCATAGTTAAGGCACATTTTCCGGATCAGAAATCCTTTCATTAATGTTTTAACAAGGCTTGAGGCAAAGTAGAAGTTGATCTTAGTTGATCTGAAAATACCCGGTAAATAATCGTAAGTGTGCACATCGTTAATTAATCCATGGTTCTCGTGGATGAGTGCACTCTGTTCGCAGCCCAAAAGAATTAGATACCCGCAAAAAGCTTTCAACTTACTTTGAAATAATAGCCAAACGCACAGCTTGTGTTCGGATCTAATCAAGTACTGTCAATTCATTATCAATGCCTTTGACGCAAATGGTTGATTCAATCGATGGTTACTTAAGCTTTGCATATTTTGCAAATCATGGTGTTCGGGGCAAGAAACATTTCACCTTCGACTTTAAATCATAGAAAACCTCAAAATTATGATAAACGGGGTATTTCAGATTTATTTGTTTTTCTTTGGTCTCTCTTCACTTTCAGCTGAGCGTTTGCAGCGCAAAATTTTGGCGGTAGAAAGATCCTTTTGGTTGAAGAGGAAAACAAGTAGATAAAATTAATGCACATAACTGGCATATGCAAAACTTGGCAGCCATCAGTCTAACAAAAGACATTTTGGTTTATCTTGAAAGCCTTTCTAAAGATGAGGGTCTCGATGGGGTTAACCAGTTGCTGTAAAACGGCAAAAAAATTAGCCGTAAAATTTAGCACATTTTTACCGTTGGTGGAAAAAAATTAACTGTAGAATTTTTTTCAGTGGTAAAACGGCCAAAATATCAACCGTAAGCCGTCGATGCAAACACCCCATCGAGACCCTGGTACATGGAAAGGAGCCAAGAGAAAATTAAGGAAAATGATTTTCTTTGGCTGGAACTTATTACCCTTTTATGGATTCGCATTTTTTTTTTACATAACAGAAATGTTGTAACATCACAGACCATCAAGAAGCTTAAGATCTTTATCTAAGAGGCTACTGATACCTGAAATCTTTACTTCAACTTAACTTTGATGTTCACGTTAGAATCACATGTTTCAGTAAACTAAGTCCCTATTGCCTAGCTATCTTTCAACACTCGACAAAAGGGGGGCACACTTTTCTAGTCAGATTCATGAAAAACTGGAACAGCCTGGAAACAACGCTAAAGAAATCAAGACATATAGATTTTCAAAGAGAATGATTTATAGTCAGCTGGAAAAACTAAAAGAATCCCTGAGTTTTAGCGCGTTACCTCGATCAAGATAATTAAACTACAATTAGACTTCCTATTTATTTAAAAACACGTCACCAATTTTAAATTTTATATAATACTGAGGTTTCATAGGATAATGTGAATGAACAAATATTTTACCAAGTGACCATAAACTGTGGTTTGTAACCTCTTGCATTTAATTACTCATTGTGACAAAGAAAAAACATATAACTGCCATTCTTTTCAACTTTGCGTATCCTTCATATATTTTTGTTATTTTTGGAGGGCAACAGGATCACCAGCTTGCTGTTCATCACCACGAACGATTAGAAACTTCAATTAACCATTTTGAGAAGTATATTGCATATGTTGTAAAAGTGACTTGAATAATAACTTTTCTTGGTGCTATGTTGGTTAGCGGCAAAACATCTTCTTTACCATCCTTATTACAATTTGACGGACTTCGCGATATCTCCAGCAATAAACAAGTGGGTTTAAAAAAGAGTTTAAAAGCATCAAGAAAAAGGATGTATAATTAGCTACTAAAAACGAAAGTCGAAATCTGTCTGTGATCAACATAAATATAGTGCATAAATAGGGAACGTAACACACGACGAAAATAACATAAACAAAGAAAGAATTAATGGCAGATTTTGCCTCTCGAAGAAAGGTCACCATTGTAACATGACTACCACGAGTGGCATCTGCTGATCTGTTTTGGCAAGCATATATTTGGATACGGTGATACCGTACAACTTTGTAAATACGACAGTAAGCTATAGTTGTTATGGTAAATCCAACAAATGCAATCACAATGAGGATGATTCCTTTTCCCGGAAATGCAACAAATATAGAGGCAGCGATGCCACTTGAAAACCATAAGCAAATTAAGGCAATGGAAACTCGTGTTGACGTGACCAGTTCTTGATATCGGAGATGGAGACAAATGGCTAGAAGTCTGTCTGTAGCAATGGCTGTTACGGTGAAGAAAGATGCAGCAATGAGAAGAACGATAAAGAAGTGTCGAATTGATAAAATTGTCGGGCAGAAGAAGCCGAAGTCGTAGTTTCCACTTCCTGCCCTCTTTAACATCACTGCGACGACAATACCAAATGTGAGTTGAGGAATCAAAGCAACACAGAAATCAGAGACAGCGAGACTCATGAATAATCTCCTTAAATTGCCAGGAATCGACGAAGCTTTCCACAAGGCACGGATAACAAAGATGTTCGCGATAACTGTCACAATGGAAAATGTTACATTTAAAATACAAATTGTTGTCATGAATGCGCCATGATAAACGACAAGGTTTTTATATTCTTCCAACTTCTGCGAACAGAACTTAGCAGCCATGATAATCGTATAGGCCTCAAATCTCTCACTCGTTTTTTCACGATTCAAGATTATATCTCATTCAAGATTCGATACAATAAAATGGTGTCAATGGTCTCCCGAAATAAGCCAAAACTTCAAATCCAACTTCTGTGGGGATGGCGTTGAGCGTGTGGCCTGCTGAAAGACGCGTAATTGGATATTGTTTTGTTATTGAAAATACAAACACGTTGTAGAAAGAGAAAGTAAAATTATTATTTCCTCTTGACTATAATCCCAAGTAAGTTTTTTCTATTAACAAAAATAGTAATATTATACCTGTCGGACTTTGTAATATAAAAGCTGCCGCACAAAAATTACAGACAATCGCTGGCACTTAGCAATTAAATAAACTGTCGCACTCTAAAATCACATCAAAACATCACTTATCGCATTGTGATATTCATAAACTTAGAACACAGTCCAACCTGTTTTAAGTGGTATCGTATTAAGCGGTCACCGTGTATTATGCGGTGGGTGGTCAAAGTCCCGAAATTTTTTCCGCCTCTTCCTGTAATTTCCACCTCTGTTATGCGGGTACCTCTATCAAGCAGTCGTGGTCACCCTTTTTGAGTCCAAACGGCCTGTTTCTGTCGTCTCCCAAGTGTAGAAGCGGAACTTCTCAAACAAACTTAAGAATAATCCCACCAGTCAAATTTAATCCATGTTCATCTTCCGCAATCAAGTTTCCGTTCAAGTGTCGTCAACGCATTGTAAATTATCTTTCTTCTTTAGACTATGAGGAAAAATATTACGCACGTAATCACGCGAGTCATTTGCCGGTCAACCTGTATTAAGTGCTCATCTCACTTTAAACAGTTTCGACAGCAGATGAGCGAAGGGCAAGCAAACCCAATGATAGCTGTCATTCCAGTCATAAACAATGATTACAAAGTGCGGCAATTTTATCGCAAAGTACGAAATTTTTCAAACGCAAAGTGTGAGATTTTTTTTGTAAAGTGAGACAATTTTATTAGAAAGAACGACAAGTATTTCAATGTGCGAAGATTATTACAGAGTGTGACTTACAGAAAGTCTGTGATTCGATTCCCTAGAACATTTCTCTTTGTCCTGCGCTCGTGACAAGACGAAAAGATACCTCTTTCTATGAATTGTTACAGTTTTACATGTTAGAATTTTATTATATCTGAGTTCATGAAGGTTTACCCAACGACCAGTCATTATTTTTCACTTGGCGAGGAAGGGGGAGGGGACGTTGGAGGATTTAAGGGAGGTCAAATGGTGTTCAAGGGGGAACCGGAGGGGGGATTATTCGTGTAGAAAAATTAACCACCCATGAGGTGGAATCACAGAGTCTTATGGGAGATCAGGTAAATTTTTACGTAACACAACTAAAAAACTTCCCCTCCCCTCCCCCCATCCCCCTGGCCCCCGCACGGTGATGAACAATAAGCGGTACCTTAAAAAGGTTGGTTGTGAAAGAACTTGCGCGTTAATCATATTTGATTCAGGCAATAATAAGTGGTTTGCCCGGGAGAAAGTTTTATTTTCTAATGGCGAGGGCTAATGTTTACGCAAAGAACTGAGAGCATATATTTATGAATAAACGTCTTAAGAATTTCCTGAGGTACTTTTCCCACTTATTGGCTTCCTCTAAAGCAACTGTTTCTGTAGCTGAGGACAGTTTTATTCTCCATTCAGTCTAGACCAAAGGCTAACTAGCTCTATGCTAACTGACTTGCTGCTTTGTTATTTTTAGGACAGAAGACAGGGTAATCACTTTGTTATTATTGCTTTTTTAGAAAACAAGAGATTTTAATGAAAATGTAAATTCCTTTGTAAGACTACCTTTATTATCGTTGCTTCGGTTTCCAGGGAAGCCTAGTAAAAATAAAAGATTATAAACCTCGCTGTTTTCATAGGTATTTATTTTTCCTCAATCGAAATAACCTTCAATAGGAAGGTTGTAAAGAATTGTAGTTTTAATAGCCAATTATAGCGAGTGCCATTTCTAAAATTTTTTTTTTTTAGCCTATTCCCCTGCCCAATGTACAATTGTGACTTGTTCAAATTATGCCTTTGAAATTTCAAGTTCATTACTTAATCATGAAAGAGTAATTTCTTCCCTGACAAGTTATCCAACCTATGAATATACATATTTAATGCTTTTAGTTTTTGTCATTTGGGCCACGACTCTGAACCGCGCAAATACACAAAACCGTAAGCTGATATGGCGGCCACGCTGTGTCTCCGGAAATTGAAGGAAAATGCAATCCTAGTCCAGTTTCAAGGGAATTTAACTTTGATAGCCTGTGTTTTGAACTTGACATTTTCGATTATTGCAACAGTTGGAAACCTACTTGTTATTCGCGCTCTGTGGAAAGCTTCCACGATACCTGTTAATGTAAAGAAGCTCTTCCTTAATCTTGCGGTCTCTGATCTTGCCGTTGGGCTGATAGCGCAATTAATGTTCGGAATTATCATGGCGATAATGTTGGATCTGTCAACCAGTGGGAGCAACAGCTTTGAATTTTTATGTCCAACGATTTTCTCTGTGTCTTATTTCTTTATTTTCCTCCTCACTTGTGCATCCTTCCTCACAGTCACCATCATTGCCGTCGACAGGGTTTTAGCCATCTTTCTCCATCTTCGGTATCAAGAACTTGTTACTTCCAAATGCATTGCTGTTCTGTTAGCACTTTTATGGATGTCAAGTTTTTTGGCGGCCTTTGTATACATTTATTTTCCTAACCAAAATAACATTGTAGTTGTGACCGTTGAATTTATTGGACTCCTCGTCACAACCACGGGCTATGTCCGTATTTATAAAGTTGTAAAATATCATAGGAATCAAATACAAATCCAGACGCTGGCGCAACAGCAAAATAATCAAGAAAACTTGGTTCTTCGACAAAGAAAGTCGACCATTAGCGCCATGTTTGTTCACATCTTTTTTCTAATGTGTTTTTTTCCAAATCTTTGTTGTATAATTCTGCTGAGAGCAAGTGATTTTCGTTTATCGTTTCTGGCCGTCAATCATGTCTCAGGATTTCTCGTACTTCTAAATTCTTCATTGAATCCTGTGGTTTATTGCTGGAGATATCGGGAGATTCGTGAAATCGTAAAATCTTCACTGAAAAAGGGAATCGCTTGGTTAAATCCGCTGTAAGATGGAAGGCGACTATTTATGAAAGGAAAAACGCCTGGAGACAACTCTTATTGGTGCTTAATACAGCTGACTGTCTCTGAGTGATATACTGTTAAATATTGTCTGCTCGCATTAGTTTTTCTAGTAAGTAATTTAGGAGGTATCTGGGATATTTGCGATAAGACAAGACTAGAAAAATCTTTAAAAAAACTTTTTTGTTGTTTTACATCCAAACGAAGACACAACTGAATCTAGCAAAAGACTAATTGGTCACGTATACGCCAAGCAAAAGTCCACAAGTTGTTGGCTGCAGTCCTAAGAGTGTATATATTTTGTACAGCTGTTAATACCATTTTTTAACAGAAGACACGCTTTCTCTAAATATTTAAGCTCAGTTTACCAGGAGCTTCATTATTAAGCCTTGGAACTTTAAGCAAATAAAATTTAGGTAGAGAGACAGCTGAGGCACTATATCCCTTTCACAAAAAATCAGACTGCGTTGTAAATGCAACGATGAAAGATTTTAAGGTTACAGAGTAAATGCAAAAGTGTCGTGTAACAAAAGTTTTTGTTTGATTTTAATGCTGTCACGTGACGTTATCAAAATAAATATAAGGAATTATCAATCCTTTTGAGATTTGAGTTTAGTTAGTTATTACAACAGCTAAAGAATTATCTTTCTACTAATTTTCTGTTTGATAGGGTTTTTCTTCTTGTGATAAAGCAAGGTTGAATTTCTAAGCTTTTGCATGATACATTATTGAAACATAGGCATGCTATGCATGCAAGAGTCAATTTTTTGGGGGTGGGTGGATTAATTGAAACATTGTAAGTGATGTCTACATTTTTACGAACGGAAAGAGTATTAACGCGGAAAAGAACGAAAATGTCGAATTAACTCACATACAGGTATTTTGTGATCGATTGTGTGTGTTGTGCAAATAACTGTAACTAAAAATAAACTGTGCAGACTGAGAATTTTTCAAGTCTGGTGAGTGATGACATGTCATCTTACTTACTGAGCGTCATGCAATCGCTTTTCCACGATCAGCTTTCATGATGATTTGGTCTATTGTGGAATATTCCTGACCCATTTCTTGATGAAAATCGTTCTTAATACAATTTCAAGCCTTCATATAGTCTCCTCACTTTGCGCGCGAGTTGGTTGGTGTGATGTCTGTACAGATTTTACCAACTTAATGAAAGTAGATGTAGATGTAAATGAGATGTCAGTATTGAATATTTAACACGCGCAATATTCGAGAAACAATTGACACCGTTGCACGTGATCCGTATTATCATCTTTTTAAGCAGTATGTGTTTATTTTGTTGACAAAAATGCGCACCGAGACCAAAACTGTTCCCTCAACTATCCACTATTTTCACAGCAAGAGTAACACGTTTACTATCGATAATCTGATATCTTTCATCTGTCCAGTAGTATCGCATTTCTCATGAAACACGGTAAAATACACGTTAAAACAAGGCCGAAAAGCCAACATTTCTCATTCTAAAAGAAGATTTCATTTTACGAACCGCTCTCTCCGAATCCCGTATTACTTCGTTGAAATTTGAACACCTCTCAAACCAAAGAACAAAAACGACGCTCTTATTGGTGCGAGATACATACCCTTATGCGGCGATCTGATTGGTGCGAGCAACATACCGGTCTCTGTACGCTAACATAGATGTTATTTAATTTTTTTTTAAATAACTCAAAAATGCTCTCACGTAGGTTAAAAAAAGTGACTTATCCGCTGAGACTTCCCAATCTGAATAGTCCTTGTAAGAGAATAAGCACTCATATAGATGTTCATGAGCCCTCAGAAGACGAACACAGGCTTTTTAAAGCAAAACTCGATGACGCTCCCTGCCGCCACATTTGTGCCCCTCCAGGGATGTTGTCTCCGTACAAAGCTTACGGCATGAAATATCGTACTGACCTGAATCTTTGCCAGACGTTTTGAATATTCATCTTCTCTTACCTCTTTGATGTTTGACTTAATTTGTTGAATGGTTTTGATGATGGTGTAACCGTGAAAACCGACAATAGTTGACTTAAAGTCTCGTTAAAAGAAAAGGATGAAAACATGAACACATCACATGGCTGGTGTGCCTGCTAAGAGAAGAAAACGTTTGGTTGGAAAATGCGCCATGATTCGCCAACTGTTAAAACAGACAATGATTTTGAATTATCCATACAGCTTTGCTTTAGAGGTAATTTCTTGTTAGAGGGTCCCATTATGTTAACCGCTTGCAGAAAAACGGCAAAAACATTTAGCCATTTGGCGTAAATATCGAGAAATTTTAACTGTTAGTCGCAAATAAATAGTCGAGACCCTTGTTTAATGTCATTTTTTTTTTCTTAAGCTGTCTGATCTCCAGAGAATGTTAGGAGGGTCACAGTGAGGCGATTGCTTCTAAGGCTAAAGGTGCATGGAAGGAACTGGACACACATGGGATGTTCACAAGTGCAAAAATCTCGACCCTTGATTGGTCAAATATAGATCCTTTTAGATCTCTGAAAACTACCGGGATGATTTAAAAAAAAATTCTTTATAACAAAATCCTTGGAGCAGTGAGTAACTACAGACTAGGAAGAGAACCCTCCATCACTTCCAGTTGGAATCCGATGAGCTCCTGTATGCTATCTAATATTTTATGAACTCACTGCCATCTTCGTTTTCAAATATTACGCGTCTCTGTGGTTTGATCCACTTCTTTCTTTAGTCAGTTATAATCTGAAATTTCTGGAATACATATGGAAGGGTTAAAGAAAACCTCTTCGCCCGAAAGGATCCATCCACCATTTTTCTAAAGCTTAGCAAAATGCTTCCCAAAAGAACCCGAATGATTTGGGACTGTTATTACGGCCAAAACAATTTTTGAGCAGGTAGATGGTACAGAAAGCAGAGGTAAAGCAAATTAAAGAGAGAGAGGATTCACCGAAATACTTTTATTTGCCAAATGATAAAGTTGATTTAAACGGCTTCCAAACAAACTTTGAAGCGTTTATTTCACAAGTAACTTGTCACGACCTGACTTCTGGCAATAGGAGAGCACGTTAGAAAGGAAAACGTGTGTACACTTTTAAAAAGAAAAGAAAAAACAAACAACGGCAAGGTAAATGACTGTGGCGATAATTTTTTCCTCTGGTCAGTCAGAAAATGTCACGGAAAGTAATTGTAAATAAAAACATATGATTTGAAGTTATGAGGGTTTGCCCAGTTGTTTGCTGAAATGGCTTGTGTAAATCTGGTATTTCCTCCACAAAAAAACTAAAGTCAAATGAATCTCTTCAACTAGACACAAGGGGATTGAATGCAGCTTCTTATCATTGAAATCCTTTGGTTTCTATTGCGCAATTTGCCATACAAATGTCCAAATTCAACGGACTTGCCAAGAGTTTTAACGAAATTGTGATTATAGTAGAACTCAAAACTTAGCTCACCGCTTTACAACGAACAAATTGTTTGGGAGAGTTTAAATAAATGAAAACTCCATTGATTAATCCAATTGCAAACAAATACACCGCTCTTTAACTTTCCGAGTTACCCTTTGTAAAGGATTAAAATTAGCTACGAATGGTTTTTTAGGCGGCTTTTCAACCTATTTAATGACATTTTGCGACCACAAATTCATTTCGAAACCAATTTTTTTTATTGCAACCAAAGTGATTCGAGAAAGAGAAAAGAGAGGGAGCAACTGTAGAATACTCTTCCACTTTGGTCCACCTCATTTACATGTGTCTGGAGGCTTTGAAGTTCGAGGCATAAAACAATAAACGTTATTCTTTCTCAATGACATGTAAATGAGTGGCAGGGTATTCTGTAGTCGAGACAAAGGGAGGATTGATAAGACATTTATGATCTCGAGGTCGTGACTGATGTCTTTGTTTTGAAAGTACTGCCGGAAAAACGAAATGTATTTATGAAAAATGACAACGAAGCCAAGGATGTACTCGGCGACTCACGAAAGCGTTACCGTGCCCGTGGGAAGAGATAAGAAAATCCGGACCGCGAAAAGAACCAATCAGTTTTCAGGATTCGTTACTATGCCCTCTGAGGAAAAAAAAGATCACACTCTCCACATATTTTGATATCAGCGACGGGAGCGGATTTGGAAAAATATTATTATTTCTGGAGAGAACGATAAAGCAAAACCTCCAAAACAATCAAAGGAAGGCATGAGGCGATGCCAGCTGTTCATTATTCCTAAAACTACTCTGTTGTTGTGAGATAGAGGGGGTTCCGTCTTAATCTTATTTTCTGTACTAGATGCTGCAGTTGACTTGCTCTCTCACTTTGTTTGCAAAGAAGTATGCCCCCTATGTTCTGCCATTCGTAAAACTCCTTTCCCCCAAGAATCTAATTTTTAGTTGCAGTTTAATTCGAAATGCCTTCTTCAATGTTCTCTTAATTTTTTGGCGAATCTCTTTGTATCGCCAGCAATAAATCAAATGATTCAATGATGAGTTGAGAAAAACTAAGAATGCAGCGAAACGATTAGCTACTTTGAAGGACAACGAAAATTTGAAATTTTACAGTGAATATACTTGGAACATAACAAACATTAACAAAAACTGCAAACACGAGGAAAGCAATCAAAAATGACTTTTTCTCTCGAAAAAATCTTGTGGTGTTTTGTCTATACAACTGACGTTGGCTTTGTATCTGATTTTGATCATTTCTTGTAACCTTGAAAATGTGAGTGCATGCCATGGAGTTTACAAGCAGTTCAAGAAAACCCCATGGCAACAAGTACGACGGGATTTTGTTGCGGCGCTAAAATGAAAATGAAAGCAGAAACACTACTTGTCAACCATAACGATGCCTAAACTACAGCAACACGGCGAGGAGTGACCAGTTCGAGATATATGAAGTGGAGGTAAATGGCCAGAAATCTATCCTATGCAATAGCTGTTATGGTAAGAAATGATGCAGAAGCCGGTAGAGCTAAGCTGAAAAGATACATTGTGTAAATGGACGGACAGAAGATTTCAAAATCGGAGTAACCTACCTGGTGACATGACAGCAGTGATAACACCTTTCGTTGATTGTGGAACCAATCCCACGGCAAGATCAGGGGTTGATTGCGATTTCAACAGAAAAATGAAGGATATAGGAGAAGTTCCTGTGTAATGGAGTTAGCTCTTAATTGTCCTCTATTGCAAGATCGAGTCACCCAACTATATTAAACCTAAAAAAATTAAATTTTCTCTAACTCAGAAGTCAATAAATTTTATCTAACAATGTGATTTTGAAACATCTCACTCACTTTTGACTCTCATTCAATTTAAGCTTGCTCTTAGCCGGTGATCTGATGTATTGTTTAATCAAAGACACTCAAAACCTACAGGCAACTTGAGTTTGGGAACGTACACAGCTGTCCAACTGTCACTGATGGAGAAAAATGACTAGCGACAATTTATTTCCAGAATTTTCTTTCAACCTAAAGAGAAGAGGATTCTTAGCTTTTCATTTGGGAACACCAACCAGGATAAAAATTTATTTAATTACGTTTACCATGAAAGAAAAGAGCCTCACGAGCCATTCACGCTAGAAAGTACCGCAGAACTGAGAGCAGCAAGATACGAAATTCTAAGAACGGATTTTATTGCCAATGCGTGTACTCGAAAACAAAACATTTTCATGCAAGAAATATTGTTTTCTTGAGTGCTTCATAAAAAGAAATGGCCGATTGATCTTTCTGGGGAATCGCTTTCACTAGATTGCCTTTTCTTCTCCCTCCGTCAATAGTTACACACTTTATTTCGCATGGGCAAATTTCACCCCTCTTTGTGAGTTAGGAATACAGGAAAACACGCCCCGTAAAAGCAGATATGTGAGATATACAAACAATTCCTAAAGGTATTCTTGTAGTGGTAAAGTAATAAAGCTATTTACTCATTGTACTCCCGCATCGCATGTATTGGTTCAAAGCTGTAATTGAGCATTAAAGAGCAACTGGGAAATTTCTTAGAAGGATGCTGCTGCAGGATTCTCCCTCTCCTCTTCCCCAGCTCTCCTCGCCCACATTATCGGACATTCCTACCAAAAAATATGATAATAAGTCTACTAGCGTTCTATCTCAAATGCTGCAATTTGATTGGCTGAGATTTTCGCTTTCTAATTAGCAAATAGCTTCTGTGTTCTCGTACGTCTGAACGATAACAGATAACGTCAAAATGATGTAAGAATAAAAAAGTGTCGCACTAAGTGCAGCCCCCTATCAACAACTACCAAGGAATAGAAACGGCCGAAACTCATAATCTAATTATTAATTAGTGCCACAGAAGTATTTACCGATATGAATAATCACAAGAGATATTTTTGGCAAAGAACTGCAAGCTTCAAATTGCGTTCACCTTGGCACATTCGATCATTCCATTTTCCTCTTATTCCGTTCTTATTTTTAAACATGTGAACGCATTTCTCCTTATTCCCGGAATTGTTTGGTTCTCCTTTTGCCCATGCGGAGTATTGACCAGCCAGTGGAGCACCATCAACCCAGTGGAAATCATCATCTTCTCTGTAAAGTCCAAGCCAAACACCCGCCTTTGACACGTTGGGCTTATTCAAGATCATATCAAGTATGAACGTGTTCTCTTCGGCTGACCGCACAACTGGAAGGTCAGCTGCGTGAGTTTGACAGCTTATGCGAGCATCGCTCCAGTTCGAGAATGAAATTTCGAGAAGAAGGTAACATGAGTGTCCATGTTTCACCCAGTCTTGTTGGTCGTCTGGGCATTCCTGCTTAAAACCAAAGAAGAAAATGATCAAAGCGAAAAGAAGAATGATGAAAGATGAAGGCCACGTAAAAGTTACTTTTCAATTAAGATAACAGTCCTAAAGGAGTTACATTGTAGTTTGGAAGCCAAGAGTTGTCTTCAATTTTCAAATCTTTTAATCGATCTCATCTATTTCATCAGTTGCCAAAATTTTTCTTTCATGGGCTATTACTAACTTTTTCAATTTTTCATCCTGACGAACCAGATTTTTTTAAACAGCTGCATGGTAAAATTGGACCCCAAATATCACGTGATTATGATTAAAATAAGTCTATGAGTTTGATTTTGTATTTGATCGATGGAGTTATACATAGCAGAGTAGATAAATTCGGCCGTCTGATCAGTCCAGAGCTGAGAAAAAAATGCAAAACAATTTCATCTGAGGGAAACCAAACTATACACATCAGGAAAGAATCATGGCGCGTGTGAAGAAAGCGCAGGTTCACATATGTCAAAATTGTAAACAGAGTTACGTAGTCCATTGTCATTTTAATAAAATCATGGAAGCTTCAGCTTTTATAAAGAATCAATTTAATTATTTACTTTATTTCAGGAGCTGGGGAAGCAGTTTGAAATTGCAAACACAGAACGTCAAGTGCTCTTTTCACGAAAAGCAAGCATTAGTTACTATCAGTTCAGTCAGCCTTAAACACACCAGATCTCACAAGCTGAATTAATAATATTGTGATAAATAACGCTTAAATTGAAAGGGACTAAGAAAGTAATCTTAGTTGTACGCTAACTTCTGAAACTAAAGCAAACTATACGAGTACACGAAAAAATCTTTGAAAAGAGGTTTGTCATTATTTCTATCAACTGAATATTTTCCAAAATGAAAATTTCTTGCTAAGAAGAAATGACTTTCGTTTTAGCTAGTCTTCTTTCATTTTAAAAATCAATTCCGTAGTTTACCTTGAACAACATCGAGAAAGTAAATCCTTTATGATCGTCAAAGTCGAGATCTTTGTTTCCAGTGAAGACGCCATGCTTGCCATTAAGTTCGCAGACACCTGCTGTCCCTTCTTTTTCGATCGTGGACAAAGACTTAAAATTTACTGAAGAGCAAAGAGCATTTTTCATACATTCGTGGCCACAAGATAACAAACTCGAAGAAATAAGCCGCTTGAGAACATGACCTTTCAGCTTCTCATTTTCTTGCATCGCAAAATACGATGAACGTGAATCCAACATAGGGGCAGCTCCTTTGATCGACTGCAAAGCAATTGTAATTTGAAAGACGAGAGATAGCGACATAGTCCTTCGCCCCATGATAAACAAAATTCAGTAGCAACTGCCAGGGAGAATATTCAGCCTTTTTTCAGAATACACTCTTAATCAAATTTAAATGAACTCTGACTTTGCTCACGCCGGAATTTATTGTTTTCAAAGAACTTACGACTGAGACCCTGCCTATGTGACCGTATAGACGTGTTTCCCCTTTTTTCAACAGTCTACGGAAGTCCAGGCTAAGATATGTCTAAGCAGGATGGATTAAATTTGTCTTAGCTTTTGAAGGGTACACTGTGTTATCTAAAGTTTGATTCCGGCTTGCTTTCATTTCAGTTATAACTAAGCAAACAAGATGAAACTCTTAATAAGGGGAAAAAGGAAAGGGAGAGAAACAACCAAAAATTTAATGGACCAACACTGTCACTTTCTTTTGAAATATCTTAATAAGCAAGACTTTAAAAAAATGTGCTCATTTTTTGTGGTCGAAGTTGACGTTTTCGTGGATATTGGAAATGCATTTGACAGGTATAGAAAATTATTCCGTTTGCTCAAAAGGCACTCAAAACACGCAATCATCCAACTTTTCCTTCCAAGTAGGTGCAAAATTGGGACAAAATAGCGACACAGCTTGCATTAGTGTCCTTAAATTTAAGTTTGTTAAATTAATTATTTCCATCTTTGAATGTAAAGTTTGGTTCTGTTTAAATAATTTGTGCCGTGGATATGCATAATTGACCAAGCGTGAGGTTACGATAGCTGGCTATTGGCTGAGTTCCTAGAAATGAATGACATGACAGTAACCATGGTTAAGAAAAAATTATTACATGTTTGTGAGTGACCACTGATATTAAAGCTTTGGGCTTCCACAAAAGACTGAACAAACAAATATTCGAATCATTTCATGAAATATTGGGATGCGCACATTATATTTTCATGTTCAAATGTCTGTTGTACATAAATGAAGGTCACTGAGCAGGGCCTAAACGAAATATTTCTTTTAAAGTTATTTTCACGATTTTGCGAATCGGTAGCAGATAACGGCCGGGTTTAATGAAGAATTTAAGAGAACCAAGAAGAGAGAAACTTGATAGGCCGCTAAAAACCATGTTCGAAGGCCGTCTACCATTGACGAAATAGTGCAGCACAATATGGGAAGTAACAAATAACAGACACCATTGACTGCCATGACATTTATGGCTGATATCTTTTCTTGGTGTGCTGTGTATGCTTGCATCTGATTGGTCGCCTGAGGTTGGACACGTATCCGATTCTGATGATATCTAATGGCTTTGTAAATGCGAATGTATGCCACAGTTGTTCCAAGAGCTGCGGTGATTGAAAAAGTTAAGTTTATAACACAGAACCGTGCCATGAAAGTTCCATGCACTTGAACAAGCTTTTCATATTCTACCAACTTCTGGGCACAGAACTTGTAAACCATTGCAAACGTGTGCAACTCAAATATCGCTATGGTGCAACTGATCAAAGATGCCTGGAGGGCATTCTAACAAAATCTTTCACTTAGAAGCTTACGGGGAAATGTTAAATTACAACAAAAATTTTGGCTAAAATCTGCCTAACCTCTCAAATGCAGCCTTTACCAATCACCTAATTTTTGGAACAGCTTGTTTCATTTGATTGTCGCATACAAATAATGTGCGTAAGCACTAGCGACAGAAATATCATCAAAAGCGCCGTTCGCGATCAGTTGTTGTCTACATACAAAGCTAAATTACTCTTGAATTTATAGTTCTTTGGAATAAAGACGTCCTAAGTTACATTGAATTTGTTGAAACGATAGTTTAGTAGACGATAGTAAAGATGAAAATTTATGTGATTCAAATTGAAAAAAATGATTTATCTGTCCATTTCTGTAGGTAGCCTTCATGTCAAAAGCTCCGCGGGTTTTTTTACGGTCACTTGATAAAAAAATGAAAAGAACACTATTTACGCTCAAGCAAATTACAATTTCAAAATATTTTACTTCAAGTAACATATACCTCTAATTTCACTTTGTAAGGCCCATTTAATCGTGAAACTGTGCTTCTCAGCTTTAAATGACGGTCGGGAGACATTTTAAAACTTGCTTTAAGTTTTAATTGCGTGCCTTTAAATTCACTTTGCATGGGCACATTAAATTATGAAACTGTGTCTCTCAGCACTAAATGACGGTTAGGTAATATCGTTCAACTTGCTTTACGTTTTAATTGCGTGCGGATAAGGTAACTAATCGTTTTCTGCTGTAAAACAGAAATTTTATTTTTAGGTAACTCTTGATTTGCCACCCTTCTCTCACGGAATAATCGTTGTGATCCATGTGAGCCATGATCCTGTTCCGATGAAAGATAAAGCGGGCGATTAGTATCTGTTAAAAAACGTGTAAGGGAAATATTTACCACTTTAGGGATGGAAAGGTTGCCGCTTTTTCAATTTCTCCGACAGTTTGTGAGTTTGGGCCTATCTGCACTAGCCGACAAAACTAGAATTGTACCGACAAAATCAAAGGACGAATTCTGTCATGACAATAATTTTTGTCTCCTATGCTGCATCCGCCACAGGCGACCGAAGCTCCAGCTGTGAGATGATCATCTTGCACAATAACAGTCATGGCGGAATTATAAGAGTTTGTATGGGAATATTTACGACCGCTTTAACAAAGTAAAAATCATCAAATTCTCAATAAAAATACCTCACCTTACGTCCACAGCGTATCACTTGTTATTTGACCGCTTACTTTGATGAAAAGAACCCATTTTAGCGAGTTTTCCATTTCGAGGTTTTCTACGTACATAAGAAAAGGGGCTTTTCTTTTTGTTGCGCAAGGTGATCATCTCACAGCTGGAGATTGGGCTGCCTGTGCATCCGCGCTAGAAATGTCGAAGCTGTCAATAAGCTGTCAAAAATAACATCGATATCATATTTTATTTTAATTTATTCAATTTCTGTGCGCGCCAAAACATCAAACGTTTTGGCGGGTTAATGGAACATTTTCAAATGCTTCAACTAGTGGCGTGTATTTCGCTCAAATGGCAGACAAAATGATGCTTATGATGAGCATAGTATTAAGGCATCAATTTCCTAGACGCCAAGCAACTCTTTTAATGATTGAACACCGTAGAAGACGGAGACGCCGGGCACGTCGACACAACCCTTACTTTTGGAAACTTCAAAGACCAAACCGGTCTTGGGTCGAGATCCACCACAGTGACCAAACGATTCCCGGGGAGTTTTTTAGAAGGAAACTGCGAATGGATCGTTGTACCTTCGATATTCTGTTGAATGTTTTGCGACCCGCTGTAACACGCGAAAACACCAAATTGCGTGACTGCTTTGCTCCAGAAAAAGTACTCGCACTTGGTTTGTAACGTCTGGCGCACGGGAACTCTTATGAGGGCATTGGGCTGAATTTCAATGTTGGAAGATCGACTGTTCTAGAAGCAGTACTAGATGTTGTGGAGGATCTTGTGCAGCCACATCTACTGCTTTGTTGTTAGTCTGATGAAGCGGCGACCGGAAAATTACTCCCCTGTTGTAGGTCGCCCCGGCTGAATGAAAATTGTTTTACTTCCTGGTCTTCATAGGAACCATTCATGAATTGTTTCATGATGCAAATACGTTTTTGATTTATTTGTTCTATTTTCTTTTCGAGTATGAATAAAATGGTCCAAACAATAGTCCAAGGGTCTAATGGTCCAGTCCATACCTTCTCCTATTCCTTTTTTGTCAGGTGATCGGTATATACACAAATTTGAATCCAGTAAATCGATGAAATAGGGCAATAAATATTTTTATTTCATTATCAATTCATTTTTTTTTACTATTTGTCACTATTCGCCACTATTCGCCACTATTCGTCGCTATTCGTCACCATTCGCGACTATTCATCGCTATTCGCCACTATTCGTCACTATTCGTCACTATTCGCACTACTCGGTCACTATTCGCCACTATTCGTCGCTATTCGTTACTATTCGCCACTATTCATCGCTATTCGCCACTATTCGTCGCTATTCGTCATTATTCGCCACTATTCATCGCTATTCGCCACTATTCGTCACTATTCGCACTACTCGGTCACTATTCGCCACTATTCGCCACTATTCGTCGCTATTCGTTACTTTTCGCGACTATTCGCACTATTCGGTCACTATTCACCACTATTCATCGCTATTCGCCACTATTCGTCACTATTCGCACTACTCGGTCACTATTCGCCACTATTCATCGCTATTCGCCACTATTCGTCGCTATTCGTCACTATTCGCGACTATTCGGTCACTATTCGCCACCGTTCATCGCTATTCGCCACTATTCGTCGCTATTTGTCACTATTCGCGAGTATTTGCACCATTCGATCACTATTTGGGTATTATCACTAGCCTAGCTAGCTCTTACCCAGGTCAAATTTTGTCGGCGGTGCGTTTGAAAATTTGTGCGCTTCGGCAAAAAAATTGTGAAGTCGCGACAAACCATCCGCACTTGTAAAGTGTTGGTGATGACAGAAAATTTGTCTAAATAAACAATCATGTCGTTAGTGCAGATAGGCCCTTTATAATCCTAACTGTAATTAAGAAACGACAATCATACATGCATGTACAAATTCATCTTTGATAAATGCTTGCCGGAACAAGCAAAGCCGCATCAAGGGGAAGGTAAGATCGAGGTCATTTTCCCCTTTAAATGACTAAGGTTGAAGTCGAACTGAAAGTGTTATTCCAGCATAAGAAAAGAGAGCACATGATCTGACAGAGTTAATGACTAAATAATGGTGCTTTGTACTAAACTGCCATCGGTCGGTATGCCATATAATGTCTTTTTGGCGCCATATGTATCTTTTTGTCATATGTGGCGCTATATATGTCTTTTTGGCGCCATTTTGGCGCCATTTCGGTGCTAAACTGTATTTGTTTGCCGGATGTGTTATAGGACAAATCATCTTGACATCTTGTGGTGACAAAAGTGTCAAAATAAACCATATATTAGTCCAAATTAACATAGAATCGAATGATTCGGAAAGAGTGTTGTATAAGCTCTTAATTTAAATTTTAAAAACGGACAGCACTGTGCTACAGTCAAGTTAAATCAGGAACTCCTTTAGTGTTGGTTGATTTTCATTGTAACTCTCTGATGTTCAGACGTCATTAACTCTTTGTATCTAACCCGGTGGTCTTCTAATAAAGACGGAAGTGTTTTGTTTATTTTCTGCCTCTGCCGCTGAGTCTAAATTGTCGAATTGATGCGTAGGATCTTTTTCAGAGTTCTTTTCAAATGATTGCGGATCTCTTTATATCGCCAGCAATAAACCAAGGGATTAAGGGATGAATTAAGAAAAATTAAGAATACGGAGACATGATTAGCTACTCTGTAGGACAAACGGAATTCATCGTTCATCAGCGCAATTGTACAACACAAGTTTGGAACGTAGCAAACAAGAAAAACAACATAAACAACTGAAGCATTGACAAACGACTTCTTTTCTCGAAGCTTCTCCATTGCTCCGCCTTTTTCCAGCTCACATTGCTTTGGTATCATATTTTGATGATATTTTACAACTCTTGAAAGATAAATGAAAATAGCCGTTGAGACAAGCAGTCCGAACACCTCAATAGCCACAGTCACATAGGCATAGCGAAGAATTGTAATGAAAACGGTAGCGCAAAGACCACTTGTAAGCCACAACACGGCCAAAACTGCAGTTACGCGGTTGGATGTGACCAGCTCATGATATCGCAAATGGAGGTAAATAGCAAGAAATCGATCCAAAGCCATGGTGGTTACGGTAAAAAATGAGGCTGAAGCCAGCAGAAACGCAGAGAAATGATGAAATGTGAAAATAATGGGGCAAAAGACATCGAAATTGTGGTTTTCACTTGCCACCATTTTAAGCATCGTTGCGTTGATAACACCGAATGTTAACTGTGGAATCAACCCTACGGCAAGATCGGAGAAAGCAAGATTGATAAACAACTTCCTCAATGTGGATGGTATCGAAGAGGTTCTCCACAATGCACTAATGACAAGGAGGTTTCCAACGAGTGCCACGATCGAAAATGTCAAGTTTAAAATGGTAAAGTTAAGCACGAACGTGGCGTGAAAAAGAACAAGTTCTTGGAATCTTTCAAGCTTCTGAGAACAAAAGGAGGAAACCATGTTGAACTCAAGGTAAACTTAACATGACTTTATGAACATGAAATATTAAAGGGAAAATACCTCATGTAAATATGAATTTATTTTAAAAAAATGACTGATATTTTAAATTGACTTCTGCAGATGTTGCTTTACATATTTCATTCTATATTGCTACAGAACTCTTCCTTATCCGCCAAATTTGCTATGGTAAAGTATTTCGAGGAAATTCACAAGAGAAATATTTTGAGTGTAGCTGAAAGTCCTAGCTCATAAAATAGTGGGTCAGTTTTATTTCTTATTTCTCATTTCTACCATAAATTTGTTTATTTTTTAATGACATTCATGCATTGAGGAAAATTAAAAAAGGTAAAAAGTATCTCTTGAACATTATAACGAGGAAGAAACGAGGCAAATGATTAAGTCGACTGATCCTCGTAGAAATCTTGTTACGTATCCATTTAAGAAAATAATTAACGTTTAATTTTTAAATATTTGGGAACAGAAAATTGTTCAGAAAAAAAAAAACTGAATGTTATTAACACCAAAATATCACGTTCGAAATTATTAGAGATGGTATTTGCCTTTGGCAGGGTTTTATTAGTCATGTGTCAAACTGTGGTCCTTTCATAATGTCAATGTAGACACCTCTTTAACATCATGCAAGTTCTACAGAACAATTGACTCGTGACACTCAATGACCATAAAACTGCAATTACGATTTCAACGGCGAATCGTGCTAACTGAACATAAGTCGTCTTCAATTGTCATTTATGGCTAACGAGGCGTGAGGACACGGAAAACTTCAATTTCTTTATGTTTATCCATCTGGCCCCGGTTGTTCGAAGATCGGATAACGCTATCCAGTGGATAAATCTCTATCCGGTGGATAACGCTACACGTTTTGCTATCACTTATCCGCAGGATAGCGATTTATCCGTTGGATAGCCTTATCTACCCTTTATACAACTGGGCCCTGAACCTATATTTTACAGTATTTTAGCGATTCATTGTGGAGTGTTGAGTTCCGGCGTCTGTCAGTTTCGACTTTCTCCATTAAAGTGCTTAATTCGAACGCGTGTTCGCGTGTCAACAAATGGTGTGCCAGCGTGAGTGTTTGTAATTATTGATTACCTCATCATTAATTTTACAAAGTTTCTTTTGCCATTCAAAAATTCTCTCTTAGAGAATAGCTTTCTGAATGCTCAATTGCCTGCAAGTGGGGGTGATAAGCAAAGGGACACAGGAAAAGACCTCTTAGGTGTAAACAAATAGTACTTTTTAGAAGAATATAACTTTTCGTCAAAACAGCTGAAAATAAATTTCTAATCAGCCAGCTTCTAGCAAGCAAAAGTTGACGCGTTGACAAGTTATCTAAATCTGCAACTCGGCGATTGGTTCGAAATTGAGTCTGAAAAATATTCATTCATGAAGCTGAATAAAAAATTAAAAAAAAGAAAAGTGATATCCTGGTCTGATGTAACGAGGATATCTCTCGGATAGTGCATTTCAGTCCAAAGTTCTTGTCTAATTTGCATTGCTGATTTCTGCACGGGATGAAAATTGGAGGCTAGAATCGGGAATCGAGTATGGTTTAGCATGCAAAGGCCTTTCACTCGTGAATCATCTGTTTTTTTTTCCCGTACTTTCATTTGCAGCTTTCGAAACGGACAAACGGACACAGAAATTTCGCTGCAATATAACATAAATTAACTTGCGAAAACTCAGCGAAGACGACCCACGAACAAATTGAGGGATGGGTACATGAGAGCGGCTTTAACTGGCTGCTGACAGGTCCACGTGGTACATAGGCCTCTCGTGTTGGCGTATAAGTTCACTCGAGCCATAGTGATAGTCTTATTTTTCAGTTTTAGAATATTTTTCACTAATATTGATGGACACCCATTGTTAACACAAATTGAAACACACATTACGTAATATGTTAAACAGACATTCATAGACATAAATTTCTACCGTTTTACTGGTAGCGTGTCGAAAGGAAGTGAGAAAAAGTTTCAACTTGAAAAGGCAAAGCCAAGCGATCAAAAATTTTTCTTTTGCCGCTCAGATACGACAGGTGGGCGTAGTTTTCATTAGTTTTGCAAAATAAAAGAAACGTGGTCTCACATTGCAGATGTTTTGAAATACTGACTTAGCGTTGGCTTCCTTCATATGGACACTATTTTAAAAACCGACAGGAATCATCATTTTTTCCAGAAGAAATGCATAACTTTCGCTGTGAGGAGAGTACAAGAGCCACATGTAATCATTGATTTGATCTCTATATGGAATCCCGTTTTGATGTTATAACACAATGATTAAAGCATGGCTCCTTTGCCATGAAATAAAAAAAACAAATCCTATGTGCAAAGGATCTTCAGAAGGCTAAAATAGACATCCGGAACGTTCTTGAGCAACTTTGGTAAGGCGAGCTTTTCTCGCAAGAGAATGTCCCACTTGTGAAAGGAAAAAAAAATGTAGAGCTGTCATTGAACTGTCATTTCTTCAAGTGCTCTCCGGGTTCCCAAAAAAGTTAATTATGCTCAAGACAATTTTAGTCCCCTGCTCTACCCTCCAGCACAATAGTGAAATGCTCTTGTTAATGAAATGTTGTATATTCGCATGCGTAAGCCAACCTGAACGTGCAAACGGATTCCATCCGCGTAATTACTTGATAATGGAGTCACGATGACCCCGAAACCTCTTCGTGCCTTAAATTAGTAACGTAACGGTCGGGTATCCCAACATATTGTCAATTTTCTGCTCGTGATCTGTTTGCAAGCAGATAAGCCCATCAACGTCACAACATCATTGGTTTAATTAATCAGGCAGAAACACGGTATTGCATGGAACTGTATTCAATTTACGTTAACATTGAAAAACTCGGAGACAATCAAGAATTGTCGAAAAAGAGTTTGCCCCTCAGACTCTGATAAGATGTAAATTTAATCAGCACTTGTATTGGTTATTGACGGAAAATAACATGTCAAGTTTAGACATCGCAATAGGCACACGAATGACACCTACAATGTGACATCTGTTATTTGTTCTCTGTTTGACAGCAAAGCTTCGTTTGTTTGTTTTTTTTGACATATCAAGAGAAATATCGTGGATTCGTTATCCATCCGGTTTTTTTTCCTATTTCTTTCCGCTTTACCGAAAAAAAGAGAGCTGAACTTCAGATTGCCGGTTATTGAATCAATAGTTAAAATTGCAAACTTAAAAAAAAAACGCACCTTGTAAATACGCAGCAGGAATCAAAACAACGAAGCAGTGAGCATGAATGTGACTTTGAATTCAAGAAATGCATTTACTTCTAGAAACTTAAGTTACTCGTTGTCTTTACTGTACAATTTTCAATTCCTTGCATATAGATTATCTGAACTAAACTTTGCCTCAAAAATAAAAGAATAGACTTAAAGACAGTAAAAGGGTATAACGCCTTCTTTCAAGGCAAATTAAAGATTAAATCTTACTCCAACGCCTATACCAATAAAGTCAATTGCTTTAACATAATAAATTCTTCACAATTCTCTTTACAATTTGACGAATTTCGCGAATTCGCCAGCAGTAAATGATTGGATTTATAGAAGAATTCAACAGAATCAAGATGAATGAGACATAATACGCTATTATAGACGACGCTCGAGAATTATCCGCTATTAATATCAAAGTACAGCATAAATAGGGCAGATAACATCCCAGGAAAACAACATAAACAACGAGTGCGTTGATTGCAGACTTTTTCTCTCGAGCTTTGGATATTTCTTGATCATCATGCCTCTGTAACTGAGTTTGTATTTGATTCCGATGATATATCACAGCATTATAGATTTTAAAATAAGCCACAGATGTAAGGAAGAGGCCAAGAATCAAAAGTACGTTAGCTACCATGTCACTGTATGCTGGAAGAGAGACGTAAATACCCGCAGCAATTCCACTTGCTATCCACACAGACACCAAAGCCAGAGAGAGACGTTTGGAAGTCACAAGTTCATGATAGCGAAGGTGGAGATAAATTGCGAGGAGTCGATCGATAGCAATTACCGTAACATTCAAGAACGAAGCGCAGGCCAGTGAAAAGGTACAAAAATGACTTATGGTGAGTGTGACTGGGCAGAAGACGGAGAAGTTATATTCTCCATTGGCTGCCATTCGTAACATCTCCGCTATGATGCCACCGAACAAGGGCTGTGCAAATATTCCCACGGCAAGATCCGAAAAAGACAGACTCATGAATACCTTCCTTACTGCAGGCGACATCGACGAACTTTTCCACATGGCACCAATCACGAGAAAGCCTCCAATGGTCGCCACGAGAGAAGAAAACAAAATTGAAATAAAGAGAAATAATAAAAACCCCCTGTTAGAATGTAGCATTATGTGTAACTCCTGTAACTGCAGATCGCAAAACTTTTCGACCATGAGATAATCGTTTTGGTTGCTCTGTCCTTTGGCCAACTGTATCTCCTACAGGGTAATAAACAGAGAGTGTTGAGCAGATCTCCTAAGACTTACTTCCAAATTCTAATATTTGCGCGATTAAATATTTATTGTGCTCTGTAAATAGGTGGAGTTCATGCTGCTTTAAACACGGCCTATTCTTTGGACGATAACCGCGAGGAAATAGAATGGTCAAATTAAGGTTCTTCGATATCTCTCTAAAGAAAGGCGAAAATGTCGTTCTTTTGTACAATCACTAAAATGGAAATCGTTTGGTGGGATAACAGAATTACACCTCGAGGCAAACTTTTTTAAGCCATCTATGCAAATTTGAATTTTTACATAAGGCAAAAGTAAATAGCAAAATAAATATTGCCATATTGCAACTTTTTATGAAATAAAAGCCGCATGATACTTCGTTGAAACACGCTAAACTTTATTTCACGCGAAATTGTGCACCGATCACACAGTCATTCTACCAGGTCTTATAATCGATCAATAGCGGGTCAGGGCGATGAAATCATTAGTTCCTCTCGAACAGAAGCAAATAATTAACTCTCAACCAATAGGTATCTGTTCAAGTGAGTTTCTCCTTCAAACAAATACAGGAGAAATGAACTATTGAGAGCAATCGATGCTCCAAATATTAAAACTTAAAAAAAAAAACAAAAAACATCTAATGGATTAGTAGGACTCGAACGGCCCAGCATGATTCACTATTGAGGACCCTATGGGGAATCCCACTTTTGTTTTAATCGCTTTAGGGGGCTTTATTTTATATTTTCGGTAATTGAAAGGAAATTTCAATTTAATTATGCGTGACGCTTTTTTGATGAAGTTGTCATCGTTAAGAAATTTTAATCTGATATCTCCTTTCAAAAAGTTCCGATCAAAATATCAACATTTCAATATGGTTGCCAGGATACGAGTCTTTTGCTGCAAAGCTGTAAATGACAAGCTGGTAGGAGATATCCGGATGAGAATTTCGCAAATGTACACCGGTGAAGGATTTAGAAGCAAATTCAAGGCAGAAGTAAATCAATTTATCTTTTTCAAAAGCTCGTAACACTATTTATATCAAGAGGGAGCAAATTCCTTTGAACTGATGAATGTAAAACCCAACCATTATGATTAGTAGTCTACCGAAGTTTCTATTCAACTTGTGAATTGCGACTTCTCAGAGACAAAATTCAAATTTGGCTTCTCGTGTCGAAGATGAAGCGTAGGTTTTAATCACTTTTTTAAATAGGATCCTATCATGCACCGGCAGTAAACAATTGAGAACGTATCAAGTGTTGAACAAATTAGGGAAACTTTCTGGCTTTCAATAGTCCTGTGCGGCCGTGTGTTTTCACTCACTGCCTTCCAAATATGGGATGGGAGGTAAATGAAAGAAAGATCTCGGTTACAGGCATTGTGTCTCATTAGGAAATCACTAAAAAATCTTATACGAGTCCTATTTAAGATAGCCGTCTTCATCGTTTTCCAAGATAATAAATGACGTCAGAGTGGTATCCTGTACGTATGACATTACTGAATTACAATCGGGAAATGATATCAATCCATCGATATAAATGCGAAAAGTTAAACACGTTCATTTATCACGTAAATATTTTTGAAATGCCACCGTTTGTCCTTGGCTTTGTCCACGATACTGTCGCTGGGTTCAATTATTTTATGTCAGAGAAAAGGTAGATATCGGTAAAACGTACTTTACCTTCAAGTTAGAAACTGAAAAAGTATTTTCTCAAGCTTTGCATTCACCGTTCTTGTATGGTCTTTTCAAACTGTTTTTGATGTCAATGTTTTACGATACCAACAAAGCTTTACTATTACGCTAACGGATACGAATTTCTACTTTCATCTTGATATATAACACTCTCGTGGGTGGGCGCAGGAAACGAGTGAGAAATATTTCAGTCAGGGTTACTCTCAAAGATAAAAACCACATCCAAGCACATTCATGTAAGATCACTCCTGCATATCATCTGTGATGAATGAAAAATGTCAAAATTGACAATTTTATATAGATAAGAGACGATTTTCAGCTACAAAAAGTTAAGACTAACACTTTTAGGAAGATCCAAAACGACGACATTTCGACGTCGAAAAGGAACCAATATTAGTGTATTCTTTTTGACAAAAAAAGTCTTGATATTTACTATCTAGCGTGGACAATATTCCTCATGAAGAGCGTCTTGCAAACAAGACGTTTCCCGAGGAACTTTCGAAGGCACGCCTATGTGGTGTTTTGTGGTTGCCGAATTCTAATTCTATACAAAAACTGAGTGCTTGTGTATATTAGGGGAAGGGGAATTCGTTTCGCGATTTGGAAATTTCGTCTCTGTAAGAGATTTGTGCCATCATAAATTTGTTCGTGAAATTATGCAAGGTGATGACGAGCATGACGAGCATCAAGTGAAAGATCATCCTCAAGGCCAAACATCATCTAATACTGTCAGACGGCGAACTAATTACTTCAATCAGTTATTGTTACTACTGTTGAACATTTGAAATTTTTTTCTTCAACAAGAAAGCAGAAAAAGTTCATATCTAAAGAAGATCAAGTGGCTCCTGCTGTATAAAAAAAACCATCGATACATTAATTTTCATGTGATTGGGAATCGACAACTTCACCCCGGAAAAAAGAATTCGGTGACTGACAAACACGTTAGGACGTTGCAGTGGGGACATAAATTTCTTTAAATTTGTTAAAAAAAAAGTTTAGTTTGACATTCAAAAGAGTCTAATTAATCTACGAAAACGTCTTCTTCTTTTATATATATATATATCATTTAATGTTTTGATGACATGTTGTTTTATCGTAGTATTTTTACAGAAAAATTATGAAAAGTGGTGCGACATTAGCTTTATATCTGAGTATGTTGTATTTGTAATACCAAAGTTGTGAAGTGACGATAAAAGGAATAATACATAGAATCGTTTTAAAAAAGGTTCAAACGTGCTTGTCAAAGCTAATTCAACAACATTTTATGATGGATTTTGTGTCCTCATAGGATTCATATCAGCTGCTCTGGAAATACAATATCACCATAGTAACGCTCAACGTCATAAGGACTTATTTGTAATATTTTTCTTAAGAGTCGTTTAGTCCACTAATCAAAACTGACTATTAACATACTCCTTAGTGCGAAATATGTGAAGGAGAATTAAACGATACTAATGCTTAATCTTTTCTTCAAATGTGCTACTTCTTGAATGAGCGATATTTTACAAAACAAGCCGAGGGCACCGAAAGAGAATTTTGACCCTCCTTTGTGATTATTAAAATATGCTATACGTTTCAATTCTTGCATGGATAGAAATTATTCAGAGTCACGCGAGATTAAGAGTTTCCTTATCGTGTTTATCGCGTAAACGCGAATTTGTCTATATCGCCAGCAGTAAACCAGCGGGTTTAACGCAGAATTTAGAATAACCAAGAGCAAAGTTGCATGATTGGCTACTAAATAGGATATTGAAGTACTGTCAGTTAATAACAAAATCGTGCCGCATAAATGTGGGGTGTAACAAGCCAGGAAAATAACATAGAAAAACAAAGAATTGATAGCTGCCCTCTGCTCACGGATAAATACTTTCAAGCGATGACCACCCTCTCTCATTTGGCTATTTATTCTGTTCTGATGATATCTTACGGCCATGTAGATTCGGATGTATGCTATGGTTGTCACAGGAAATCCAACGGCTTCGACAATCACAACCACCAAATGATTGTTGTTTGGAAGAGACACGAATAGTGCAGCGGTGACAACGCTTGTTACCCATAAAGATATCAACGCTAACACAATTCGGTTAGTAGTGACGAGTTCCTGATATCGGAGATGAAGAGAAACTGCTAGATATCTATCCACAGCGATGGCTAGAATGGTCAAGAACGAGGCGGACGCCAACAGAAATAAGAAGAAATAGAGCAAAATAAAGCTGGTTGAACACAAGTCAAAGGGCTGGTCTCCATTTGCGTTTTTGTGCAACATCACTGCAACAATAACTCCAAACATCAGCTGAGGGCACATTCCAACAGCGAAATCAGCCACAGCAAGACTCAGGAACAATATCTTCAGATTCGAAGGTACTGATGATGCCTTTCTCAGAGCGCTGATAACGATGAGATTTGCAAGACATGTCAAAACGGAAAACATCAAGTTCAGGACACAAAATGTAATCATAAAAATCCAATGGTGAGTCAGGAGCTTCATATTTTCTTCCAACCTCTGTTCGCAGAAAAGGGACCCCATTGCGAACTTACTCTTCAAATTGGTCGCCGCGAGAATCAATACAAACAGGAACAGTTTAATTTGCCGATTTTCAGAAAGATATGGAAAGTGGAAATATGATACCGCTGTGAGAGTCACTCGTATTTGTATTTAAACAAATAGTGATCGCAGACCTATCTGCTTAGCTGTGACTGAAGCGGCAAACATTGTTAACGCATGTAAACGTTCTTGAGCGGTTCATGGCTTTAAAAAAGATTAAATAGTTAAATCATATTTACTAATTATTCGCAGGTGGTAATCAGCATTGTCAGAAATCTCCATATCAAATTCGATGTCTATGGGATCATTCAAAAATACTCGCCGAGATCGAAATTTGTCACAGCAAAATCATACAAAGAAGGGGATAGCCAGGAAAAGTTCATCTTCTCTCATTTCATTTATAGCTCACTGTCTATTCGGAAAGTTTAAAAGTGTGTCATTATGATAATCACCTTACGAAGGGTGATCATAACATTTCATGACGTAATCGTCGACCAATCACAGCGCTCTCTTCGTCACTTCTGTAGTTATCTAAGCAATCATACTGAGATATTTCAAGACCTATTTTTATATCATACATCTAAGAAATTGTTGATGCACCTGCTTCTTTGGGCGCCAACTTGTCACTTATTTCGAATACCAATCTTATTAGCATAAGTATGAGACAGTCCATATGTTATTAACGATGAGTGTATTTCAATAATAGTTCTTTGTTGTCAATTTGAAACGAAATAGAAAGTAAACATATTTTTAAAGGGTTCCATAAAATTATCATCTCACGAGGTTGTGCCTCGTGAGTCCACGACATTTTGACCACCACTGCGATGTGACTTTACTGAGTCCACATGGCCTGTTTGTATCATCTTCACCAGTATTGAACGGTCACTTTGGCGGAAGCACTCATATGACATTACGAATAATTTCTCAAATAAATTATATTCCGTGTTTATCTCCTGAAATCAGTTTATATACTTCCTTTGAGTTCAAATGTCCTTTGGCCTATTAGGATTAATATCACGCGCGAACCCCACGCAGGACCAACTGTTAGATAATGGTAGACGCGTATAAACGCGTACAGCAATTGTGCTTTATTACTCTGCTTTAAGGCTAAGCCGCCATGTTATTACTTCTGACAACTCTATTTTAAATCCGACAGTAGGCAACACCTACTACAAAAAGCGACAGCTCCGTCATAAATACACCAACCTCAAATAAACGACAGAGCGATAACTACTTGTTCAAAGTCTTTTCTCAATTTCCTGGTGCTGAAGGTGTGAGTGCGCTGCAAGAAGCCTATCCGATACAATTGCCGCCATTGAAAATCAAGATGCGGCTACTGAGAAATACAACGAGACCTGAAATAAATACCTCTGCTGCTAATATTCTAGATGAGACATGGTCATCGAGAAGCGATGCAATTCAAGGAAATCACATTATTTATATGGTGTTGAGTCTGCGACGTCAACTGTCCTTTTTTTCGCGAAGTACAAAGTTTCATAATTAGTACGAATCGCTTTCCGGGGTCTTTGTTTGATTGTTTAGATGATATATTCCTTGCTTTGTAAGTTTAACACGTTACTGTAACAATTTGTGTGTGTTGTTTGTGTCTATTAAGGTGTGAGCCTGAATAGATTGAATTAAAATTTTTAATGTTGTTATCCTCCTTGTTAAGCCTAGGTGCTTTTGGGGAAAACAATATACACTTAATGTATGGTCCCGCGGGAAACAGTTAGTTTTGTTCTCCCGAGAGTCCTGGTGATCAAGACTCGAGAGAAGAAAAAACAAACTAATTTCCCGAGGGACCATAAATTGAGTGCTTTGTTATCTATTTAGACTTCCCCTTAAACAATCATATGGGAAAAACGGCGCGCGAATATGATCAGGGGCACGTGACCAAGAATCAACCAATCACAGTACTCGTTTTTTTGAGTGAAAACTGGGTAATAACAATGAAAAATATGTTTAAACAAAAAAAAAAAAGTCAGCGTGCATGAGTATCAAGTGAGTGATTGCTTTCTTGGCATCCTTATTCAGTATCCATATATGATTAAAACTTCCACATCAGCTGGATAACTAAAACCCGCAGCAAAATAAGAGCATGCAAGACTGTTTAACCTCTTCGTTAAGAGGCTGGGATCAAATTTCCCTTCCAAAAGCAAGAATAACGAAGACTTTCCCAGAGACGATCTCGGGAGAAAATGTTTGGTTTCAAATGCAAAGAAGCCACTTTGAAATTTCCTTACCAAGTCTTGAATACTCCTTTAATTTCTAACTACAAAGATCAACACTTTCTTGCTAAGAGACATTTTCAGGGCCTTAAAAATCGATCAGTCTTTAATTATGTTTCAGCTATTGAGAGAGGGAGGGGAACACGTGCTAGGACAAAGTTGGACGGTTTCATTGGATAATCATCCAAATTTCAAATGCCTCTCAACTTATCATTTTTACGCTACCAATTAAAAGGCGCATGGGAATCTCACAGGTGTATTCATGAGTAGACCTTAATTACTTTCAAATTGAATACCCGGTTGAATAGATGTTTCTATTGCTGGTGACGACTCAGCAGTGACAGGGGAAAGAATTTGCGGACATTTCAGTATTTAGGTTTCAAATTCTTAACGTTTTGGGACGGCTGACATCCTTTCATCATTTTCAATTGTCCTACCTTAATGATTGATCCAAGATTATTATAGTATCAGTGAAAGAGTAATGTGCATGGTTAGACGAATATTGATTAGTTTTGTGGATATTCCATCAACTCTTTATGTGTCGAATCATCACTCCTAAGCTACCAATCAAAAAGCTCCAAGGAATCTTGCAGGTGACCACAAGCCTTTAATTGCTGTCAAGTTAAGCACTTGACTGAATGAATGTTTTCATTGCTGCTTACAGTTAGTGGAAGCTAAAAGAAGTTCGAGAGGACTTCAGTTTCAAATTCTGAACATTTCGAGGCATCCAATTTTTGTTATCAACCCAGTTATTCCAGCTTTGGTCATAGAAAACTGAACGCTCTGGAATATGTTACAACCATCCAGCAAAGTGGTTAGCAATAAGATTAAGATATACATATTTATTCAAAACGCTATTAAGAGCAAGCCCAGACAGTAGTATTTGAGTTTCAAATTAAATTCGTTACACTTAGGTGCGCCTAACTTCCTTTAATCTGCTCAGTTCTTCGATATTTGCCGAAAATAGTGTCTAAACTCTGAAAAATCAAGTTTACAAAAAACAGTCATGAAAAAAGAAATGAAAAATGGAGATTAAAATTAACATACTTAATCAAAAAACTAATCAGAACAGTGCAAGTAAAGAAATTGTGGAAGAACTGTGGTAATAATAAGACAAAAAAGCGACATCACCTCAAGTTAACACACTTAAGATTTCACTTAAGACCGGAAGCACGACAAAAGTCGAGGCAAGACCACTAAGGAACCTATATAAACGGCAAAGCGACAAAAGCTTGTTCTGGTGTCACAATCTCCTGGTACAGAAGATTTTGATAAACAAACAGCGCAACTGCCGCCATTGAACAAGGCGTGGTTACGAGACCTGAGATAAAGTCACAATGAAGGGAGATAACATTTAGATGATAATCTTCATCGGCCCATCTCATATCGGCTGTGCGTGCAACTCAACACGCTGCAAAATCAGAGAATGCAAAACTTCTCTACGGTCGCTGACATCGCAGAGTAAGGGTAAGGACGACAAATAATAGACAGCCACAAGAGAAAACTTTAGGTTAGAACGCGTAAAACCAGCTTGAAGGTACATTAATGAATGACAATTTTTACACACTCCTCTGGGTGGTCACACCATCGTTTTGACAGTAAGCCTAAAGTTAGTTAGAGTTAAATAAAGATCCCAAATTTTCATGCTGATAGATTTTCAATGGCCTTACCTTAATGATCGATCCAAGATTATTCCAGTAACAGTGAAAGAGTAAAATGAATGGTCAGACGAATATTGATCAGTTTTGTGGATATCCCATCAAGTATTCTTCGTGTGTCGAATCATCACTCTTAAGCTTCCAATCAAAAAGCGCAAAAGAATCTTCACGTAGCAGGTGAAAATTAACGTATAATTGCTGTCAAGTCAAGCACATAACTGATAGATGTTCTAATTGCTGGCGACAGCTAGTGACAGGCAAAAGAAGTTCGAGAGTGTTCCAGTCTTAAATTCTAAACACTTCGAGGCAGCTAACTTTGGTTATCAATCAAGTTATTGAAGCTTTGGCCATGGGCAACTGAGCGCTCTGGAAAATTTAACAGCCCTCTAACAAAGTGGATTGCAATAAGACTGTAATTAACATATATTTTCAAAACGCAATTCAGCTGAGTAGTGTACAATGATTGTGATAATAAAGAATTTGTCGCGCCATATTTCATGAGTTTAGTGCTGCTTTACGATAATAGGAAAATAGCATGGAACAAAATTTCAAAAATTCCAACTCTTAGCTCTACGATGAAAAATGAGTTGTTAAAAAGACGTTTCACTATTAAGCAAACTTTTCTTTAACTTTAAAATTTTGTTGAGATTGAGGATATTTTAGTATTCCCCGAAAGCATGTTTCACATACAAGTAATTACATTTCGCCTTTGAACTCTCCGACATTGGTACCGCGAACAATTTATTGAACTTTAACTTGCAGATTGAGGGTCTCAGTGGGGTGATGGTTTTTACGGCTAACGGTTAAAATTTTGGCTATTTTACTGCTAACGATTGATTTCATTTTATTTTTGTCACCAAAGTTATTTTTAATGGTTAACTTTTTTTACGACTATTGGCTGAACTTGTCAATTTTAACGCCTAACGGCTAAATTTTTTGGTCCTTTAACGGTTGTCGATTAACCTCACTGAGACCCTCTACACTGTAAGAAGAGTCTTGAATTTCTACGAACCTTTGTCGAAATTTGAGAAATAAAAAATTATTTAGACCTCGTTCTCAGTGCGTAGCTGTAGATATTCTAAATGATTTGTAGACGATGGCGCGAAGAAAAAATATGACTGCAGCGTTGGTGTTTAGACTGTGATGAAACT